TTTCTTTTTTTTTTTTTTTACTTTTAAAATCCTATTTTTTACTCCCCCAATTTTTTTTTAAACAAATTTTTATACCTCGCCCCCCGGGGGCCAATCCAAAAAAAAAAAAAAAAAAAAAAAAAAAAAGGTGCTGCTAGAAACAATTGTATCCTTACCAGGAGGAGCGTCGATATCAAAACGCAGCCACGTCGACAAGCTCAAGTGGTTACCTAGGCAAGGCAGAGACTCATTTTTAACCCAGGTCCTTCTGGCGGTCTTGGAATCTCATAGTCTTCTCGTACCGTCTTCATCATACCCGATCCACAACAACTCAGCAATCAGCGACCGAAGCCTCACCGGCGGTTCGTCCTCGCAGGGCCTGTACCATTGGAAGAAGAGGTACACCAACACTTGGTCGAAGGAGCCCCGCGCGTGTCTCTCAATAGCGCTTTTCACTATCGCGCAGAAGTCGCAGCCGCCGCAGGCGGACTGGGCGAGGCACGGCAGGCCGGGCAGCGAGTCCAGGACGAAATAATCAAGCTTCAGACTGAACTGGTCCGGGTGCTGTTCCGGCGCTGCGAGGCAGACTTCCCCCGTGTCGGAGCGAGCGGCATACGCACCCGGGACGTCGGAGTCGTCGAGCTCTAGAACGCTACATTGCCGGCATAGATTAGCGAGCGGCGGCAGCGTCGTAGTCATTTTTCCTTCTCGGGACGAGATTTGGATCCAAGATACCTTAGGTACCTAGGTTAGGTACGTAATTGTACCTTACCCCGGGGGTAGGTAGCGTCAATGGAACGAGAGGGCTAGGTTGACTGGTTAATCTACCACCTAGTTAACCGCAATAGGAAAAGAAAAGAATAAGAAAATAAGATCTCAAAGATCGTTTCTGCTTATTACTACTCGCATCGAGCTGACTGTTTTATATAGTTACACCAGTTGAAAGTACGTCTGAGCTGACATGAATAGGCACTATTAAGTGCTACCTGACCTAACCTAACCCCGGAAAACACCACACCGTCGGAACATTAAATCGCCCATGATTGGACTATCACACGGCTGCCCCAGCTTGTCACTGTCGTTGTGAGCAATGAAATATTAGCTCGCAATAGTGAGACTGGCGCATATATTGTAAGATATCTATGTTTAATCGAGCTTTCGAAGTGCCCTACTTAATTCCTAATTAGGTGCAGAGTAACAATACAGTCGTGGTTAGAAGAATACTTTCACATTATATGCCTGGTATAGCTTCAATAATACATAGGCGCATACATAAAGTCTCTGCCTACTACCAGACCTAAAATCGCACTATTATATCGGTTGAGAGTCGATACCATCTACCATAATGGTGTTACTTTGGGTACTTCTTATTATGTGATATTATTCATGCAGTAGAAGAGAGAATCAAACTATGTACCAGTTACCCTTATCCAATAAGTCTCGAGTTAAGCCGCGCCCGCGTAGCCATGATAGCTCATGCGATTGTGTCAAAGGAGGTAAAGTATAGTTGAAATACGTACAAGACAAATGGTATATCAAGGTGTGTCCACTTAGGTTGACCACATGTAGGTATTATGTTATGTAGGTACCGTATGATAAACCTTGGGGAATTGCTAAAACATGTAGATCTTATAACAGGTTGGATTCTTCAAACATACCTAGATACGAGGTAGGTACGTAGGTATTTAGGTAGATATTAACATTAAGCAGTAAATGACCAAGTATTAGGTACCTATTAGGGGTAAAACAAAGTATATAACCAAAATGTAGGTAGCATATACACCAACAGACAGTGATATCCTTAGGTCCCAACGTATAAGAAAGTCTAATATAAACAACCCCTTTGAGCATTCCGAAGTCCAACTGAGACGCCAACAGAATACGCACACGATGAAAAACAAATGGAATAGAGGCGTTTGCGGCGGGTAAGAAGCTTTACGATGTGCTCCTTTATCCCATTTCCTCGTGAGATGTAGGCAGTAACTATAGATACGCCTTCACAGTACTAAGAAACATCCCATTCAACATCATCGCGACATAGAGATCACGATCCCCGATAGGATATTGTGAATGCGCATACCGGTAGCACTATCACATCGCGTTGTTGTTCGTGGAGTTAAATAAGAACAAGTGTATGGATCGTTCTCCGAAGCCCACGGCATCGACTTCTCGTTGGGCCGACGTGAACCCCCCATTCACCGCATGTGCTCTATGATTAAAGCTCCTGGGACCATCTTCCGGGTGCCTGGTACGCCATATCTGCAATTGCTGCGCAGATAGATATCCGGGGCGGTGATAGAGCCGATGGTATCGATGCCTTCTGAGGAATCATAGGCACTCGAGGCACGAATTAGCTTGGAGAGGGGCCGCATCGTTGCACAACTGCACAACTGCACAACTGCGATATGACCGGACGTGTGATTCGAGGATCGGTTCCGAAAGAGGGCATAACGGTGGCCCAGAAATTTTCGTATACTGAGAACAATCTCGCATTTGCGCTCTCACGAACCACGTGCACGGATTAGATTGTATCAATTATGACCGATCTTTCCGTGTGGCAGTTATGTGATACGCTGACGTGTTTACCGTGTATTGGCGCCGAATCTATTAAAAAAAAACGAAGACTGAGATAAGAACTTCCGTGTCGATGTGCAGACCACCACTAGAACGGGTAGATGGGACTGATTCAATAGGAACAATTGAGATGCAAGGTAGCACAGATCGGGTAATACAGAGAAGTATTGGCGTGGGCTGGACATGGCGGGATGAGATTTCAACTGTTCAACCGGACTCAATTAGAAGTGAGACGTATGCGACTTCAATCTTAGCGGCGGAAACAGCTTCGGCTCGAGGTGGAAGCGTGACTGCAGCGCTGCTATCATGTTTGATAGGCACCAACGAAGATTTCGGATTGCAAGATGATGCTACATGCCATTGAATGATCCTCCTATGTGGCGTTATAGCCGTGGATCGTGTGCTCGCTCTAGTATGGAACGGGTGCTGTCTTCCGCACCGAAGAGGACGCCTGCATACGCCCACGCCTGGCTGCGTCGGCATCCCTTCTGTTTGAATATGAATTATCACATAGCAGGTAGTGATGGCTTCAACCCCTTCGACGACCGCGTGGGTCTTCCAAGGGGTACGGTATGTAATTTCCTGTTGGCGGAACATCCCTATAGGACGAAGGAGCTGCTGGTTGAGAGGTCCTAGGGGTGCTAGAGTACAATGCTTTGTCGGTAGAACCAAATGTGGTGTCTGTTGGGCCGGTGATGTAATTAGTATGATACCTGTCAGACGGGCTCGGAGGCCCGGGCATCTTTTCGATGTATGGCTTCTTGCTGCTAGAGCGAGCTCCTGGTCTAACGCTGACGCTCGGACTCCGACGGTGGTGACGTGATGAATTAGGCTTCTCTTCCCTCTGTTCCGCATTCTTCCTCATAGAACCTATGGCATCTCTGTGTTTGCTTGTTGATCGTCTTAGTCTGGGGGACGAGGGTTCGCCAGAACCGCCTCTCATGGTACTATCTATGACAGGTTCTGATAGAGTAAAATATCTCTGCCGATAATCGTCGCGCTGGTCCCTTAATTCTTCATTTTCGGTTTTGAGTTCCAGATTCTCTTTTGATAGGACCCTTATTTCATCTTCGAGGTTCTTGTTGAGCCGTTCTAGTCTCGCATTCCGTTCGCATTCTTCACGATACCGCTTTTCCGTGTCCCGGTTGAGTCTGTGGGCTTTGGTTAAATCGCCATTTAGTTCGTCATATTTCTTTTGATATTGTTCGACTTTTTGGTTCGCTTGACCCAGTGCTTCTTGTAGAGCACCGACATTATTGAGTTGGTCTTCGTAGTCCTCAGCTGTGAATCTACGATCAGGTCTTCCACCTAGACTAGCCTGTTCACTAGATGACGAACCCAGACCCGAGTCATCATGACTGCGGTGGCTTTTAGACGACCCCTTCGATGAGGTCGAAAACTTAACACGTCTGTCCGACATATTGTCGTACAAGCTGCGGCTAAGAGCTGCAAGTTCTTGGTAGGCGCCTGTGTGGAGGTTCACGAAGGTGATAAAACGAGGAAGCGCCCGACGAATAGGAATAGTCGACAGATCAAAGTGAGCGGGGTTATAGACAGGAAGGTTGTTGAGTCACCGGGATGATGGCGAATGTTAAAATTGTTAGATATCTTGAGCTTGACCGGTATATAAATCTGCGGAGATTTCTATAATATAAGATAGACTAGGTACCTAAGGTAGTGAGACAAGATCGCCTTACGAAAAGAAACAAGAGTTAAGCAGAGGAAAAGGGAATTGTTATAAAAGACGAGTTAATGGTTATGATTAGCGAATGGCCGGTTGTTGCCTTGAGGTCCGGACAGAATCAGTTTTATGTACCTCACGTATACATAGTATAACACTCACACCACAAAACTAAAGCACGGCAGGTATGGGCAGGTATCTGTACTAAATGAGATGTAGCTGACCGGTTGCCTCTCACATGGAGAGTCATAGGTCTAGGCAACATGGGACGCCAGCCTATATCATCCTTCTCAATGGATGAGCCTCATAATAACTCAAGGGGTCGTCTTACCCGAGAAATCCAAGGGCAGCCGAACCGGGGGAGTGCGCCACGGCGGAAACACTCGTTTCTTCTCCCACACTCACCGTTTAATTGAGAAGGTAATATGCCTTACTGACTACCCGTTTCCCCCCACAGCACGCCACGCAACGCGCAACGCGCAGTGAGGGGGGGTGAAGGACGAAGGACGGGGGATGGGGGATGGGGGGATAGGGGATGGGTACGGGGGAGTGCAGACGAAAAGAAACAAAAAGATAGATCCGGAAGGGTGTAGCACTGTTAAACGGCATCTTTGTACTTCCCTCCATGGGATGAGTTGGAAATGAGACCTGCCAGCTTTACACCGAAAAAAATAGACATATCGAGCAAGTTGCCGTATCCGCCTAATTGTCCAGCCCCCAAAAACAGTTCGCCAGAGATGCGGTCTAGGTCGTAAGCGGTATGTAGGCGCGTTAAGATGGCGTAAGGGTTTAGGAAGGTCCTTCTCATCTGCGATCTTGATTTTGTGTGGTGGTTCTGCGCAACTGCGTAAAAGAGGTACCTTAGAGGTAGGTAGGACTATCTTCGCGTGGGCGTGCAGTGCAGTACGCCCGCAGAAATGCCTACCTGATCTAGCCAGTCATATTGGCCGAATCAGTCCAAACTGACGGCATTGCCTGCAGGCTGGGAAGTTTCTCTCGAATAGCATCTGAAGACCAGACGAGAACCGGCATAAAGATCCGTTAGGAGTAAAAGAGCAAGATGGCATAGCATGATGACTCACATAATGCAGGCAGCATTGAGATGTTACAGGGGGGTGAAGCTTGATGCATTCAATACATGACGTCTGATGATGGTTGATCTTCTGTAAATAAGTCATTGATGGATTTGTTTTTAATTGTCGAAGTTCCTGTCTGCCTGTTTGGTTTGAGAGAAAAATAGGTAACCAATATACGCTAAGCAGCCCTAAAGTACGCTAAGATGGCTATTGCCTAGCAGGGCTGAAAGTGGACGGGGACCCTCGCTGTTACAGTCGGAAGAGGTACCACAGACTACCTCAGTATCGGGTACTTTAGTACCTACCTCTTAGAAAAAAGATTGAAGTCGATGGGGAAAAACCTCTGCGGGGCCATCGAGGTCGCTCTAGAGTCTATAGGTACCTTGTATACATGCATGCACAATGAACCGAAAGGGAAGGTCCACCTGGTACCAGGAAGGTATGTGTCGGTACACATCTGGCTTAGTCACCGTATCTCATCTACTCACCACGAACATACTATGTAGGTACCTTGTATGTAATGCTTGAACACAGCAGAACAGCGGTGCAGCACAGCCACTGCGGCTGCCTTCTTTATTAACGAGTTATAATCAAGGAAAACATTCCTTAAAAAGGTCCAGAACAAATTCAGCCCAAGTTTTTTGATAACGGAACCCCGAAAGCCACTGCCCGCCATCAATACTCAAAACAACCTTACTCAAGCAATAAATGATCATTAACCTAGAGGTTTCTTTCTACACACCATCAGCATCAGTATGTCCAAGTAATCGGTGAACCCTACCACATCCCTTCAATACATTATATTATTATGTATGAACGTGAAGGGGCATGAGCATGAGTTGGCACTTCCACCATGCCGCAACACAGCCTAGGTCGGGTATGTTTTATTATCAAACGAGGCAAACCCCGGGGATAACACGAAAATTCCCGGGTTTAAAGGGTCTCAGGGAACTGAAATCTTCTCCAGTTCGCCGAACGTGAAGAAAAGGACAAATGGAGACAAAAGTGCACTTTTGTTTTTTGGCTTCAAGGACAACCAAACACGAGCAGAAATCCGGTGACACCGATTGCTGAGCTGTCAATCATCGATGATGTTCTTGGTATTACGTACACGCCACTCGGGTCCTACGGCTCATGAGCGATGAGGCCCGGATGGAAAGTTGGCGATAAGAAATATGTTGTATACCCAACATACATCTCAGGGCATCGGCGGGATGTTAGCTTGGTTGGCTGCCAAAAATATCTCTGGTTTATCTGCCGTTTGGGGTTATCTGGTCCGCGGCTGAGAAAACTCCTATTAGGTCATCGAAAGAGCTAGGCAACGTTGCAACCAACCATGCGCCTGGGTGTTTCTCTTCCATAATAATATCCTCCAGCCATCCACCAAAAAAGAAAGAAATCATTCCTCAAACGCGGTTAACCAACGAGTCCTCACTTCTTCCGTCAACATATCCACGTTGACCACCCCCCCGCGTTAGGTAAGACTACATGAAAATCAACAGTGGCGCTGACAGCAGATAGTCTTCGAAGATGCCACATGGCTTAGATAGATAATGATCAATTAATAATTCACCACGACAATATTGGCTAGAGTCAGCATATAGAAAAAGGCACTTGTGAGCTGTGAATATTTCTATTAGTCCAATATATTACTCTCCTAAGTATTTAATATACGCATCGCTAAGCTTCTGAGGTAAGCATACTCTTCTACAAGATAACATACGCGTGTACGACTTCTTTCTTGAACGCGAAGCTACCTACACTTTGGTGTTGTGCTCGTAGGGTGGAATCTTGTGATTCAGGGGTTAGGGGCCTCCTATTCGCCTCTCACAAGTCAACCTCGTTAAGCAGTAACACCGTCAACTTCTCACTGCAATTACGAGACACTCAACCATAGGCACGCCCGCTTCAACGGTTTTTAATCTGGGCAGAGGCTTGACGTTGAGCTACAGATGACAACAATCAGGGACATTGAACGCGTATTCGTAATTTTTGCCCGCCGGTGTATGCACGACAGATGAGCCCGAACAGAAGACGCCCGCCCGATCAAAACGCAAAAGGGATTACGTGCGATAATGTGCGGTAATGACGGGGTCAAGCCTGGGTAATTGCTCAATTCGGGTATTATGTTTCGGTCAATTAGAGCGGCTATCGCGGTAGTTCCCATATGATAATTAGGTAGATAGTTCAGATCGAAGTCTTACGAGAGAAGGGAGCAGCCCAACCCAACCTGTCAGCCTGAAGCCATATCCACAGGCTCAATCACAAGCTTGTCGGGAGCAATACCATCATTCTCCTAATATTTTCTTCTGAGATGAAGATTCTAGGCTAGGTACCTGACAAATATACCGACTTGTGACAAACTGCCCTAGTTCCCTCCAAGTCACAGTGCCCAAGGAAGTACAAGCCAACGGGTGTTATGACAAAGGAAATGCAGCGAAGTGAGGGTATCGTAATTTTCAAAAGAGACAGCCGTAGAGCCGGAACCAAACGCTAACCATCCGTCGTAAATAGGAATAGGATGTGACATCCGTACAACTCTCCCGTCCAACCCCTATCTATCCCTTCCCCTCGTGGTAACCTGGGGAATACCCTCCAAATAACAGGTGAGTAACTAACAATGCAAAACTACAAGAATTAAAGTGCACGGGCGGGTTGAAATCCAATCTTGTGATAGAAACAGAGCTTAGAAGATGTCGAAGCATTCTTCCATGATGTAGTACAGCTAAATTCATAGAACCTTAACCCCCTCCTAATCTAGACCGCCGAAGGGAAATGTAGTAGTGAAAGTGATATCGCTCTATGAGCCTTACACAAAACTGTAGCGGCGACGAGCAGGAATCGTAGTTTCGTACCTCCGCAGCATGTGGCACTGCTCGTCGATCAGGGCGTCCTTTTCGTCGAGCTCTCTCAGGCGAGCCGCGAGGTCGCGCCGCGCCCTGTCGAGCCGGCCGGTAACCTCATCCACGGTCTTCTGGTAGTCGTCGCGCCTCTTCTTGCTGCACGCGGCCTTGTCGGAGATCCGCTGGTGCAGCGCCGAGATGGTCTCCGTCATGACGCCGACCCGCTTGTTCAGGGTATCGTTATTCCTCCTGAGGTCCAGGAGATCCCTGTCCTTCTGCTCGACCTCCAACTTGAGCGCTTGCACCCGCCGACGGAACCGCTCCGTGGCCTCGGCGTCGAGGTTGCGTGTTCGTCTCAGCTCCTCGATCTCCTCGATCATCTGTTGGTTGTGCGAGAGCAGGCGGCTGTTCTCCTGGGTAGAGGCTTGGAGGTCGTTCTTCAGGGCCTGGTTTTCGCGGGTGAGGACGTCGTTTCTCTCCATCAGGTCTTTCTTTTGTTCGCGCATGCTATTCCATTTCTCGAGGGGGATCTCAGCGCAGCCGTCGAAGCATCGGCTTCGGTATTGGTAACGAGTGCGGTGATCATGATGATGCGAGAAGGACTGCGAACGTGTGAAGGGCTGTCTACCGGGGTGGTATGTTCTAATACAGTATTCCAACATCTGGAAAGCTAATGAAACACCCTTCTATTAGAGGACAAAGGCAATGTGGGTGAAGCTAAAGGTCAACGAGGCAAATATGAGTTATGAGTGGATGAAGAGTGAATTTTGGTTTGCAGATCGTAGATGCAGCAGCGGGAACTAGTGAAATATGAAAACGAATAAGGAGAGATAGACAAGCCAAGATAGGCTTGATCATTACGCGGTAGACTTCATTATAAGTATATTATATCAGGCATCAACCTCAAAGGGCCTCCCCGCGAGGCTATGGTGGGGATAAGGACGCCGCGTATGAGTCTAAGGTCTAGATGTTTGATATCACGAGGCATTGTCGGCGAACCTCATGGCCCACACAGTTGACAAGAACTGTAGAGAGGGGGAGGCGGGTGAGATGTGCACTTTAGATTCTGATTCATGGGGGGACGGGTGGACGGGGGGTCTTTCGAGGCCAAGTGCACGCAGTGTAAGGTGACGCCGAAGGTAAACAAACTACGTCTTCCATATTAGCTTCAAGCAGGCTGTATAACAATAGCATGTTGACCGAAACGTCATTAGGCATGAAGCACCTGAAAGCTCGGAGACCTCAGTTGACTTTGATTTGACTACTGTGTCTCAGGGGAACATAGGTTAACTCAGGTCACTCGACGGAATAACCGAGAAACTCGAGAAAAAAAAACACATGGCCTAAAGCTAGGTTAGTAAGTAGAAATAATAATTAGTTACCTATTATAGCTAATAGTTTAAAATTCAAACGAAAATAGATATATTTCCCAACTTGATAAGGATATGCCCGATATGCCCGAAAGAGTTTGCGAGCCAAGGGGAAGATGAGAGATGTCACGATATTGATTGGTACTATGTATTGGGGAACATTGAAGATGGAAAAGAGGCGCGTCCTTAGCGACCAGGTCCGCATTAATCGTGCATAATGCATATGTAGACGCGGGTTGGTGCATACGAAACCATGGGGAGCGGCCATAGTAAGAGCCATTATCGTTATGTATTGTACCTATGTACCGCTTTAGGCAGCCAATTAGAGGGTAAAGCCGCTTGATGCCAGATGGATTAATCGGTACGTACCTGTTTTATCATGCGCACAGACTCTCAGCTGATCGATTATGATCATCTTAAAGCGAAGGTTGACCCGATGGACATAAAAAGGAACCCTCCTCCCACCCTTCAGCTCAGCCCCATCCCAGTCAAGATTGATTTCCTTTTAGAGGTCACCAGCCGCAATCATTCATGATATGTTTTTAGGTTTTTGAATCCTTCTACGAAAAAAAGATAGTGTGTGCTTAAATTAAAAAAACTCTCATAACTCTCATAAGAGGCCTCACATTCCCCTCTTAACTCTAAGGCACTTGAAATCAACCCTTCTACTTACACTTCTTATTTCACTTATATCCAATCTCAATCTCAATAGTCTTAACAGTCTTCAACTCGTAAGATAATCTACGTCTACATAATCCGAATATTACTTATTGCGCAAGCTTTTTTTCATGAGACTCCATTTAGGACCTAGGTCCATACCAAGGAAATAACACAGGGTATTAAGACGACAGCGTTAGGTATTATTCTCACTCTCACTCTCACTAAATGGCCCCCTTGTCAGCAGAGTTCCGTTTTCAGACGGCAATCTTGTGACTTGCACAGTAACTTAGTTGCACCCTCTTCCCAACAAGATGGTATCTAAGGTAAGTCTAGTTTGATTTAAAATTAGATACTCAATGGACTAGACCACCTACCTAAGTCAGGTAGGTAGAGGTAGGCATTTAAATAAATCGAAGCTAACCAATATTTCTCATATTGACCGAATGTCACTTTATCGATTTTCGCCAGCCAAACTGACGTATTCTATTAAAATAATCATCTAATATTTACACTAAGATAATCCTCATGGATACCTTAAAACCGTACCTACTACCTCCTGCCGTAAGTATTATCAAAACACGCCACTATCTACTCTGATTAGGCTGGTCAGCGTCCGGCATCACTCTTACCCAGCCTCCGCCACAAGCCTCTTCGAGAGTCATCGGCCTGACCGTAAGCAAGGCTGAGAGTGTCAAAGTTACCTAGTCGAACGTTTCTGTAAAAATCCATCCTAAGACAAGGTACCCAAGGGCGCCCAAATCAGGCGGCCCAGGCAGCAGGGCATATCGGTTCATTAGTGTGGAATTCATCTCCAAAGCTGCCATTGTGGCAAATCCTTTAGACGGATACCTGAAGTCCTTCGAATTTTATCTAGTAATGCTTATCATATGACATGGGGGACAGAAATGTCAGAACTATTAAGACATATATGGTGCCTAGAAGAACATTTCAAAGGGGATAAAGGAAACCACTAGTAGCGAATTAGTTAGAAAATGAAACCAGAAGAATCAATACTATCATTCTAAGGCGAGTTGTTGCGAGGAACTACACCATCGTCGAGCAGGAGAGTAAGAGGGTGTTAAGCTGAGTTAGATCGCCTATTCAAATTGAAGGGATAGTCTAACCATGCCTAAACAATACAAAACAAGTAACCTCCATAACCTTCATCCGATTATATCAAAAGAAGGAAGCTATGTTGATAGAAACATGTAACCCTTTTGATACTAGCCAGCAACGGAGAATGGCATCAAGACCCGAGTTCCCTGGATAGGTCAGACTCAATAGATAGAAAAGGACAGCTGAAATATTCATCAGCTTTGCCTCATAAACATACATGTATGTAGGTATGTATCCACAGGTCTCGAGCTAGCCTCATGGGCGTTGAATGGGGTGTGAAGAAACATAAGAAACGCTATCTTGTAAAGGGAAACTTTAACCGGTTACCTTAGATGTTTTCTACGATTTAGCTTCTGCGCTCAGTAACAGCATAGGATATATAGGTACCTAAGGTAATTGACGGTGCATATCAACAGTTTTCTTGCTAGAAGGGCGAAAGAGAAAAGTTAGGGAAAGGGGACTTAAAGTTATGCGTACGCAGGAAAGTGAATGAATTTCAAATATAGTAATATTAGGTTAGGTACTTAGATAAAAGAAATTGGTTGTTAAATAATATCTCTATCCAGTCAATCCATCTTGAGGCACACTTTATGATAATATGAGGTAGGCTTATTATTATGAGCAAACCATAAGTAAAACCAGTCCATCTCATTATTTTTGAAAACTAAACTCATAAGGTGGAACGCGGTAACTATTGTCCATATTAAACCTTTAGAAGTTTGTACTCAAAATGAAATCCAGAAAGTCACCAATAGTAAATAGGAAGCTGAACTTGACTTTTTGAAATTTTTACTTTATTTCATCAATGGGCATACACCACAATAGGGCAGCTAGCTAAGCAGCGGATGTTAATACATGTAGGAACCAACTCTCCTAAGACCTTATTTGACCACGTTCCTTGAGCCCACAGGTATTTCGTTACACATGACAACCTAGGATTGGATATCGTATAATCCCCAAAACACGCTCTGATATTTAATTTCACATTTAAACTTTGGCACCCGCCACTTAGTACAACGGACCACCCAGTCTGATGGACACGGATTTGCTTTGTGTGTAGTTGGCGAGCGCTGCCTCGCCCAATTCTCGGCCAATGCCGCTTTCCTTGTAGCCGCCACTGTTGACGTATATTAGTAATTATTCAGAGAGATTCGGGAAAGACGGGTTACTTACAATGGCAGTTGGTGGTGAAGAAGATTGTAGCCTGCGTAGGAGTGGCGCTTTGTTAGCACATGTACTTGTTTGAGAAGAAAAAAAAAAAACCCTGAGAATGAGGGAATACATACTGTTCACCCAGATGGTACCGGCACGTAGCTCATTGCTGACTCGGAGAGCAGTGTTGAGGTTGCTAGTGTGTACGGCAGCTGCCAGTCCATAAGAGCTGTCGTTACCTAGATGTATGACTTCGTCTTCGGTCTTAAACTTGGCTACTGCTACAACAGGGCCGAAGATTTCCTCTTGCATGATCTTCATGTCGTGAGTGACGTCGGTGAAGATTGTTGGCTTAATGAAGTAGCCCTTATCGCCGTGGCGCTCACCACCCGTCGCAAGAGTAGCGCCGCCCTTCTTACCCTCCTCAATGTACCCCATGATACGGTCATACTGAAGCTTGCTGACCTGGGGACCCTGGAATGTATTCTCGTCGAAAGGGTCACCAACGGAATTGGCCTCCGCTCGCTTCTTGAATGCTGCAATAAACTTGTCGTAGATTCCTTCTTGCACGTAAACTCGGGAACCAGCGCAGCAGCATTGACCGTGGTTGTAGTAGATACCGAAGTTGACCCAGGAGATTGCCTGCTCAATGTCTGCATCGTCGAAGACGATGTTAGGAGACTTTCCACCGAGCTCCAAGGTAACCTTCTTGAGGTTGGATGAAGCAGCAGCCTTCATGATGGCACGACCGACAACGGTGGAGCCGGTGAATGCGACCTTGTCGACATCCATGTGGGAAGCGATAGCAGCACCGGCTATTTTGCCGAATCCAGAAATGATGTTAAGAACTCCAGGAGGGAAACCTGCCTCCTTGACGAATTGAGCGAAGACGAGACCAGAAAGGGGCGTTTGCTCGGCAGTCTTGAGAACAACAGTGTTTCCAGTGCAAAGAGCAGGTCCGATCTTCCAAGCCAACATCAACAGGGGGAAGTTCCAGGGAATGATTTGACCACAAACTCCGATCTAGATACAGTTAGTATTTTCGCTTTCATAAACGCACACTTAGAGCTCCGACGTACCGGTTCTTGTCTGGTGTAATGGAAAGATTCGTGGTTGATATCGATGGTTTTACCCTCGATCTTGTCAGCCCAACCACCGTAGTATCTGACGGTACCAATAACGGCATTGACGTCACCCCTAGCCATGGAAATAGACTTGCCATTGTCGAGAGATTCGACTGCGGCTAATAGGTCTATATTCTTCTCTAGAATGTCTGCTAGCTTCAGCAGGAGGATACCTCGCTGCTGAGGGGTGGTTTGGCGCCACGAGCCGTTAAAAGCTTTACGGGCTGCGGCTACTGCAATGTCTACATCTTTCTCCGTAGCTTCAGAGACGGAGCAAATGACCTCCTCAGTAGTAGGGTTAATGACTTCGAAGGTCTTCTTGTCAACACCCTCAACCCACTCGTTGTTGATGAACCTAGTCCTGTTAGTGGATGAACATATACATGACATATATGGATGAAATCCTCAAGTGATGACTTACAAACCAGTCGGCTGGGTATATTCGCCAGTGATAGGCGTCTTCAGCTGCACAGAGAGAGGCATGGTGATGGTTTTAGAGATGGTTGTTTGTTCTATGCAATGCGTAAAATAAGTAAAGAGATTTGATATCGACCTGCGAGATTGTATACTTATTTATACGCTGCAAATGTGAGTGTGAAGGATAAGTGAGAGATAATGTGGAAGTTATTCCTTGATGCTCAACGGCGGGTTGAGTTATGTTATATGTAAGTTCGAGAGTGGGGAAGAGGGGAACGGGGGAAAGGGGTCCTTTACGGGTCTTTGCACCCTAGGTATTGTATATAGTAGGTATTGTATGAATCTACAACCTAATACCTTGTTAAGATAAGGCGGGGTAATTTGTTTAACGTTGTCATTACGCGTGGAAGTGGCGAGGGGAAATTGAGCGGCTACCCCAATTGTACCTCTATGTAAGATCCAATTGTTAGTAGTGCCTGCTGATATGTAACTAACATATAGCAATTTCCACTCTCCCGGACGCATGGGGCTCTTTCTGGGGCAAAGCCAAGAAGATGTCGTCTTTGGTTTTCTGGTTTATGGGGGAAGGAGTTGCAGGAGTTGAGTTTACTGGTCACCTGAACGCCAAGGTCTTGTCACACTACCACAAGTGGTTCCTATCTGAACTAACGACAAAGCTGCCCAGGTGCTAATATCATCCTAACATTAGGTACCTACCTAAGAGTAGCAACAGGTACCAACTACGAAGTATATACGTCAGGGTTGATTGGCTTTGAAATAAGTTGTACCTGAATTGATGTCTCGGGTACTTCACCCCGCACTTAGAAGATATCTACATAATCTTATTTTATACCAAGGTTAGGTACTATCTACACTAGGCATACCTGATATGCAGAACACATTATCGGAGATAGGTATGAATGCATCGGCATCTACCAACATTTGACAATTGAACGTCCTGACGTCGTACCCGATCTTTTTTTCTCTCTTTCTTTCTTGAATGTCGTAAATGAAGTTACCCACACACATAACACAAACACATCCACCAATACTTACTATGCAGTGGGTTATACTACATCCAAATTTCCCCTAATGAAGAAGGGGGGAGACAATTTTGCCACCTTAAGTGGCCAGCCCCCGAAGGCCCCCGAAGGCCTGACCGCATTAGCTTCAATGTTCCTTTGCTTAGAACCTCTGTGAGGCTTAGTGTCCCCCGCATTGTGGAGGAATTGTATCAGTTTAGGTACTTACCAAAGGACAATACCCCCGAACTTGCAGATGAAGCAGCACCGTGTAGACAACACCGATTCGATACGGGTTAAGGGAAGCTTATTTACGGGATCAAAGAGGAGCCGCACAGCTCAAAGCTTACATGGTATATAGGTACAAATCCATACAGAGCTGATAAGTCGAATGGGGGCTTACGGTTGCCTATTTCGATCTTAAATCTTAAGATAAAGCCTCAACGCCGCCATGGAACGCTATGTTACCGCACCCATTTTTTTTACACCTGGGTCTATAGCGCGTCAATTCTATTTGTTGATTGGTTGGCCGGAAGGTCATATGTTAGCCACCGCGATCGGGGCATCTCAACAAGAACGGAACACGCTGACACGTTGGGTATACGATCCTAAGGTCGAACGGAGAGACGGACGAATCAACCAATAACGCGATTTCGTGTAACATTTCTATAGAAACAAGGGCTCCGCAATCTCCGGATAAGGGGAATTTTGATTTTATTTTGGATGCTCGGCCCTTGTTGTTCATCAGTCTATCCGCCCGGTGATCCCGTACCCCCCACTTAGATATCTGGGGACCCCACGCACTATGTATTTATATTATTTACACCATGTGCACCATGTGACACTATTGTTGAACTTGACCGCTTGAAGACGGATATTTGAAGATGGATAACTCCGGTATAAAAGAGTGTACCTACTTAAAGTACCCGAACGTACGAGTTAACAACAATAATTACGTGTCTCCTTCATTCAATTTTAACTTGCTTATTGTTTTTGATTTAACGATTATTTATTTTTAAGCTGATAAGTTCTTTGCTCGTTCTTGATAAATATGTTTTAAGGATGATCCAATGGCATCTCAGTTGAATGTCATCTCGGCTTAAAGGATAGCGAGCTCCATAACCACCTACCTTGAGGGACTCTTCGCAATTATTCATACAGGTATTCTTGATTCTGCCAATTTCGGTTTGTCACAAGGTCACGTCGGATGAAAAATCACCGGTACAAGATATTTAAGGGTTAAGCTTATAATGATGGCTACCTACCTCTTAGCTAGTTGTGGTATATGATATAACGTATCCTTCGTCTTTCAAGGTAGAGGTATACTTTGTTGATCGACTAAAAATTAACTCTGATAAAGAAGAAGAATAGTCCGGGTGCCAACGGAGCTAAATTCAATTGTGATTTTCTTCAACGTCGCACTCGTTCTCTTTCGGTGGACGCTATATAGGTAGGTACCGTATCTTGAAAAACGTATGTGTCGCCTTCGAAGTAGTGACCTATTTTAGCTGCATGTAGGGATCGTATTCGAGACACCATCACTCGATCAGGATTATAATTGAACTACCGTTCTTTGAAAAACAATGAGTTCCAAAGACCCCAATTGCCTGAAGGTTACACGCTAATATAGTACTGAGATGGATTAGCTGATGTTATCCAAGTTATAATCTGAGCCTCATCCAGTGCTATGACATCAAGCGTTAGCTGAGCCCCATCCTCATCGAAGATCCCATATGGATTGAACTAGTTATGGGGGTAACCAATTATGATTTGTCTTGGTCGCCGGCTTCATATTATAGATGTGCTGTTGAGAATTTCACATGCTACCACATAAATAGGAAGAAATAAACTTTCGAAACTTAATAATTGGTTGTGATATATGATGAAATGTAATATAAGCTTTTCAAGGAGAATAAAGAATAATATCCGACTGCTGATTTCTTCTTCTTGCGTCTTCTTTCAAATGAACAAGGTATATGTTATAATGTTATAAGTGAGTACCTAACAATATGCGCAAAGCCAGAATTTATTTATTTTCCAATCTGATTTGCAATTCATTGTCTTGTCAGACTTGGATGCACTTTAAAAATTTGGTGTTTACCTAGAGAAATAAAAGGGTTTGAAGTTGCGTTTGTGTATCGGATTAATCTAAAGTTCTTGGGGCAAGAAATGAGGGCAAATCTTCTTATCTTATCAGGACGCTTTGGCCAAATTTTCTCTGGTATCGTTATCTGCCACTATCAACTATCAACGCCTTAAGAAACATCAGATAGGTACCATCAAGACATTAAGCTTATTTTACTTTGCCGACGGCAGCAGCTACCAATTGCTTCACCATTGAGTTCCAGCGCAAATGTACCTACTATCGCTTACAGAAAGTTGACCTATGGCTGATGTCGCTGAGGCTATTGCGGCGGCCATTGCTGCTGCCGCGCCACCGACTAGTGAGTTACCTAAAGTTCAAACAATTCAAAGTTGAAACAATTCAAACTTTTTTTTATTTCTTTTCTTTTTACGCCCCCCTTCATTTATGACTTCCAATGGACTTGGATTTTAACCTAACCTGATATTCTTGTTGAAACCTGCCTGGTCATGTTGGCTCTACTGACGCCGATGGATAAAGGCCCTACCATTAAAACCGAGGTAGGTGATGCTATGGTCCTGGATCATGCACCCGAACCGCCCCAGTCACCTTTAAAGAGACCGCGAAGCCCCGACGAAGATGGCGATCAACCGAGAGACGAAAAGCGACCCAAGATAGAAAACGAAGGGGCAAACGAGATGGATGAGATTGCCCTCTTGGTCCAGCAAGCCCAGGCCGAAGCTATGCAACACTTCCAGTCGGAACCTGATAAAGTTGACGATGCGCCCTCGAATGATATAGACCATTTCCACAACATATCCAATGATATAGCCAACGGCCTAAACCAAGATATACACCACGATGTATCAGGGCTCGATGCGGAATTCGAACAGCGAGCGCCAAGTCCCGTTGACAATCCAGAGCCGCGCCCCGAGTCTCTATGGAGTAACCCTAGGGATTTCACGCGACGGAAGCATATCATACCGGCACTTGGTAGTCTAGTGAGTGAAATCCGGCCCTGTTTGCTCATGGTAGCGCGACTAAGGATTTTCAGGCTGTCGACATCATTACCGCATGGTCTGAACAATCCTTAGAGGATACAATTGCCACTCTAAGCGGTGATTCCGACTCGGATATCGCGAAAGAGTACGCCCTATTAAAAAATGCCTTCGATATTCAGCGGAAGCAACTTTCCGATACACATCCACTGCTATACCCCGAGCACTTGAACGTTACCAGTCAGACCCGAGAAGTGATTAGGATAGTGAATCTTGCAACAACATGCGCAAGCGTTTTTGGTACCAACGAGCTTGGTTTAGAAGAGGTTAATGACCATTTTCTGCGGATATTCGTTCCAGAGAACCATGAAGTACCCCGCGACGCGGCAGAATTATATATGGGCCTCAAGACTCAGATTTTTCTTGCTGTGCTCGAAAACGAACAAGAAAAAGCTAGGGATCAGTTTCTAGACGACCTCTTTGTTACGAGGTTGGAGAGTTCTCTACAAGAGCACCACCCGAGTCTTCCCTTGACGACTGCTGAGCATGAATTTATTGAAAATGCCAAAGCGCGGAAAGCAATGCTCTTGAATGAGTCTGCCGATATGGACAGTATTCGTATGTTTATTATGTCTAATTAAGCTTACAGATAATGATTCTAACAAACCCCTAGAAGCGCTCAGTAAACAGTTCACATATGAGGCCTTCCTTGATAGCCTAAGCACGTTTCTCAATGACCACATAGAGAGTATCAGAACCCAAGGTACTGGAACGGTGGAGACCACAACAGCGGTGGAGGATATCGTGCAAGACGAACATGCTGGCCAAACCCTAGACGAGACTTTTGACATCAATGCCATGATTGCTGAGGCCTCGAGGGCGGCGCAGAGCGCTTTAGAGACAGGTGGAGAAGAGTCTCATGAATTGGATGATCTCTCGGCATTTCTTGCAGAAAATGTTTCTAAGGCGGTCGAGCAGGCAAAAGAAAGCGCCACAAGCACAGAACTACCATCTGCTATCGCATCCGCGGCGGAAAGTGCCTCAAGGGCGACTATGTTGGCTTTACAAAGCATTCAACAGAACCAGTATCACCCTACAACACTCCCTCAAGCTTCTGGTAGGTTCAGTGATATCAATGGCGAGAGAAATGACCGCTCATCTAATGTAGCTCAAGCGCCCGCAGCTCCAACTCAGAATCACAACACCTACCAAGCTCAGCAGACGCAACAGACACAGCCACAACAGCAGTACTACCATTACCAGCAACAGCATACAGCTAATGGGATGCCTTCTTATCAAACGGCAAACGATCATCTTCCTCCAAATCAAAGCGACTCGACACCAGCACTCTACGAGCGTGCCCGACAGGCGGCGGCAGCTCGGTCTTCCACTCATGCACGACGGGAAGGTTCGCATTCTACCCGACGTCCCTGGAGTCCGGAGGAAGAGAAGGCGCTTATGATGGGACTCGACATGGTTAAAGGCCCTCACTGGTCGCAAATATTGTCACTTTTTGGACCAAATGGATCCATTAGCAATATCCTTGCTGATCGTACCCAAGTCCAATTAAAGGACAAAGCTAGGAACCTAAAACTTTTCTTCCTCAAGACGAATTCAGAAATGCCGTACTATCTCCAATGCGTTACCGGCGAGCTGAAGACTAGAGCTCCTACTCAGGCAGCCAGGAAAGAAGCTGAGGAGAAGGCAAGACTCAACTCGGAGGAACAACAAGCACACGTGAATGGTATCTTAACATTGGCGGGCGGCCTACAGAACAATGCTCCCCCCAGACACAGCCCTTCAGCAGGAGTGCCTAGAGGCGCAACGCCCAGTCAGGCGGCGTTATCTCACCCTGGATCGCAACCAGGAACGCCGAGAATCTCGCATCAATCCATCCAACAGTCTACGCCAATACCATCCTCTCTACCTCGCCCTGTTATACCCGCCCCACAGCCAGTTAGCCTCCCTACCTTCACATCTTTGTCCCATTACCACACACAGTCACATGTCTCTCAGACCGAGCGACAACCTACTTCTATAACGAATACCCCTACATCTCCAGCAATGGCTCCGACAACGACTCAAGCCGCTGCTGCCGTGTCGCCGCCCATCATGGCTTCAGCTACGACCGGTACCTCAGAAAGCAATGAAGCGGAGAAGAACGAACTCAGCAGTGTTGACGTGGCTGTGCTTGGTTTGAGAGCCGCTTTAGAGAGAGAACGAGAAAGAGAAAGGGAAAGCGAAAAGGAAAGGGAAAGAGAAATGGAAAGAGAAAGAGAAAGAGAGAGGGAACGGGAAAGGGAACGAGAGAGAGAAAATGACGCGCTAGCTGCTGCTGCCGCTACAACTTACTCTGATGAAGGAACAATACCCTCTACTAATTCTGCTACACCCGCGGCTACGTCGACTGAATAGGACCCAGTTCTAATTGACGGGTGCGGCTTGTGTTAATTTCTAGGTAGAACTTACGAGACTTATGTTTTGCGTGATTGATACCCCTGGGCGGTGTTAGCGATTTGGAGACAGCACGAAAGTCAAGGCATGGCTAGGCACAAACAGTACATAGTTGCTATAAACAAATGAAAAAGTCAACCATCCAAGTTGTACTGACTTCTGAGTGCGGATTGTGTTATACAAGTTCGCTTGGATCCGCCCCGCGGGCCGCAACTACTCAGCCTTGGATACGGATACGTGCGGCTTTATGATGCACTCTACCGAGAAAGAGTATCGGGCAGTCTTCTAGAAGTTCCTGTCGCTCGCCATACTAGTTGTTTCTTTGTTAACTAGTAATATGATATGTTAAAGAGGTACACGTGCAAACATATTAGGTAGGTAGGTAGGTAACTGGGATATCATTATACAATGACATCTTGCCAGTCAAAGTCTCATAATCGTAGCACTGGTGTCTAAGAACCTTGCACCTAATTCAGCCTTATGCTTACCTGAACTGTCTAAGAAGGAAACGGGCCAACCGTGTATTAGTCTGCAGTCGACTTGAGCCGCAGCCTGACTTCTTGATCTTGGGTAGACATGAGGGGGTGACTATGATTTACGTAGGGGTTATATCTGCTCTATATAGTAGACGATCCCACTGATGGTTAAGGCGTGTATCACACGATTAGGACCGATATAGAAGAGAATTCAGCATGTAACCCTCCCGTACTGGTCAACTCGGCTCTCGCCTTTGGCTAACAGGTCTTATTATCAAGCAAAGTACCTGAGGCTTATAACACAGTCGAACGTAGCAAACGGGCTCCAAGATATAACTAGTATCGGCCGGTATAGAGTTCCTAGCTCTTCGGGAACCTACCGGACAAAACGGACATCGTGGCTGGGGCGCAGTACCTACACACACATTTCGAAATGTTTGATTGTCTCAATGAGTTGCCTCGCGCTTTTCCGACGTCCGTCGAACACGTCATGCGCGTTTTTTTGGGGCTAGGATTCGCCACGTCGACGCCTATCCGTTCCGCTGTTTGGGCCTCCGGTAGAAGGGCGGAGGGGGAGAGCTCGATATATTTGCCTTCGAAGTCCGTACTGAGTCGAAGAATGTCGTTTGACTTATTTGTTACTCGGACCCGTCAACATCTTATCCCTGGAGTACCTAGAGCGGTACGGTAACGGCTTTATAAGATAGAGCTGCTCAGACACACACACACACACACACACTCTCTCTCTCTCTCTCTCGTTTCTGGAGTGTGGCATCAACAGAAGCAGCAGTGAGAGAAGAAAGAAAGAGAAAAAAAAGGCATGGCGTTGTCGCCCTGGCAGCTGTGCTTCCACGCGGACCTCAAGTGCCGCGTGAGAGCCTGCAGCAACAAGAGAATCGTCACGGGCAACAACGCGGCGACGGTGTCCTCGCCGTATTGTCGACAGCACGCGTGTACCGTGTGTCTGAAGTTCAAGACGCGGTTTAAGCGCGGCCACGGGGAGGAGAAGATCTGCCATCACCGTGAGTTGTTGTGTCCCATCCCCCCTCCCCCCCTTCCCCTGGGGTGTTTTTACCCCTTTAATACACAGGTATCGATCGGGAGGACTAGGAAGACCGGACTATGAAAAGCGGTATTCTGTTGTTTTTTCCCTCTTTTTTCTTTCTTTTGGGAAAAGGAAATATTAGAGGTATCTAAGCAAAACAAGATGGCCAACGTCTTCCGCCTTTTAGATCGTTGCTGCAAATTTGTCGAAGCGGGCCGCCGGTGCCCCTGTCCGAGAAAGGGGCACGATCCGCGGTTCCCCTTTTGCGCCGAGAAACGTTGGTCTCACCTCCCGCTGTCTGCCTAGATTCAACAAAGATCCCTACCTTAGGTTAGGTAGGTACCTAGGTTATATCGTTTTGTAACTAATGCTCGACTTTGCTCTAGACGGCTGTGCCCTCGCCGAGTGCAAGGAATCGCGGTGTCCGAAGAAGAGCTCGCCGTATTGTAGTAAGCACGCCTGCAGCGTTAAGGACTGCGAGCAACCGAGGCAAAGCCCGGGTTTGGTATGTTTTACTTGAAGTTTTCTTTTCTTTTTTTTCCCTTTTTCAGATTTAAAAGAAATGTGTGCGTGAGAGAGTGAGAGAGAATGGTCACCTTACTCCATTGCGGTATATATATATACCTAACACCTGCCTACTCCTACCACATCAACCCAATTCCAGGTACCTAATATAGGTAACAAAACCATTACCGATGCCCAACTAACCCGTCATCCTCAACCCAGTGCTGCCGCCAACACACCTGCCACGGCCGGGGCTGTATCAACTGCATCCACCCCTCTTCCTCCCCGCCGTCACCATTATCCACGGGTCGCGACCCCCCGTACTACTGCCACGGACACCAGATCTGCCAGGCCGACGGCGGATGCGAGTCCCTCGTGTTCCATGACGTCTCCCACCGCCCGGCCAAGTACTGCTTCCGCCACTTCTGCGCCGCGTCCGCGGCCTGCGAGGGGCAGCGCGTGGAGGGCGACGGCGCGCAGGCCGTAAGTACATAGTATAGCATAACCATCTTTTTTTCCACTCCCTCCATCCCTTTCCCCTTCCCCTCCTCTTTTCTTTCCTCAGCTTTTCTTTCCTTTCCTTCGTCTCTTGATTCGTTTCGTTCTCTTTCTTTTTCTTTTCTTCCCTTTTTTAAATTTTTTTATTATTAACAAAACTCCCAAACCCCAGTGCCGCGAGCACTCCTGCGCCCTGCACCCGACGTGCGCCAAGCCGCGCGTCGACCCCGTCCGCAGCCTCTTCTGCGAGGACCACGCGTGTGCGGACCCCGGCTGCCGGAAGCAGACGTACGAGGGCGGGACGGGAGGCGGAACCGGGAGCCGGGAAGGAGGCAAATGGTGCGCCGACCACATGTGTCTGCTGGCGCTGCTCCGGCAAGCGGACTGCGAGAACCGCCGCGAGGGCACGGCGGCGAATCCGCTGTACTGCGCCGACCACGGGCCTTGTGCGCGACGTTGCCCCAGAGCCGGAGTCGGGGTTGGCAGCGTGGGTGCGGGTGCGGGTGCGGGTTGTCGAGGCGGGATGATGTGTTTTCGCGCCTCGGCGGCTGCAGTGATGGCGGGAGGCGAAAGAGGAGGAGGTCGTGTTGGTGGTGGGTTTTGCGCGTGTCATAGTGCTGGAGATGGTGGCGATGACGGCGGCGACGAAGACGACGACGATGATGATGAGAGTATTACGGACCATGGCGATAGGTGTGTAAATGGTTCTGGTGGTAGTATAGGAGGTTGTGTCCGTGGGGGGACATGTGACTGCGACGATGGTGTAAAGGGACAGTAAAAATTGAAATTTGAAGACACCACATTGAATTAGAAGTACCTTAGACAACTCGATACAGAAAGCTTTGATTGACTTGACAATCCCCTATTTTTTGCCTACTAACTAAACCGAAAAGGAATACTCAATATGGGTTAAGGGCATAGGGCATAAATGCTGAAGCATTTGGAATTCCATCGTGTACACTCAATGAATAACATCGTCTTGTATTCACTGCGTAAACTCTTTAGATAAGTCCCTTCGTACCCTGATATTTCCCCTAATAATAATACAGCCTTCATAACCTATGATTCCCCCGGCGCCAGGCAGCATGCGGCATGCGTGGCTTGTAACCAATAAACACCTAATAACCGTAAAGTCCCGCCGTAGCGTAAAAGCAAGTATACGAGGTAGCAAGATGAAATGTCATTACATTACATTGCAGTCCTTATCTTTTCCGCCTCCCTCTGATGTGGCGGGATTTCCAACAGCGGGAGGAGGTGCGCCCTGGCGTCCTCTGCCAGGTGTACTAGGCCCAACGCTGTTTTGTCCGATAAACGGGAGTCTGCTCCGAGGGGTTGCGCTCGCGCTACTTGGGCTACTCTCCGGATGACTTGGATGTCCGGCAGGTGGTACATATGGGGTTGATTTGGAAGCTTGTTCATAACTTGGCGGTGCATCATCCCCATGGTCATCATCAGTGGGTCGATGGGTTGTCGAAACAGGAGGGATCAAGGACCTAACTTGCTGTACCGGCCTCCCTCGACTAGACACCGAACTCGTAGATTGGTTAGCTGAACTAATCCTGGCTGGGGGTAATGGACCGCCGCTGCCTCTGCCGCCCCTACCACCGGAACTACGCTGATTGTGACCGCCGCGAGCTGGAGCACTTTGCCGACCCTGGTGCTCAATAAACTGCTCGGACAGCTGACTTTCGCGGCGGCGAGCCGCTTGCTCGGCACGATGTCGTTCCTCCTCCTCTTCCTGTAGCTGCAAAGCCAAAGCCAAATCCCTATCTTCCTGCTCGTGGTTCGGCGAAACAGGTGTACTAGGATTTACTTCACTAGCCCGACTATTCCGTGATCGCCGGCTTTGAACTGTTTGCCATGCGCCCCCATGTGTATTGCTATTCGAACCGCCCTCTCGATTCCAGCTACCCGGGACGTTTCCGAACGATCGTTGATGCTGAGGGCCTCCGACTATACGGAAATCACCAGAAAAGAACTCAGTCCGTTCGCCACGTACATCAGCCAACGACTCCCAAACGACTTCGTCATGCGTATAGTAGCCTGCATCTGTTACCAAAGTGAATAGTTTTTGCGTTTGAGGATGTCGGTATAAAGTAGAGAAATGGTCGTTCCGAAACAAAATCGACACCGACCCAGGCCTTACAGCTTTGGTAATTACCTCGAGACCCCATGGTGTGAGCTGCGTGGCTGAAGTACTGAGAAAAGATTTTATAATAATGATATCCTGGTAGAGTTGCTGTTCTTGCTCGGTTAGGCCCATCTCAGAATTGCTGAGCTTATCTTCAAGTTCTTCTTCTCGAAATAGTATACTTTGCGCATCATCGTACGAGGACGCTTGTCTGGTGAAAGAATCGTATACCGGGTCGTCTCTCGGGGGTAGCCAGCCGTGTATCAAGGGAATAGAAAACGTAGAGTAAAGCTTCATGTCTCGAGTTTTCTCAAAGGTCCCCGGAATAAGGTCAGATCGAGTTGGGTTTTGGTTATTCAAGGGAGAAGACTCAGGACTCGGGATGAAACGCGGGTTGACGTTCATACCAGTGTGAAGACCTTGAAGAAAAGTATACAGTTCGGTCATATCTGGTAAGGATACCTCCGGGTTGGTATGTCGGTGGGTCATCAACTCATCAACGATAGCCTCAAGGAGGAAATTCAAACTAATTTGCTCGCGAGATCTTAAGGTCTCGACCAGGTTCGAAGTCGTCTGGCTAGCGGGAGTTGTCAAAGTAAGCGCATTGACGAGCGCAACCAGAGGACATGGGCCATTAGCGTTCTGTACCAGTATAGGCGACTTTCGGGGGTTTTTAGCCGCCGTAGCATCAACCCAATTTATGTTCTTAATTTGGTATGTTTCTGATTTGCTCGCTGTACCTGGTGGCTGCCGTCTTGGTGGTTGTGGTGGCGCCTCTGCGCTGGACGCTTGCCGTGGGGGTAAAGCTGGTGGCACTGCCGGCACCTCTGTCGTAGGTGCTGCCGTCGCGGGAGGCGCTTTCTCCTTTGGTCTCTCATCGTCTGCGTCCATAAAGTTTTCCCAGGTACTTTGCTTTGAGAGGGTCACTGGTTCCGGCTCCGGTATTGGCTCATGGTCAATCAAATTCCAGCCATCAGCGGTCTCCGGGTGTACATTTGACGCCTGTAACTCTGGTTGTTTACCCTTATTGTTAGATCCAAGATCGTCCCATGCGTGCTGGTCGTCGAGGATTTGATCTGCCTCTTGAGATCTCTCCGGTAGTGGTTGTAATGGATGATTTGAAGGCGCATCATTCCATGGTTGCGATTCTCCTTCAATACGTAAAGGCAATAAACCCGGGGAATTCGACACGGGTCCTGTGGAAGGGGGTCTCGACGATAGGCCCGAGTCCCAGACATTACTCTTAGGTTCCTGATCAGACAAGGGCGGTACCGGTTGTAAAGTATTAGAGGGTCCAGATTCACCGAGGGCCGGCTGCCAAGGATTTGAATTTGTTTCGGGCTCGGATATATGGAGTTGAGATAATGCGCCTGTGGGCACAGATGGAATTGGAGGCGCATGAGAGGGGTCCGCAGGCGCTGTTGGGAGGTCTTGACTGGTAGCTGAGCTGCCTTGTACTGGCTTTCGTTTGAAAGGATTCGTTTCGAAGCGCGTTCCACCTGGCCAGAGAGCTTTCGGCATTTCATCTGGTTTAATTTCTGGCTCTGTTAAGGTATTGACGTGGTTATTATTATCATTACTATCGTGATCGTCCCAGGGATTATCTTCGCCTTGACGATAGGTAGTGCTAGGTTGGACGCCAGGTTGGAGTGCGTGGGAAATATCCTGTGATGTATCTGGGCTCCCTGAAATCGCAGGGTTTGTGGCACCTTGTTGGGATATGACGGGATATTCTCTCGCCCATACTCTAGCTGATTCTGATTCGGAATCGCTGGGAGGCCACAGTTCCTGTCTTACACCTTGTAGGCTAACCGCTGGGGGAGGCGTGGTGTTCAACGAGGAATCGTCAGGAAGCGGCTTTCGTGCGACCATGGTGGTATCTGGTGTTATTTCGGCCAGGTCAATACGGCCGAGTCGATTATTTATTATCTCCTAACCTAGGTTAGGTACCTAAGGTAGACAATTTCGAGTCAGGATAGTTTGAGTTTGAATAGACGGTTCGGGTAGGATAATCTCGCTAACTCGGAATGGCTAACAATCATCAATCATAAATCTCGGGATTGCGTCATTACTGTAGTAGTCGTTCAGAATAACTAGTTGTAGTTGTAGCTGTAGCTGTAGCTGTAGCTGTAGCACTGGGAAGGGAAATCCGGAGGAGCTCTTGGGGTAAGACTTCAATAGGAAAATAATACAATCTTGCTGTTTATATACCGTCTCTAGCTTTTATATCGAGCGCAACTTTTGTAATGTTTATAAAGTTAGAAGTACGTAACCAGGCAGCAGAATGGGAGTTTGGTTGCATCGGTTAGGTTAGGTTAGGTTAGGTTAGGTACTTTTTAAGAACAGGTGGATTGGGGTGGGAGAAAGTTGCAAGGGTCTACGTTTTAGAGCTGACTGGAAAAGCAAACGTTTGGCCAATGATGCAACATCACTTAAGAGAAGAGCTGGTCCATGTCCTGTAGTACATCGTGTACCTATGAAATAAGTGGCGGTGGCGCGTAGTAGTAATTGATGAGTGTAACTTTAAGCTATTAGCCACAAAAGTTACTAATGCTGTCCGAAGTGTATTATTTGTACGCGTTTTAAAGTATTTTCCATCATTCATAAAGTTTCATAAAGTTTCTCCATTTCTTTTCCTCTTCTAGCATGCGACAAGTGTCGGAATAACTAAAAACAACATTCACTAAATTTAACCTATTTAAGCCCTCGGCGATATTTCCTCGCCAGCAATGACAACAATTACCGGACATTCCCAGAGCTTTATTACTCTGCTCTCCCCGCATTCTATCAAAGTGGGATGTGGGGGGTTCAGGGGCATTATCTGATCCATTACACGCATCTACATACATACCTAGTACACTAACCTAACCTAACTTGAGATGGATAGACGATCCAGATGGGAAATAAATAAACAAGGTGGGCTAGGTATAATCCAGACCAGGTACTTACAGAGGTAGGTAATGGAAGGTAATGTAAAACTGTCATGTTCGGATATTTAATTTCGCCATCTTCCGATCAGCAGACGGGGCCATCCCTTACCTAGGTACCTACCTTAGGTACCCAAGCTCATGTTACATTAATGAAATCACGATAATACCTTGTAACATACATTTAGGTAGGTATAGGTACTTGTATTTATTCCCCCTCAAATCCTGTCTCCGATCAATTTTGCGAAACTGGATAGCTCGAAAACCCCACAAACCTCCCATTAGTGGCAAGCAATCCACTCCCAATACCTGTCCGTCCGAGTCGCTCATAATCATTACTCCACCCGCCATGGCTATTGTTCAGGATTGGCTCCCAGCTAGCCAAGAGAACTACGAGAAAATCCTATTTTGGTGGAAACTATACCCTCTGGTATGTTTGTATCGTCCAATCTTTGGCCGTGGCAGCACTAACTGCCCATCTAGTTGGGATCTCTTCAATGGGTTACTTCCTGGTATGGCATGGGGAAAACCTCAGTTCAGAGCAAGTTCAACATACCCGGTAGAATTGCCTGGGCAACCATGGAGATCCCCGGATTTACTACCCTCTTATATATCATGAGCACCCTTCCAGCTCAACACGGCATCGAAGACCTACCGTGGCAGAACAAGGTCCTTGCTGGCTTATTTGTCATTCACTATACTTACCGCGCTGTCATCTTCCCCATCATTCAGCCGTCTATGTCTCCCATCCACGTGCTCGTCTGGAGCAATGCTATCATGTTCCAAATATGCAACGCCACTTGCATAGGTAGCTGGTTAGCCGCATATGGTCCAACCACCCAGGAAGAGTGGAGAGCTCAGAATTGGTCTGTTCTACAATTCTCGTTCGGTCTAGTTCTCTTCTACGTTGGGCTTACCGCAAACTACTTTTCCGACGAGGAGCTGCGAGAGATACGCCGAAGCGAGCTTCGACGCCAAGCAAAGTTAAAGCAACAGGGCAAAACCGTCGAAAAGCATTATGAAGTCCCGCAAAATGGTTTATTCAAATACATGCTTTATCCTCACTATTTCGTGGAATGGGTCGAATGGCTTGGATACTGGATCGCCGCCGGTTTTTCCTGCACCCCTGCAAGATGCTTCTTACTCAACGAAATTTTCGCTATGCTACCCCGGGCTGTGTCTGGTGGGAAGTGGTATAAGCAAAAGTTTGGAGAAGATAAAATCAAGGGGAAATACGTCATCATTCCCGGGGTCTATTAACAGCCCCTTAGGGCATATGGTTCAGGGTCTTCGGTTGTTGCGTCCAGTCTCCGGCTAAGCGAATGGTTCAGCTACGAACGGACAGCTCCTACCTATGATTTGAGGAATCCTTATTAATCAGAAGTTTTATAGTTGTTTAACCCTACTCTCTATTCTTCTTCAATTCTATCCCACCCTAGGTACTTAGAATGACGGCTAGGCAATGGACTAATCACTAAATGTTCTATGTTACATAAAAAGCTCTGAAACCAGATAGACACGAGATTTTTACAATATAATCCGCGTCTTTTCCGTTAAGAGCCCCTCGGTATACAGTTACATACAGGTATATCGGAGCAGTCACTCTTCTTCTAGGCCTAACTGCTTTCTGAGCACCAGGCGTGCTTCCTTTTATGTCTGAGAACTGATCTAGCATTTCCCTTTGAAAATTTTGTTAACATAACAACGTCTTTGTGTAGAACAACTCGTTAACTGAATTGTCCGGTTACGCTGGTGGCGTTGGGATATGAAGACAAGTTGCTGTACAATAATAGCAGTGAGACGACTCTTATAAATATACGCATGTAAAGAGCTTACCGAGAGTGTAAATTGTCAAAATTCAAGTTGCAATCTCAATCAACCCTTTTGAATATTTTATGACACATCTGATTCAAAAGAAAGGATCAAGTTGTTAGGTAAAATGTCCGTGAATAATTCCGTGATTATTCACCTCGTTCGCCACGCCCAAGGCCCTCACAATGTTGTGGAATGGGGTGCAAGATTTCGTGATCCGTTTCTCACCGCGGAAGGGTTACAACAATGTGCACGAGTACAACAGAGGTTCTCTAATATCCTCAGCGGCATTATTTCATCGCCACAAAGACGAACCATCCAAACCGCTCTGGTCTGTTTCCCATTCGCCATCGGCGATGGATTACAGATTTACTTGCTTGCAGATCTGCAGGAGGTTGGCGACGCTCCAGTTTGTGTCGGAATGGACATAGCCACGATCCAAAATGATTTTGGGCCTGTGGTTAACGTAGATTATCTCGACGAGAATTGGAACCAAACCCCATTGGCACTGTCGTTTCACCCCCAGGACGTTATGGAGCGTGCCCGGCGCGCCAGAGTTGCAATTCGAGAATTTGCCCGGGCCGTGATCGACAACGGACAGGGCACATATGATAACGGATCTATACATCTCGCTGTTGTAACCCACTCGTTACTGATACCATTTCTAACTAACGAACTCGAGAATATAACGTATTTCGCCAATGCGGAATGCAGATCGTACATGTTCACTGATATAAGAGGGACAGATGACCAAGCTACGATTGTGGAAACTCAGGAGAGTATCGACCGGCGTCCAAGACCTAGGCCAGCTCCTCCGACTCCGGCTCCTAGACCTGCACCTGCACCCGCACCCGCTCCGGAACCTGGTTCGTAATCCGACGCCGGAAACTATTTTCAATACCCTTAAGTCTAATTCGGGAAATCTTGTTAAATGTACTCAGCGAGGGCGTTAGTACAGTGGTCCCTTCCATATCCCAAGCCGGAGTTGAAATAAAAAGAGGGCGGGGCTTGAATAGATGCCTATAAATAGAGATATTAGCGAGCGAAATCCTTCGTAGGGGCTTGGCTACTCCATGGTACCTGCGTCAGGTTGCTAGATGAGATACTATATCTACGATAGAGGGTACTTTCAGCATGTGCAGCCGTAGGCTTTCAAATTTTTACTTAGGTCAGAGTTCCTCGCCATGGCTTACACTATTGCTTTAGGTAAATATCAGGTAGGTCACATATCTACCTGTTGTAAACTAAAAAAAAACAAATGAAAACACTCTTTAACTACAACATCAGCTCCTCGAAGTGTTCGGTTTACCGTGAGAAATACCTAGACGTATCGCGGCTTAGAATTTGTGAGTGCCTTGTCTTACGTGCTAGAATCGTAACCTCGTAACTCTGTCACATGAGATTTCGCTCGGGTCGATATCGAGTAGCACTTGGAGAAAAGACGCTGTATTTCTCCCATTCTCCGTAGATTAATTTATTAACCATAATCCGTACGTAGACGAGGGAGAATTGAAGCTTTTCTTAGTCAGCCGAATCAGGGGTTATTCGGGTGCGACAAGTTTCGATAGAGGCTTACCCAAGCAGTCTCTGGCATCAGGATACGCTATAGGTTATGAATCTTGGCTAGAGGACCCCTTAATATCGGTTTTTTTTAGCACTTGCCGTGCAAGTGGCACTTCGTAGAGCATTTGGTAAGGGAAACAACTTTGTTGTTCCGCGAGGAATTCTGACTAAGATAGCTTTGAAGTCAAAGCTATAGTTATATAAAATATCTTCTTTGTTCCCAAGGAGTCTTAAGTGGGACTCCTGACAGCAAGGTATATCGGAAGAATGCGCGTAACTAAAAGTCCCCGATGCTCGGATCGGCAAGTGCAGTTTTAGAATCTTGACCGCCATCGTTCTAGATGCCAGACCCATTTATAGGGCCGTTCCGTGCAACTACGTATTAGCGGTGAAATAGAAAACGCGGGACTCCTCCATAAGGTATCTAAGTAGTAGTTGTGCTCTAGAACCAACTATTGGGGAATAAAACGCTTTCGTTATCACGCAAAGGGCGCTGAGTGTGGCCCGCTAATCACAATATCATTAAACATATCATTCTAGGCCTTAAAGGCCAAGCGATTATCGTACTATCTACATTTATATATTTCAAGCTTTCGAGGCGGTATGTAAATAATCATTAATAGTGTCTTTGAGCGCTCAAGAGCGTTGTACGTGGGTAGTCTAAACGCAATATTCTTGAAGGTTGGACCTCTTCAATGCCCACTTAATTACTATCTATCTCTCTCCTCTTGGTGGCAGTAGTCCAAAGAGCCTCAGAGGATCATCCGTGGGGCATCCGTATCTACACAACTACAATGCGCCAAATCCCTCCCAATTCTTTTTCTATTTTTTTTTTCTTTGGCAATGGTTTTGTCTTAGGACTCTTGAGTCTTTGGGAAGTTGCGTAATAGTTAATGTGAATTTCGATAGGCGAAACTAGAAGTAAGAGGTTGTACCATGGACTTTGTTCAAGTACAAGGAGTTACGAATTGCTGAGACTAGGTTAAAAGCTTTTGGACGTGGTTATTCTGGTTGTTTATTATAGGTTGATTCGCTCTTTAAAGAAGTTATAGATGTCGTCACATGTATCACCTATTCAAAAAGAGATTATTTAATAACTCTATAACTTGACAGTTTGACGATCATGCGGGGTACACGGATTAGATCACTTCTATGGATTCAGAACAAAAAAAATTATCTCAAAGTCCGTGGAACCCATCTTCCATAATTCTCAATAGAATGGTAAACTCCCACTTCCACTTTCAAGCGGCCCAAAAGTCTATTTTAAAATTTGTGCCCAACCTCACCGAAGTAGTATTGCTTTGCTATACCCTATCCGTGATCTAATACCGGGTATTACAATTACAGTATCTTCTTCCGACGTTGTATTTATCGGCCCAATGGGAAAGTTGTTTTAAACTAAAATCCGACATCGGAAACGTGCAATTGGTTCTTCCAAGCCGCGTTCTAGTTAACCCGATCGACTACGACTTTCTCTTAATGTTTGTGAGACCCCTGGCTTTGTTTGCAAGTCGGTAGAGATACGATCGAAGAAAAAAGGATGGTATAAATTTTCTCCACAATGGAAAAGGTAACCCGGCTGTGGGAATAACGCTGGAAATGTCAACAAAATGCATGCACGAGCAATCATCACCGGTCTACAACTATCGCCTTCGATTTCAGCCAATCATTGCTGTCGACTTGTGCTCTATCCTTCTTGAGTTAATCCACATCCACACCCACATCCTGACAGTCTGCCGTCCATCGCGGCTCCAGAAACCTGGGAAGAGGTTGGTGTTAGTTAGTGGGGATAACTCTTAAATATGATCGGTCACTTACCGACCAGAATGGTCCCCTAACTTGCCCGACTGTGCGTCCCGGGCGTATAGGAATAGTTACCAGGGTCACATTTAATGAAATTATTCGGTAATTAATGATACATTTCCTTCCCTCCCACTCAAGCTCTTCGCCCGTTCACCTAAGTCGGGGTCATGACTAATGAATACTTCGCAAAGTATCGCTATGTTGTTCATATTGTTAAGCAACAATGGACCTGGAAAGGCTCTTTATGGTATTCAAAGCTCAATGGGGACGTGGTAATCAGATTATCAAATAGTCTTTTCTTCTTTGCCTTATGTAGGTAGGTAAGCTGTTGAATTGTGTAATTAAACTATTGAAAGACGTGGAAATACCGTTCTCACCGCAATACTTGATGCAGTATACGTGCTGTTACCAACTAAGGTAGGGTGATCGTCACGGTGCGCCCTTCGCAACCGGCATCGCCATGCGTCGGTATTACAAATCGCGGCCCATTAAAACATCGGTAGACCCCTTCCGTGCCCGCACTCCCCGCCGGTGAAGTTTTTCTGTCTATTTCTATTTCTTGTGCCGGGTTCACATCTCTATAGCTAAGTCTCTACTTGCTCCTAGAGCCCTTTAATATCCACCATTACGCTAGCAGAGCATCCAAATCGTCTTGTCCCGGTCATGACAGATCTACATGCAACGCAGCCCAACTTGAGGCCACAACTAGATCATGTAACTACCAATGTCTCTACGCGAAGCTACAGGAGCATACGTAGGCTTGATACTCGCCTAAGCCATTTCTCAGGACTCGTCCAGAGCATCAGTAACCAGGACATAGAAGCGAGATACAAGGTAGAAGAGAATGACAACAGGGTAGCAACGGACGATACGCCAAAGCCAAGCAGCTTCCAAGGTTCTAAAGGAAGAACAATCTTATCATGGGAGGTCAACGACAAAGAAAACCCTTACAACTGGTCGACGGTTAGAATATTCCCATTTGCCTAGTTTATGCTCCCAGTTCGGTTATACTAAACTTCATCTACAGGGGCGGAAGGCTTTTGTCGTTGTGTCGTCAATGGCCACTGTTGCTAATAGCACATTGGGTAGTTCGCTACCGAGCATGGCCATACCTTACATGACGAAAGAATGGGGAATAACCGATCAAACACAATTCGTCTTGCCAATATCAACCTATCTTCTAGGCTATGTATTTGGCCCGATTTTCTGTGAGTAAAAGCTGTCGACAGCGCCGGAACGGAATTCGTAAGCTAACCCATAATCCTTAGGGGGACCACTGAGCGAACATGTTGGACGTCGGAACATCTCTATAGGGTGTTTTATTATGTACACTATTTGGACTCTAGCTTGTGCGCTCGCGCCGAACTGGCCGGCGATGCTCGTGTTCCGATTCTTCGTGGGGACATGTGCTAGCGCACCGATCGCAGTAGTCAGCGGGATTCTGGCAGACTTATTCAACGATCCAATTGTCCGCGGTCGAACGATAGCATGCTTCATGGGTGTGAGTAACTTACATCATGCGAATATGTAACACACCTATATCGGTCTGAAGCTAATTGTAACTTAAAGATGACTGCCTTGGGGCCCATATTAGCCCCCATCATATCCGGTTTCTGCTCGACAAGCATCGGCTGGCGATGGACTTTTTGGATCGGCCTTATTATTGCCGGAGCAACATTGACAACGGCAGTATTTCTCCCCGAGACTTACGCGCCGATTCTGCTCAGCCAACGAGCAGCGAAGATGCGAAAAGAAAAACCCAAAGCCCAGGTTTACTCTGCGTCGGAACTCGAGCCGCATGACATCAAGCAGCTATTCACCCGGGTCCTCACGCGGCCAATCCGTATGATCTTGACAGAGCTTATCGTGACAGCGTCGTGTCTCTATCTCTCGTTGGTCTATGCGATTTTCTACATGTCGTTTCAAGCGTTTCCGATCATATTCCAGAAAGTCTACGGCTTGTCCCCGGGAGTCACCGGCTTATGTTACCTACCCATCGGCCTTGGTGCGGTTACTTCCATCCCTATATTCTTCGCGTATGACCATGTGATCATTAAGGCCAAAGCCCGTGGCACGGCATGGTCGAAAAAGGAAGAGTATCGTCGAGTCCCCCTGGCCTGTCTAGGAGGTCCCTTATTCGCCGTCGCCTTATTTTGGCTTGGATGGTCGTCGCGACCGGGCGTGCCGTTTGCCGTGCCCATGATAGCCGGTATCCCTTTTGGCGCTGGTTACAGTATGTGGATCCCCAATTCGTATTAATCGATATTTCATATTGCTTTACAAGTAGACATTGCTAACCCTAATTATCACAGTGTTGATATTCATGGCACTGCTTAATTACCTCACAGATGCTTACGAGATTTTCGCCGCGAGCGCCAATGCGGCTGCTAGCTCTTGCCGTTCTGTATTCGCAGTTGTTCTCCCACTCGCGACGACGCCGATGTTTGCGCGATTAGGGGTCAGCGGAGCTTGTAGTCTACTCGGAGGGCTAAGCCTGCTCATGTCCGTCATACCGTTTATCTTTATTTGGAAAGGCGAGGATATCCGAGCAAGATCTAAGTTTTGCATTGCACTTCGAGAACGGAAGCTTGAGATGGAGAGGAAGAATGAGGAAGAGAGGCAGAGGAAGGACGGAGATGGTAGTAGTGGCGGTGTTGTGGAAGAAAAGGAGACTGAAGTCTGAGAGATGCGCAATTGATCGCTGCAATTGATACCAGGTATAATGTGTGCTTATGAAAAGTTATTAAATTAATAGTAATAGTTCAGCTATTGCTGGTTATTAAAAGGGAACTTGATATGATCACACCGGACTTGGAAAAGTCGAACCCCTAGCTACCTCCTATTAACCCCGCCTCTAAGTTTTGCCTTAGCGAAATGATTTTGAAGGAAGAAAATTTCCCAAACGTTAAAGTATCAATCAATACCATCTCTACTTCGTATCCCAATTCTCCTACTTTTTTTTTTAAAAAAAAAAAACCTCTAGACGTAGTTTAAGGAGGCACATTCAACTATGAATCAACCGCGAGTCCGTCTGACTCAGGGGGCCCCCGGTATACTATGGAAAGAGCATCATGTTAACATTGTGACAGTTTAATAGGTATTAAAAAACGTAACTCACCTTTTCGAGCGTATATACCATACCATACCGCGCTAAGAACCATAAATCCGGCGAAAACTACGATCGCGTAGTTCATACTAACCTCAGTAACCGGTAGCGCAGTAGGCATCGAAAACAATACGACCTCCAAAAACACACAAAGCATCGCCAGCAAATTAACAACCAATCCTAAGTATCTCCCCATAGTCCACTTGGCGCTGTTGACTTCCTTGCGTCTGTGCAGCAGCGATATGGCGATCGGTATTCCGTAAGATACGGCCAGGGATATAACGCCGACCGACACGAAGGCAAGAAATGCCGACGAAGATCCGAGATTGATTAGCCCAAGGAGCATCTGGATGAGAGTGGTGAGGACAAGCGCCCAGATCGGCGAGCCGTGGCGTTCGTCGATCTTTGACCAGAGGCCGGCAAGCGGGATGGCATTGTCTCGCGCGAAGGCCCACGTGCACCTGGAGGCCGCACAAGTAATGGAGATTGAGCAAAATAGGGTGATTATAAGGACGAGCACAGTGAGCGCGAGACCACCTCCAGGTGTTCCCATGACTCTTCCGAAGATATATGGTAACGCTTGGCCTACGGGTGCGTCGAGTATGTCCGACAAGTCTGGCAATGTGGCGCACAGAGGAATAATCTAGTGCGTGAACCTGCTTAGTAAAAATTGAAAAAAGGGGTATGTGCGATCACATAGGCGACTAGGCTACTTACGAAGAATAATCCAGCAATACCACCAACAGGTATGCAGAGAGATAGAGCGTTAGGAAGCTTTACGGTGGGATCACCGCACTCTTCTGCCATTGACGAAATCATTCCAATGGCGGAGAACCTAGATTAGGTACAATACTATTAGTTCACAATGTCCGGGGGGCGGGACGCCGCAACTCTAGGGCGTGACCAGACTCACGTGTAAGCCGAAGGTAAGACGCCAATCCAAAAAGAAAAGTTATTCCAGCCAGAGAGCGACGTGTCGTAATGTCCCTAAATTTGAAACCAAATCTCAGTATTTCTTTCTCCGTGTCACTAGGCAGAGAGATATCCTACCAGAGTGTAGCTTGCGGAATGCCTGCCAACATCCGCTTTCACAGATAGACAGATACAAGTGACCACGATGCTGATAGCTGTGAATATAGCGCATGTCGTGTCGACCATAGGAAGAAACTTATTGCCAAAGGCGACTAAAAAGAACGTAAAAAGGCAGACGCCATAGAAGATGAGCAAAAGCTGCCAGTCTGTTATTACAAGGTCCGGCTTGAATAACGACACCGCTGCAGCGAGCAGAGACGCGAACCCGAAGTTGACGGATAGTGTGATGGTCCAGTTGCCGATAAGCCAGGTCCATCCGGAGATGAAGGAAAGAACTGTGCGATATTTCGGGCTAGAGAGTTGGAAGCTCCAGTAGTAGGGCCCTGCTGAAGTCGGATACCTGGAGGCCAACTCGCCTAATGATAAAGCGATGCATTCGCCGAGAATCAATACCACAATCCATCCCAGAAACATTGGCAATTGGCCTAACGGGTATTGTATAAGTACATGTGTGCGGAGTAATGGATGGTTGGGATACTCACCACCTCCATATATAGCGCTAATAAGGGGACCACCGAAGCCATACGGTATCTATATGCATTTACATTTAGATGGTCAGGTAATGAATCGGTTTAATGTCTCAATGTCTTGGACTTACCGCCGCGATAGCTAAGGATTGGAACAACAGCGTAAACATAGATCGGTTGCGTTGTAATTCCGGCTTGTAGCCAAGAACCGTGAGGTTGTGCACATCATGAACCGTTCCGAGCTGTGTTTGCCCCTGTTCGAAGTCTACCACAGCAGACAAGCCGTTCTTAGGACCTTTCTCCTTGATAGAGCTCATGATAGTAATGATCAAGTTCTCCCGATACGTTAGGTATACCTAAAAGTAATACTCGATATTAGATTTGAATCGTAAAAACATAATGATTCAACAGAATGAAGGAACGCTTTGGGGATATGAAATTAAGAACTACATGATGTTAAGCATTGGATTGTCGCTTTTGTTATCTCGGAATGAAGGTAGTCTTCAGCCACTGGCGGAGATTCCAGGGGTACATAGATAAGCACGCTCCATAACATTATGCACCCCGGATCAATATATCTTAACCTACCTGTGCCTTGAACTTATTCCTTATGAATATCTTAAGCATGTTTTCGTGATCTATCTGTATCACTCGCCCTTATCATTACTAACCCTTCTTGTTTTGGGTCCTGGCCTATGGTAACAGCTCGATAGATAACACCCGCATGTGATGGTGGGTTATGATTGATAAGGACGAAGGGAGCCCAGGATATGTGATATATACTACATTCCCCTCATATTGTCAATACGTGACGTATTTGAATCAGATAAATTTCCAAGACCGTCTGGGAAGTCTTAGGTGAGGCGGAACGTACCCCAACATACTAGCTGTCCAATCGCTCAAACATGGCCAAGTTTCCCTAGTTACTGCAGCTTCATAGTCGAGGTTATCTAGTATAAGTTAATAATTACGTTGATAACTAGGTATCTACCTGTTACGTCGCATATACTTATCCTAAATGCAAATAAGGAGAAGTGGATTGTCACTTACAGACCCATTGGTACGTTCATCGCCAAAGATCTCCACGTACGGAGAAGGGATATATAAACAACAGGTACCTAGGTGTAGATAAGACTACCGTAGCGCTAATTTCGTAATTAACTATTGGTCATTGCTTAGATGTAACGAGTGATAAACTTGGGATGTTATAGACTTAAACTAGATCAGAGCTATAAGAGGTGATGACTTGTAGTGAAAAGATATCTATCACTATATGTACCTACCTAGGAAATTAACGGTGAGATAATAAGCTATATGAGTATAGTTTACAAACCCCATATTGAAGTACCTACCTAGGTGCTTAGCTTGGATTTGTTCTCGTCGTATGATAAGAATTATATGAAAATATACCCAAGTTGGCTCCTGACAGTAGGTACTGTATATAAGACTTTGTAGTTTTATATACTACCATAAATTATCCTGCGTACCTTAGGTAGATCCCTGGCATAACTGAAACCAGGCCGCTAGCAAGTTTTCATAACATGTTAGAGTAAGGCATACCCAGATGCAAGCCTAGGAATTAAGAACTACGAGAGTTCGCTGATCGCCTGATCTTAGTTGTGGCCACTCGCTACGGTATACAGGGATGCCAACTATGGTAACTCCTTGTGGAAGACATGATAGTTAAGGGCTACTCACTACCTTTCTTAATGCTACCGTATTTCGGTGTCAACTGTAGATTATGAGCATTATATTAGGTACCTCTGTGTTTGACATCGCCAGTAACCTCGGATTCGGCCATATATCATATCATATTGGGAAGCTTGTGCGGTTGCGTCAGGCCTTTGACATATAATTGTTATAAAGGTTCGTGTATCTTTAGTAGTCGCGATTCCATTTTTAATACCGACCTCGAGACATATTCCATGTCAATAGCACAAGTATAACTCCGCAGCACGTTTAATACTGTTTACTTACACTCGACTACCTCATAGGAAGCAGAGCTTCAAATATTAAAACCTCATCTCGTGTTAAAATCGAATAGGACTGAATAATTACCTCCCCTCAATCCATATAAATACACCCTTATTACTAATGACGAGGCAATCAAGTCTAGACATAATTATCGTGATATTTTCTGAATGCTTTATCGGCGACCAAAATATAGACTAGGGTATGTAATCCGACGCCAGGAAAATGCACCCGATGATATCCCCCTTTTGGACTTGTCTCCTAACAAACGCCATTTCCTGATGACAAGACACATAGACAAGTCCGACTTCATGATCGGTTAAAGCCCTGCTTCGCCTGTAATTAATTAGTCGCGGGTTCCCGGATTAAGACGGCGTATTTTTCCAGCTTACCTTCATTTGCTCTATCCTTGCCTTGAGTTGACTCGTGACCTCTGCTGCACGCTTCCAACTTTCGGCGCCATTGTTGCCGGTTCCAGTAGTCGTTGAACTCATGGCGGATCCGGTGCTATGTCCAGCCCCCTCATCTATTGTTGTGGTCCTAAAGCCGCGAGCGGGGCTTCCCCTCCCGCTTGATCCACTGCCGTATCTTAAATCTGGACTTAATTTGCTTCTGGGGTAGTTGTGTGGCACATCGCCGTTTTCTTTTTCTTCGGAAAATGTACTGGTGAAACTCATCCTGCTCGTCCTGGCCCCTGCGTAGTTTGTATTATCACGGTAAATACCCATGTCATCAGGAGTAGGACTCGTCATTCTTGGACTTCCTATGCCACTGGAAACGCCTAGCCCCTCGGCTCTACTGAGTGCGCGTTTGAGACGTTCAAGTTCCCTTCGGAGTCTCTCGTTTACTTGCTCAGCTGTTTCTGCGTCGCTTCTTGCCCGGACCAGCTGAGTCTCTTTGGCTTTGATGCTGAGCACATCCCTCGTGTGATCCTCGATAAGACCGGCATTTTGATTTTTGAGCTCCTGAATTTCTGACATGAGCTTGCTTCGGTCATGCCGCATCTCATCTACCAGTTTAGTAAGCCGGTCGTTCGCCGTGCGCAACTCTTCTAGCTCAGCACGCTCAATAGGTGCAAGCCCACTCGGCGGGGGTGGTGAGGGCTCCAAAGGCGCCGCAGCGGGTGCGGCTGGTTTCGCTAACGACCGTGCTGCAAGACCACCTCTCCCAAGACCAACTCGGGGTTTTGGCGGCGGTGGCGATGCTGGGAGCTCCTCATCTTCCTCTGGAGGGGGAGGACTAGCAGCAGCTGGTGCTCTTCGGGGCGATGCGACACCAGGGGGGGCGAGGCGTTTTTGCGGAGCTTTCAGTCCGGTTAAGCCAGAAGACTTGGGCATTCCTAGCTTACTGCCAGAAGGAGCTCGAGATGCTGGCTGGGGAGCAGGCTCCTGTACGGGCTGAGAGGCGGCGGCCGGCGCAGCCTTTTTGGTAGCCCCGGTAGTCTTCTTAGCTCCTGCTTTCTTGGGGCCACCGGGTGGTCCCCGTGCTGCCGGAGCCGGCGGTGGTTTTGGCTTGTCTTTGGCTTTAACCTCGGCTTTTTCGAAATACTCCTTGATTTTTGTTTTTCGTATATCATCCAAGCCTTCTAAGTGCGGGTTCATGGCGCGTTCACCAATAATTTTCATGATTGTACCCAGAACCTCAGCACCACCGGACCTCAGCCCTTCGCTGCCCTCCGCGAGTAGCTTCTTCGCGACCTCGACAATACTAGCAACTTCTTGCTTGGTCGGGGGGTCCCGAGTCGTTCTAAGACAACGAACAAGGAACTTCATGCTTCCTTCTTTCACCTGGGGGTTTTTGTGAGAGAGGAAAGAGAGAATTTCTTCTAGACATTCCGACAAGTTTGTCGCTAGAAACACTTGGTCCAGCGCAGCTCCTAATGCGTCCGAGACGGATTGCTTTTTCTCCTTTAAACGCTCCATGATCGGTGTCATGACAGTCGACCGGTACTTGCCATATCCCTTTCGAAGACCTTTTGCGAGTACTTCGATACATTGCGCTGCCTGGGTGACAACAGCAATATTGGCATCTTTCATGCACTTCGCTAAACCACGGTTGATTTCGTTGAAGTCGCCATCTTTAATCCTCGGTACGTTGACCACAGCAAAGAGCGCTTCAAGAGCCTCTTTCCGGTCCTTCCACTTGGAAGACGCGAGGTTGTCGTGAAAATTAGCTGGAACCTTGGATAAGACATCTTGCGGTTCTGCAAGGTCGAATGCGTCGACTTCTGCAGGCTCCTCGGGCCCTTCATCATCGTCCATCTCTTCTTCTGCCCCGGGCGGTGGGGCTCGAGCCATGGCTTCTTGTTGGGTTCGTAGCAAGCGTTCCTGTTTTGGCGCTGGTTCTGCTTTGATCTTTTCAAACTGAGCTTCCAGATCAGATTGTTGTGTCGGCTTCAGGTCACCCCAGAACATAGGCTTCATCGCATCCCTTAACCACCGGTAAAATTCAACAGCGAGATTAGTTGCTTCGGCTCGGACATTCTTGTCTGCGTGTCCAAATGCCTTGGGGAGAATCTTGAGGACTGGTTTTGGGTCGACTATTTTGCAGCCGTAATTGTGATATATAGTTGTGAGAGCTGCTAAGGCTCCAGCGATTACTTTGGGTTGTTTCGCGGATACGGCTGGGAGAATATCCTCGATAATAGGACCGGCGGCATCCAATTCAATGAGAAGCAATAGAGCCTCGACCGAAGCCGCCTTTGTAGCAGGTCGTGTGGACACGAGGCCCTTCTCGACGATGGGAGTGACAACATGACCTCGTGAACGTACGCAGCATTCCTTGCCACCGAATTTGAGGAACGCGCAAAATGCTGCGATACCGTCTGACTGCGCGGCGACGTTTGAATCTGCGACCGCGCCCTTCCATAAACTCGGATCCTGGTTGAAGGGACGAAAAGCAGGATCGTATTCGTCCGGAGTGGTTTCGAATTGCTTTGCTGCTTCTTCGTATGCCTCCTTACGGACTTTCCAAACCTGCAAACCAAATATTGTCTTTAGCACCAACGCGGGAGTAAGGGGTAGTAGTATGTGATGGCAGTACGCACCTTGTGCACCCATCTATCCGTCAATGGAAGAGAGCTATAATCGGGCTCTCCTTCCGCCATATTCACGTGTGGATGGTTATGATGGACTGTCGCTGAGGTAGAATCTGGAGCGTTATATTTGTTGCGATCAGGGGTGTGTAGTGTCGACTTTCTTCGGGTGCGATGATGCGATAAAGCCGAAGCTACTTTCTCGATTAGTTTTGGTAGAACTGGCACCTTGGGGAGGCGAAGACGCATGTTGAGTGTAGAGGTTGCGAGAAACGTGGCGAGATAAAGAGATTAGGTAGGAGTTGAGAAGATTCAATGCGTCTTCTTCAGTCTCTTGTTCCCAGTCTCTCGTCCCCCGCGCTCCGTCCCCGGCCCCCCGTTCCTCACCTCAGACTTGCTGCTCTGCTCCTCGTATAAACTCTTCGCGGAAGCAACTGCTAACGACGGCTTCGTTGCTTTTTATTGCAGTTGACGCGATCGGAAGCTCGTATGGAAATGCAAATAGGGGTGGGCGAATGTCTCGAATTGAGATGTAAAGAGAATAGCAGACAGGCTATATAAGCCGCAAACCAGGGGAACAATGGAAGAATGTTTATGATGGAGGCTGGATGCGGAAAGGCAGAATGTAGAAGAAGGCAGAAAGATTAGACGTACGTTGTTTTCATGGGTAAGCTTCAGGGCTAAGCCAAGCTATATATCCTGTATCTGTGGTATCTGTGTGTCTATGCCTGTCCACGGTTCACCTTGTGGAAACTTCGAAGACTTGGGCGGTTCTGCGGGGAGCAATCTTAAAAAAATTGTATCGTATTGTTTTGTTGAGGCGATACACAGTATGTTGAATATAGAATTCGCATTTAAAATCGTGTCGCCGGCTCAATTTGAAGCTCTACCCTCTTATTTTTTTATGGAGAGAGGTATGTTGAAAAGGATTGGAGCGTGGATCGTTAGACGTTGTAGAGCGCAAAAAATTGGTACATGCGTCTCTGAAGTTGACGATGACGACGGGAGGTTGCTGGGTTGCTAGTTCGATTTATTATTCTGCATTAGGTAACTAGATGTACTTTTCTACATGTACTGTGCTAGGGTTGTCAGGGATGTCGGGGCAACCGATGCTTGTACCTTTTATCTACATATCCGTAACCATTTAAGCATTCCACGAATTCTTATAAGCAGGTGTTTTTTTTTTAAAGGTTGAAGGCTAAAACGCCTTAATCTAGCAAATCATGCTCTTATAATCAATTACTGTATTTCCAACTTACAGCCTTCAATGCGACAGATATGTAAAGTAGACGAGTCAACCATATTCATTTGTATTTATATCCAATTATCTGTTGAGGTATCTGTGCGTTAGTAGTGCACGCGTGCGCGCCGTAAATAAGGTATGGTTTACTTAGACGGACCTAGGCCAGCTTTGCGATCCAGCTTTGCGATCTCCACCAAGGTAAATATTTACCTAATTTGAGGTACATGTAATGATGTTGTACAAATTGAGGGGTGTGGCTTGTGTTTCTCTGTTTCCCCGGAGGCCGGGCAAAAGCCATGTGGCTTCACATGTCTTGTCGGGTCTCCATCTCAGGTACCTAATGGGCTTGTTTCCAGGTACTCCCCTACAATGTACCTCTAGTAATGGGTACCTACCTCCTACCTAGTTAATGCATTAGGTACCGGAACACATCAAGAAACAAGTCAATATCTAGAATTGTTGTCTATCGTCTTTTTTTTTTCTCTATCAAAAAGGTCTTACTTAGAAGCGACAATTTGATGACCCTACCTTTTTCCTCTTGACCGTTCCGAAATGTTGCCTCGAACCTATACGAACGCATCTATTTGATTGAATCTGGATTTTTCCTCCCTTTTTCACAATCCTGAGCGATAGCTTCAATTATATCGCTTCTCTTCCGGCGCAACCCTAAAAGGTTATGATTCAAGTATATCTCATCCTATAACCTCTCGTCAAACGATCGAACCGCTCACCTACCACCTCACCGACCTACCTATTTTTCTCCTACGGCAACATTTATATCGCCTTTCCTCGTACCTACGTTATACTCTGCCTGGTTGACTTTCCTACTGGTTCTCCCTCGCGGGTTTGCCAGCAGTTCGTCCACTGTTTGGTTCTCGTGTCGTTTCCACTTTAGTACCAAGATTCGTACGATTCGGCCTAAGAAATCTTGAAAAGAAGCCTTCGGTAGCACATTTTGCTGTCTGCGCTGCGACGCACTGCCATCTTTTGAGACTTGACGCATTGTGCGCTGGTAGTCGTTGCCTTTGTTACCGTCTTACTCCCTTTGAGTGCTACTTACAGCTCTCTGGGGTTATATTGACTGCCTGCGACCTCTACCTAGTATAGGACCCCCGTACCTTCGCATTATACGTCCATGAGCAGCTTCGTGCGGTGGAGTGAACAAGATGAGCCAAATTCTGACCCCACGACAAGCTGAAGAGCTGTACGTTTACGATCTCGATCTACCCCCACCACTTGAGGAACAATGGGAACGTAGATGATCCTAACTTCTATCCTAGGCACAAAGCTATTATTGCGTACTTGTCGTCCAACAATTTGCCTAATACGGCCGCTGCTTTGAGGGAAGAGCTGGGTCTTGGTGATACATTCGATGCTGCTACTTCTAAGAAATATGAGGGCCTCTTAGAAAAGAAATGGACCAGTGTTGTAAGGTTACAGAAGAAGGTACGGAAGACGAGTCGCCTTGTACCTTATGCTCCCGGACCTTTCACTAACACATATCGCGTCGATGTTAGATTATGGAATTAGAGTCGAAAACGGCTACTCTACAGTCTGAATTGGATAATGCGACACCTACCTCTCTGTCTAAGCGAAACCAAGACCCGTCTAGTTGGCTACCTCGATCTCCGCCACGCCATACTCTGGAATCTCATAGGGGTCCTATTACTTGCGTCGCCTTTCATCCCGTCTTTTCTTCCTTAGCTACAGGCTCCGAGGATTATACGATAAAAATATGGGATTGGGAGTTAGGCGAGCAGGAACGTACAATTAAGGGACATACAAAAGCAGTGTTGGATGTTGATTTTGGTGGTCCCCGAGGAGGGACCCTTCTGGCGTCGTGCTCGAGTGACCTAACTATCAAGTTGTGGGATCCTTCTGATGAATACAAGAATATTAGAACTCTACCCGGACATGACCATAGCGTTAGCGCCGTTCGTTTCATCCCCTCGGGCGCAGCAGGTGCGCCGAGTTCTAGCAACCTTCTCGTATCTGCTTCTAGGGATAAGACGTTACGTATATGGGACGTGACGACGGGTTATTGCGTCAAAACGATACGAGGGCATGCAGATTGGGTCAGAGACGTCTGTGCGTCGCCGGATGGCCGTTATCTTCTATCTGCCGGCAATGACCAGACTGCTCGCCTCTGGGATATCTCGCTTGCTAATCCTGAAAGCAAACTGACACTTGTTGGTCATGAACATACGGTCGAGTGTTGCACTCTTGCGCCGCCTTCGACTTATCAGTATCTTGCGCCACTTGCCGGCTTAAAAAAGCCACCACCAGCATCGAGCACTGCGGAATTTATGGCGACAGGTTCTCGAGACAAGTCGATACGGATCTGGGATGCGAGAGGCAACTGTATCAAAACGCTTCTCGGACACGACAACTGGGTAAGAGCATTAGTGTTCCACCCAGGCGGGAAATATCTCATCAGCGTATCTGACGACAAGACGTTGCGATGCTGGGATCTGACCCAGGAGGGGAAAAACGTAAAGACGCTTGTTGACGCACATGGCCACTTTGTCTCCTGTTTAAGGTGGGCCCCGGGTATTATACGGGAGCCCGCGACGAACGGCTCTGGCGAAGGTCAAAATGGAACATCTTTAAATGGCATTGCAAAGGCTGCTGTCGCTGCTGAGGTGCAAATCCGGTGTGTTATCGCAACAGGGTGTGTGGACTGCAAATTAAGGATTTTTGCCAACTGAGATCACAGCCGCGGCGTGTGGTAGGACTTGAAAACGATGTTGTTGTCGTTCTGGCGTCACTCTAGCGACCTTGGGTTTCTGTCAAAGCTTAAAACGCTTCTATAGCTGCACTAACCAGGTCTCGAAGCAAAGGGCTGAGGCGCGTACCCTCAGATATTGTTGCCGAACAAGCAAAAAAACTGCAAACCTCGCAAGCTATGCGGTTCGCTGAAGCGGCGCGGGAAGACGTTTAGAAACAAGCTTTAACGCCAGGGATATCTGGGAAAGTCAAAAGACGGAGCTGGCGGGTTGGTTAGGGGGGGCGGGGGCGAGCATGACGAAGGGAAGAGGGAACGAGATTTGTTGGCGTTGATAAGTGCCACGATTGGCATCATCTTCTGCGGTGCTATTGCATCGTTCAGGGTGATTAATGGTCACGACAGCACCTAGATATGGAAGAAAATAGATACCCTATCATTGCATACTAAGGAGAGGCTTGAATATACGATCTAGCTCTGAGCTGGTTTGCTCTTATATGTATATTGCCTCTATGTATCTTAGGTACCTACCTGCAAAATTACATGAAGAGGTATATTACATGAAGTTTGCAAATTCGAATTATATGATCCCAGTCGACCCTTATGTTTTAAACAATAAGGACGGAAACATTCTTATGTTTTTAGGAGGTATGTATAAACGCAACACAGCACCCATTTATATCCGTATGACCTTGCCATAGAACCTATATTCCTTCAGTATAAGCCGAAGTGCTATTTCGTAATAGACAGGTACCTAGGTACCTATGTAGGGATATAAATTGAAATACAATCAAATCATCAATTTACATGTATGTCTTTTAATCAAGTACTGCCTGATGAAGGGGCTGGAGGGGGCATTACAGAGCTCACGAGGGGTACACAGCATGTGTAACTGGGCCCAAAAAACACCGTGTATATTCACTTTACTTTTACTATGAACTGGACCCTCTAGTAATTGCGTACAGTGTGAAACCGAGATCTGCTGCAACACATGCATTTGCTGCGAGTGTATGGAAGCAGGCGCGCCTACCCAAAGGAGCGAGAAATGGCTGACAACTTCTTACATTACGTACCTGGTATATTAGGTTAGGTACATTCCACAACCTCCTAGACATTGGAACTAACTTACCTCCTTACGTTAGGTTAGGTTAGGTTAGGTAGACTTATTAAAGGTATAATCCAGCCTAGCAGATGTGCCGGCATTTCTCAACTCTCTACTCTCAACTCTCTGTTCTCAACTCTATATTTACATCTAGCCGTATAGTTAGTTCAATCTTCTACTTAACCCTTTATATTTTTGAACAAGCTGCTGGCTTCATTCCCTTCGCCTAGTGCTCTCCGCTCTCCCTCCCCGCCGAACCAACCATTCCCCTTTATTAGGTACTTTTATTACTTGAACTTGTAGAGGCGGATTCATAAGACGGGGTGGGATTAACAAATCGAAACCGGAAATTCAATACAGTACTTACTTCATTACCTCCTACCTCCTACCTTGCAATACCTCCCACCTAACCTAATCTAGCTAAACGACAAGCGCCCGAACCCACAATCGCTGCCTGATCCTATCTCCATTTTCCCTTCGCAATCTGTGCCTTGCCCTTTGGCATACGGGCATCGGAATCTGGATTCGCAGTACCTCTTTGCAATTGGCTTATCTACTAGGTTAGGTTAGGTACCTAACCTAGCCTGTCTAATAAGTCCAAGGGCTTCCAAGTAGGCAAGGTAAGGTGCGAATAAAAAAAAGTACCGAAAGAAAACCCTATTGTTACCCATCTAATTTCGACCGGATAGACCGACCGTCGGAAAAATAAAACAATCGAGAAATTTCCTGCCTTGGCCGCACGTGGGAATAGCCCACATTACCTGTGCCGGTGACGATAGGTACTACATAGTACAATTCATTTCGCCCTTATTTTTCCCCCGCGCGCCACCAAACTTGGATCCGATCCGATCAGACCCGGGTAAAGGACAGGCTTTCGTATGCCGAATCCCACACCTTACACCCGTCGTCCATCTTCAATCGTACTTACATCAACACACCTACCTCTATTCTTACCAGTCCCAGTCCCAGTTTCAGTCCCAGTCCGGTGCCGGTGCAGCCCAGCTGGCGCAGTGACATAGGGCCTCGCCCCATTTACGAATCGACATGTTTTGGAGATTTGGCGGTTACGCCAACATCTCGACTATCGATACCATTCTTGATAAGCCCGATTTCCAACTTGAGGATTTACTTGACGAGAGTGATCTTATCCAAGAGCTAAAACAACACAACACTAAGCTCATCGAGTATTTACGCGAGACTCCTGTGCTTGAGAAACTCCTCGAATATGTTGTCACCCCGAAACTCGAACCCGTAGAAGCTCCCGAAGAGGATACCAACGAAGATGAGAAGAAGGGCAAGTCTAGAGGCCTGTCTTTCGGCCGCCCGCGTGCCTTGTCGAGAACAACCAGTGATGGGATCGAGGAGGACGAGGCGGAGAAGAAGCGGAACAGATATGCTTATGTTGCTGCTGAGGTCCTCTCCTCCGATAATTGGTCCATCTACGAAGCTCTGATGGACAGCCGGCCGCTTCTGCGCAACTTTTGGAATTTTCTTAGACATCCGTCTCCCCTGGATCCCCTTCAGGCGAGCTATTTTACCAAAGTCAACGAAGCTTTGTTCGATAAGAAGACTGAGGAGATGCTGGATCTCTTAAAGTCTATGGATGATGCCGTCCCCAATATGCTACGCCACGTTGACTGCCCCATGATAATGGATCTCTTGCTTAAAATTATCAGTCTCGAGAGAAGTGAGAGTGGCCAGGGTATAGTTGAGGTGTGTTTAGATATTCAAAAAGGCCAGTCGGTCAGATAACTCATGGTGCATCGCTAACATAACTCCAATGGAAATAGTGGCTCTACGCGAAAGATGTCATGCCAACATTGCTCTCGTTTCTTGGGCCAGAGCACAGCCCTGCTACGCAGACATCTGCCGGTGACTTCATCAAAGCCATCATCACCGTCTCCGCCAATGCTTCGCAGAACGAGCAGGCTTGCATTGGCCCCAATGAACTTACGCGCCAGCTGGTATCCAAACCCTGCATCCAGCAGCTTATCGGATATATGCTTGGTGGAGGAAATCCCCTTACTGTTGGCGTAGGAATTGTTATTGAGGTCATCCGCAAAAACAACTCCGATTATGATCCGGATGTTGGTCCTGACTCGAATGCCATGCCTTCCAGCCGCGATCCCATTTATCTTGGTACTCTGCTTCGGCTCTTCGCAGAAAATGTCCCTTCCTTCATGACTAAGATTCTCAATGCTCCAGCCTCCTCTCAGAAGAAACAACTGGATTCCACGTTTGGGGAGAAGATCGAGCCTCTTGGTTTTGATCGGTTCAAGACTTGTGAGCTCATGGCCGAACTTCTCCACTGTAGTAACATGGCACTCCTAAATGAAGTTGGTTCAGAGCAATTAATAGCTCTCCGAGATGAAGAGCGTCAGCGGTTACGAGCTGAGGGCCGACTAGGAAACAACCGCGGCGAGGAGGTGCAATCATCAGAGGATCTAACTATGCGGATGCGTCACTCCTCTCCTGACGATGGCCGCCGTCTGGAGATCACAAACGCTTCAGATGACGATGGATTTGAAGAAGTTGTCCCAGCAGGCGAGATGACTGAGGATACATCGCATGAATTTGTCAAAGCAGAGGACGAAATCCCCACCGGGCCAGTCTCTTCTTTTCTCGACAGGGAAGATGACGATTTTGTAGAAGAGCCTCTTAGCTCTCCAAGATTGAACATCCATGATAGTAAACTCAATGAGCAACAATTCGAAAATCCTGAGCTCATGGTCGCACCCCTTTCTCCCAAGAAGCCGCCAGTTACTCTGCAATCAGTACAAGAGGGCCTTGCCGTTCCAACAGTTGATTCACAGCCGACCCAAGCCGCTCAAACGGGTACTGGGCAGCAGCAAATAGAGCGAACAGACAAGGAACATAAGGATGATGGGCCTTCTAAGTTAGTGGATGCCCAAGTATCAGAGTTGAAAGACGCGCCTAAGGAGCCTCCTACAAACAGTTCCGAGACGGCAGAAAAACCTGCTACTTCAACATTACAGGGAGAGGACAAATCGCCCTCAACGCCATCCGCTGAGAAGTCTGTTATAAATGATACGCCTACAGAAAATAAACCAAGTGGGTCTTTACAAACAGAGTCCGGAAATGTAGGCAGTGCTCCTACCGTTCAATCAAGTGAATCGATCGGCGCTCGAGCTCATCAACCTGAGGCAGTTCTGCCCGGAAGTAGGGAGCAACGCCTTGATCCCGTGGTTGGTGATTATCTCAAAATGCAATTTGTTGAGTACCAAGTTGTGCCAACGATACTGGTGAGTGATCTCTGACTATTATCCATAATGCAAAACTAATTCGAATATAGTCCTTCTTTTTCAAGTATCCCTGGAATAATTTCCTCCACAACGTTGTTTACGACATCGTCCAACAAGTATTCAATGGCCCTATGGATCGCAGTTATAACCCTACTCTAGCAATTTCACTATTCGAAGCTGCTGATATTACTAACGCTATCATCAGCGGTCAGAGATCTAGCGAGCAGTCCCAAGCCCGAAATAAAACTCGGATGGGTTATATGGGCCACCTAACGCTTATTGCTGAAGAGGTCGTCAAATTCACAGAGCGGAATCCACCAGAGCTCCTCTCGGAGCTCGTCTTGGATCGCGTTATGAGCCAGGATTGGATTAATTATGTCGAGGGTGCCCTTGCAGAAACAAGGGAAAGAGACAATGCTATTCTTGGTGGAGTCAGACCGGAAGTTGCTATGAGTAATAGGACGCAGATGGGCGGTAATAGTCTAGGTGGTATGGGCTTATCAAGTCTGGGACTGGGTGGCGGACAGGGTGGTGGCTCCAACGCGCTTGCTGAGGCAGGATTAAACGGTGCTGGGAACGGTATGGAAATGCAGGATAATGGTAGCGGAAGCAGCATCGGACCTTTCAGTATAAGCTCTGGCTTGCTATCGGGATCTGGGTTCGGCAGTTCGAGTGATGAGGAAGATGAGGGTGAAGATAATGAAGAGGACGTTAATAACGAGGTAACTAATCCCCGGTACCATGCGACTACCTTTGATTTCTCAGGCTGGATCTCACGTCAACGGCCCACATATACAAAGGAATGAAAGTAGATAAATTTACTAATAGTTCGATAGTTCCGAGCGTACACGGATTCACTAAATGCGACCTCTTCGACATCAATGGACCCCCCTTCTGTCCCGCCGCCTCCGCCGCCGCCGCCGCCACTAAACATTCCTCCGTCGCGCGCACGTCTACAACTAGCTGCAAGGCTTGCGATGCACCAGAAGAACTCAGCTGGCTCATCGGCTCAGTCAGAGGGGCCGGATAGTAATCAAGAATCTAACCAAACTGTGGCAGATAGGGAGTCTGACAGCATCCTCCGCAATCCTTTTGAGGATGACGGAGAGGATGACGTAGATGATGAAAGCGACGACGGCCTTGCTGGAGATGATAACAACGCGGAGTCTTGGGGTACGGGCGCATCCAGAGGCAGCTGGTGGCGAGGAGCTTTAGGCCGAGGTAAGGAAAGGTTTGGGGACGGCAGGGACGATTCCGACTCAGACAAGGACGAGGCTGCCGGGGGCGAGGATGAGGACGAAGAATTTGGCGATTTTGCGATGCCTGAGGTTGACAAGGACGGGAGCAACGACAAGGGCGGAGTAATCGTAAAGCCGCTCCCAGTTCACCCGCCGCCTCAGAATCAGAAAGCGTCGGCTTTTACCAGCCTCTGGCCGTTCGGGTCAAAGGATAAAGAAAAACAAAAAGCCAAAGATAACGAAACATCAGGGGAAAATTCGGGCGAGGTCACAGATGAGATTACGGGCGATGATGGTGAAAAGATCAAGAGCACACACGAAGCAACTAGGAGAACAAGTATTGAAGACCCCGACGATGAGGAGGTGGTCGTTTAGGAGCCGGCGTCCGAAGCGAGCGAGGCTCTTCACGATGGCTTTGTCAATGTTCCTAGTGGCTCACATGGATGATACCCCGTAATCAATATTGCGAAGACGATGGTTCCAATAGAGACGCGGGCCGTACCTTTACCACGCGATAAATGGGATATGGCAACGAGGATTATCAGGCGCGTTTGTATTATATGTGGTTTTTTTAAGAAATGGCTGTTCGCATGTTTCACGGTTTTCCATCCTGTACAATAATAACTAAGTCCGGAATGGTACGAGATTATGGATCATATTCCCATTTGATACGTCTTATGAAAGTAGATGCAAGAAAACCTTATTACCTGTCATAGTTAAAGGGTTTCTCGGGTCTTGATATTGGGAGATCGGGTTGGCCGGACTTTGTTCTCCAACCGGGGCTGAGGAATGGATAAAGCATGTCTTATGATGGATGTCATGTAGTGTCACGCAAAGAGATGTTGGCATGTCAGGCTTATACGGATTTACCAGCACGCACACTGGATGACACGGACCAAGTAGATCAAGCAAGGCATGATAAGGTAAGGCACACATTAGGTAACTTAGGTACTACAGTAGTTTTTAAATAGATAGTAGATAATTGTATATAAATATCTCTGCAACTGTGGCGCGCGTGAGCTCGTTCTGAGATAATGACTTCATGGTGTTTTATGAATGCGGCGCGGTACTGAGTAAAGGCGTTGATCGTCAGTCGGTATCCTAAGCTAAAGAAACCTAGGGTAACTATTAGAGGTACTCAAGGGAATTCCGCCTGTCAATGCACATATTTTCAAGGATTTGTTCCAAGGGAAAGCCATCGCGTCGGCCGAAGGAGGATGATTGGTGACATAAATAGGAATGGAATCCCTGTAGGTTTCCGGAAGACCCTCAAACCGTTTAGAAAGCTGAATTTCGGCTGATGTAACTTCCATGGTTACCTCGCTTGTTTTACCTAACAACAGGGTTTAGATCTGGCATCGCTATTCTTATTTTTAGCTCAGCTACCAAGATATTGCCTGGAAGATATTCGGGATATTTGTACCGATGCATCTAACAACCTTGGAACTTACCGACCTCCGATGGAGCCTCTAGACTTTTATATCTCTACTGGGAACTCCGGCTTACGCTATCTTTACTACTTCATCCTTTTGGCAAAGTACCGTCTTGTGTATAGAGTACGTCAGCCCCAGCCTAAAGACCACAAGAGGATCATGAGGTATATATGCCTTTCAATTGCCGATCGTTACTATCCACTCGCAGCAATGTTCAAAAACCTGGAGCTGGGATCTACCTGTCTACCTGTCATGCCCGAGGTGGCCACCCGCAGGAGAGTCTGTCGGATCCCGACCCTTGTGTACGGTGCCGTTTACAAAGGGATTTATATCAGGTACATGATTATATCCGCTTAGGAGGTAGGCAAACACACATCTAAATAGAAATGGGAAATAATAATATCATGCCCTTACATTTCCCTTGCTTTACCTCTAGAATCTTGTTCCGTTCTTTTCCCATTCGAATGCCATAACATAACACGCCTGCTCTGGTGTGCCTGGAGTCTTATCTCCCTCTAACGTCCTTCCTCTCTCAACCCAAAGATGGCATTTCCTATAGGGGAAAGCTTCTTGTATCTGTCGTCGACTGATACTTCGGACGAGCTGTCCGAAAGTCAACCTAGCAGGACGAATAGCCAATCCCATCGCTTACCGAATAGGGTAAATCGCACGCTAAGAAGGAAGAACCTTTCGATAAACACATCTCTCCCTCTAACTCAGCCAGAGAACTTCAATAATGCCGGGCAGCTTCTAAGGTTCGAGGTAGCCGACGCTCTAGGCATTGAGGCTAGTTATCTTCCTCAGTTATCTCATAGTTTGGTCCAGGCTTATGACGACTCAAGCTCAGTATATTCCGGCTCAAGTAACACACAGCAGCTCATGGATAAATCTAAGCCAACGGGAAGGGAAGGCTCTGTGAGCCCAGTCTCGGACTACTCGTCCCCAATCGATACGGCGGAATGGAGTCAATTAATAGATGACTTGGCGGAAAAGCGCCTTAGTGCTGCTATAACTAATGTACTCGGTATTGACACCGAAATGCTTCCCTCAGACGAATCATTCCTAGATCTTGGGGGCAACTATCGAAAGGCTAGGGAGCTTCGAGCGGAGTGTATGGACGCAGGCATAAGTATCAATACCAGTGATATTATGAACTGCAAAACTATCGCTGATCTCGAGACACGCATAACGCCGCTTGCCTCGCGTAGGGTTTCGGAGAACAAGATACAACCTACAGTCGTTAGTCCACTCGAACCAGAGTCGCCAGAGAATTCTGAACCTCCGGCAATTCCGCCTAAAGCGGCGGCTAGATACTCTCTCATTCAACCGCAACTCAGACCTACGCTATCCAAGAGGCGCTATGCCGGAGTTGAGAAAATTCTCAATCGACACAGCGACATCTCAAGAGCGTCTGTACTCAAATCCAAGGCTGGCCCATTCGAAGGGCGGCTCGTGGCATTCGTCACCCTGACAGGCTGTGGTGTGGATGGCTCAGCCGACTGCGAAGTTAAATTACAAAGTCCTCGCCACACTATCAAACTATCAACTATCCGGAAAGTGGTCGAGGCTCAACTGTCGCCAAGTCTCATACCTAGCGTCTGGATTGCGTTAGAAAAGATGCCCTTAGACGACGCGGGTAATATCAACCGGAGAAAGTTACAAACGTGGATACAAAATACTAATGACGAGACATATCACCAAATTCTATCCGTTGACTCGAGAGCGAGTTTAAGACAGCCCGCAAGTGTGATAGAAAAACGCCTCCAGAAGACAGCGAGTAGGGTGCTACGTATGGATCAAACCGGTATAGGCATGAATATGTCGTTCGCAAGTCTGGGTGGCGATAAAAGGGCCGCGGCAGAGTTCACAGCGAAATGCGAACCTCAGGGGATTTGTCTCGATGCGGAAGACGTCATGAACGCAAGTTCACTAACCCAGCTTGCTGCCCTTGCAAGGTCGAGTAGGTCGCACTCGCGCAATATGAGCGAATTACCGGTCGATGCCTTCGAAATTTCACCTATGCAGCGTCTATATTTTCATACCTCCATGGGCGGTGATGTTCACCAACGAGAATCCAGGAACGATGAGTACAGGTTTAATCAAAGCGTGCTGTTTCGGCTGAGACGAGCTACAAGCATAGAGGATGTGGCAGCAGCGGTAGAGGCTGTAGTCAGTCATCACCCTACGCTAAGATGTCGGTTCCGGCGAAGTGGAATTTCCTGGTGTCAACTAATAGAACCGGATATCCCATCTTCTTATCATTTCACCTCCCATACATTTACGACTAACGCTGAATTCGAGAAACTAGTCAGAACCGCCCACGAGAGAATTGACATTGAGACGGGCCCTGTCTTTGCTGCCTATCATTTCAATACCAGTGATGGCCACCAAATGCTCTACATGGTCGCTCATCATCTCGTTATCGATTTAAGGTCGTGGAATATCATAGCAGACGACTTAGAAGGGTTGCTCACTAAGGGGTATCTCATCTCTGGTCACACCCTCTCCTTTAGAGAATGGACGCTCCACCACAGACATCGCATACGGGAGATGAGCATTCCGTTCGACGTACCGAGGGGAAACTATAGATACTGGCAAATTGATCCCGCGTCCAACAAATACGGCAATACGTTGTCTACTGGTTTCACGCTTAGTGCAGAGGTCACCTCAGCCCTAAAAATCAGCTGCCAGGCGCTTAAGGTAGACCTTGTGGACCTTTTCATGGCTGCTCTTCTTCTCTCCTTTGCGCGAGAATTTCACGACCGCACGCCGCCTACTATATGGAACCAGATGAATGAGAGATCTTTATTCGGAACGGAGAGAAATATATCAGAAACAGTAGGATGGTTTACCTCGCTATACCCGGTGGCTGCCCATGTTTACCCAGCGGACGATATCTCAACTGTACTCAAAAGGATCAAAGACTTGGAATACGCTACCATTAAAAGGGGTATTCTACAGTTTGCTAGGAATCTGATAGATGGCGCCTCTACGCTTTCATTTGTTTCCTCCTACTGCCCTCTCGAGCTTATGTTTACTTACTCTGAAAAACGGCAAAATATGAAAAGTCAAGACACCTTATTAGAACAAGTCCCTGCGTCAGATAGGACCTTGGCTTCAGGTGTGTGGGATATTGGAAACGATGTCGGGCGTATCGCCATATTCGAGACTTCAATATCAGTCGAGGAGAGTGGAACCAGCGTCGAGTTTCTCTACCCCAAAGATTGTGTACATCAGGAGAAGATAGAAAATTGGGTTTGTGGTTACGAGAGGATATTACTTCAAGCCACAGAAGGGTTGCAGCATGAAAAGTCGAGGGCGTCTTTATCTAACCCTCTTCATCTGAACATTTCCGACGAAGAGTTCAACCGACTAAATGCAACAATCCTACCGCGGCTCAATCTCAATGTTTCTAATATCGAGGCCATTTATCCCGCAACGGAAACTCAGCAAGACATTATTACCAAGCAAGCTCTAATTCCGGGGAGTTCTAAGGCGTTGATGATTTGCGAACTCGCAACGTTTGATCGGCCCATTGATACTTCTCGCATCTGCAATGCTTGGCTTCAAATGACATCGAAGCATTCCGCCTTGAGGACTATCTTTTCTCAGAGCGTCTCCAATAGCCGCTTGTATGATCAGATAATTTTGAGGTCACATTCGCCCACCATGCTCTTCCTGGAAAGTGATAGCGTTGAGGATGTAATGGCATCTATTGATAACCTACCCCCTTTACCACTGAATGAGGGTATTCCTTGGCATAGACTTGTTGTATGCCAGGTAGCCGACAAGACATTTATCAAGTTGGAGGCAAGCCAGGCAGTATGCGATGTACGTCCTTAAAATCCTTACGAATTCTACCTGCAACTGATTAGGTATCCAGGTCTTCAGCATGTCCATTCTCTTCAAAGAACTTGAGCAAGCCTATTTCCATGACCAAATCCCCTCTCGGACCGAGGCATCATATCTTCAGTATGCGCAGCATTTGGAAACGTCCTCTTCCAGTATTGATTTCTGGAAGGAGCATTTGAAGGGTGTTCAACCATGCCAATTCCCTGCCCTCGTATCGCAACATTCCATTCCAAACGAGTGGGAGACTACGACTGTTGATCTTGACGTTCAGTATGAGAAGCTCAAAGCTTTCGCTGGGGAACATAGCATAGGTCTATCCGTCATACTCCAGGTTGCGTGGGGTTTACTCTTACGGACTTATATCGGAACAGACAATGTCTGCTTTGGGTACCGCGTTGACGGTAGGGATTTCCCCGTCGAGAATTTGGAGGGTACTATTGGTTCATTTTCAACTATCTTGACATCCAGGCTTCGAATACCCCGTGAAGAGCTCCTTACGCAGCTACTGCTAAATGCGGAGAAGGACCGTCTACAAGCATTCGACCATCAACACATACCTATTAGCAGGGTCGAACACGAACTACAGATCAAGGGTGTTCGCTTGTTCAACACCTACCTCTCATTAAGGTGCGAATATGGGTCTTCCACAAGTTCAAGATGCCGACAGGTCAGGATAGAGCAAGCCTCAGAGTACGATGTTGGCGTGGATGCATACTTTCACGACGGAAACATGTCAGTTGACATTGGGCATCGCATCTTTAACTCCGATCAAGCAATTACCGTTGCTTGTGTATTTGGAAGAGCTATTGAGGCCATCCTGGACTCACCAACGAGTGGAGTCCAGGAGGTCGACTTATTCAGTATGCGCGACCATGAACACATCCTGGCATGGAACAGCATGCCTCAAGCTGATCTACCTAAGGAAACTATCCATGGCTTAGTCGCACGTCAAGCTTCGCTAAACCCGGAAATCCAAGCCGTCTGTGCGTGGGACGGGGAGTTTTCCTATGGTGATCTTCACGATCTGTCCATTGTCCTTGCTAAACACCTTCTCGCTTCCGGCCTCAAGCCACGAATGCCTGTGCCTGTGGCTATTGTCAGGAGTCGGTGGGCTGTAGTAGCCATGCTAGCGGTGCTCCAGTAAGTTGGTTATATCTAGCGATGCCAAATCCTGTACTGACCTGCTTCTAGTGCCGGCGCAATTTTGGTGCCTATCGATATTGAGATCCCCTCAGAAATTTCCAGGATCATCAGAGAAGTTGGTGCCAGTTTCGTCCTAACCTCAGCTAGTGTTCGAAAATTCGTGGATGGTCTTGGGGCAAAGGCCATCACTGTAGACGAAAACGCTGTTCTGGCTATGTCCGCACAGGCGGTCGATATGGACCTTCCACGTCCTACACCCTACGAAATAGCCTGCATTCTTTTCAGCGCCGCGTCCACTGGGACTTTCAAAACAGTCTCCTACAGCCATAGATCCTTAGCAGCTGCTTGTGTCGGGCAGAGTTCTACGCTACTCATTAACCCCTCGAGCAGGGTCATGCAGCTCTCTTCGTATCATGTCGATATTGCGCTTTCAGAAATCTTCACTACCTTGGTTCAAGGGGGCTGCGTCTGTATCCCTTCAGCCTCGGAGAGAACTGCCGATTTCTCCGGAGCCGCCAGGCGCATGCACGTTAATTGGACATATTTAACACCGACGCTATCAAGGAAATTAGATCCGAAAAGCCTGCCAGACCTTGCCGTTGTCTGTTTCCGTGCGAAGCATCTTGATGATGATGTTTACGCACCATGGATTGGTAAGGCGAAGGTGTTACTGGCTTATGGTTCTCCTGAAGCTGGCCCCCTTGCACTTTCTGCCACCGAGCTTACTGATTCGAGCACTTCGCAATGCTTCGACAGTCCATTCTACGGTAACTTTTGGATAGTCAGTCTGGAAGATAGTAACCGGCTCGTGCCAGTAGGTGCGCTTGGCGAGCTGGTAATAGGGGGGCCGACACTTGCTAGCGGTCTAGACATCCACAAACTAAATATCAAGACATGGACCGAAAAGAGACCAACTTGCGCAATGTCACTACTGGAAAAATCGGGAAATCGCCTACTCAGAACGGGACACCGTGCCCGTTATCTCGAGGATGGAAGGGTTTTATTCGCCGTAGATGACGGTGGAGATGCGCAAATAGACGGTAGAAAGTTCCGCCTTTCGGTTGTCGAGCCAAAGCTTCGACAATGCCTCGGCCGGCGTGTCGACGTAGTGGTTGAGACGATAGCCTTCAACGACCCCGATTCGGATCCGATTTTAGCTGCCTTTATCGATTTTGGAGAGAATGTACTGAGGAGAGGGGAAGAATTGCCGAACCTCAGTCGCACTACAAAGGAGAGATTATACCTTTGTAAAAAGATGGCCAGCATGGCGCTCCGAGAAACCTTACCCAGGTATATGGTCCCCTCGGCGTATATACCTGTTAAACGTATGCCTTTGACACCAACGTTGGATGTCAACAGGGTAGAGCTCCAACGAATGATTGCGGGTTCATCCAGGAAACAACTTCTTGGGCTAGCAGAGGTTTCGAATCCGCAAGGGCTTCAAAATATTAGTTTCAAACCTCTCCCTCTAACCGAAGTGGAACATCGAATGAGGGCTATATGGGGTCAAGTACTCGGCATCGAAGAAAGGTCGATTACAGCTAGCGATGGATTTCTAACCTTAGGCGGTGACACCGTCTTTGCCTATGAACTAATCAGGGAGTGCAAGCAGCGCGGCATTGATCTTTCTATCATCGATATCCTTCGAAACATCTCTCTGGCTGAGATATGTACGGGGGCCATGATTATGGAGACATATCCTACAGTCTTTCAAGCGGTCGTTGAACCGATGCAGCTAGATTCCCCAAGTTTTCCTACTGGCAAAGGAATTGCGTCTCAGCTTGGATTCGATAAGGGCTTGGTCGAGGATATAATTGAGGCGTCATCGTTGCAAACAATGTTCATCGAGTCTGAGATGGCACAGAGTGGTGGAATTGTCGATTACCTGGAGATTAATATCAACGGGTCTCTAGATTGTAATAAGCTTCACGATGCGTGCTTTAGGTTGATCGATGCTCATCCCATTCTTCGGACGGCATTTGTTACTCACCGTCACCAACTCTACCAGGCCGTCTTTAGGTCTCATCGTCCAGAATTTCCGAAGTATCACTGCCAAAGCTGGAGACTTGGCAATCTAACTACCTCGAAACTCATTAAGAGGGAGCAAGCGAAACGTATTGACTTTTGCCAACCCGTTACCAAGTTCTCCTACTTTGACGCCGGAAAAAGCTCCGTGCTCGTCATACGACTTAGTAGAGCCCAGTATGATGGGCTTTCGATACCTGTGCTTCTCAGCGACTTAACCCGGTTCTACAATCATAGCGATCAGCCTATCAAGCGTCCCGGCTTCTACGAGGTAATTAGAGCTACTCGTCGCTCATACTCGGACAGCGCCAGCGAATACTGGCGTACTTTGCTCGAAGGTGCAACAGTCACCCAAATAATATCAAAGCCCTCGCCTACGAAAGTCAGCTTGAACCACACAACTATCCACCGACAGATCCGCACAGGGGCACTGCGCAACTTAGGTATATCATTTGAAACGATACTTAAGAGCGCCTGGTCGATCGTCCTTGCGAATCTGTCTGGTACCAATGACGTTGTCTTCGGTGAGCTTCTGGATGGGAGAGACCTCAGCCTTCCGAACAATAAAAATGTATCGGACATCGTCGGACCCTTAGGCAATATCTTACCCGTCCGAGTAAGATTGCCAGATATTCCGATCACGCCATATGAATATTTCCGATGCATCCAAAGTCAGCACGTCGCTAGCAGATCACATAGCATACAACTTTTTGATATCATACAAGAAGCAACTCCATGGCCATCTTGGACTCGGTTCAGCACCATCATCCACCATAAAGCCCACACCAGGGATACCGCGAACATCGAATTCAGTTTCGGAAATTCCTCATCCGAGATGAATTACAAGAAACCGAACTATTTTCCGTCAGATATCTTCATCGAATCATGCATGTCGGGATCCTCTGACGTCGGTATATCCCTCACATTTTGCGAGAAGATAAACCTTTCCTTCGCGAACGACGTTTTGAATATGCTTTGTTCGGTCATCTTGCTTCTCACTTCTACTTTTGTCATGGAGCCATTATATCTAAAAGGCCTCGATGATGATAGCTCAACGTCGAGAATTCCACTCCCAGCACCTAAGCGAGAGATTGGAATATCGGCAAACGTTGAGTCTGTCGAACCCGATCTTGCTCGCTCCGTCCACAACATGATATCATCTGCCTGGAACGGAATTCTTGAGGCCTACACACTCAAAGTTCCCGATATACGCTCAGTCCCCTTCTACGAGATTTGGGGCTCTCTCGTTCCGGCTGCTGAGCTCGCTAAATACTACACCAATAACATGCCTTCTTCTCTTGGTGTAGAAGGAACCAGTTTCACGGCGGAAGAAATCATTGACCATCCAACGATGATGCAACAATACGAACTCATCATCGCGAAACAGCAAGCGCCGGATTCCAGGCGCAGCAGGAGCACCATGTTGGTCCGCACACAGTCCGTCTTAGGCAGAAACATACGCAGACTGCCTGGCGTGAGCGCCTCGCCGACCGTTACGTCTCCGAGGAGCAACCATAGGTCCACGGGTAGCAACACTTCCATGGAGTCCATGACGACGGGATCTACTCAGAGCGACGACGACGAACTAAAAGCGCACGATGTCGCACTGAATCGTACCGCTAGGGAGGCGAGGAAAGTGATTCTGGAGGGGAAGCACTGCAGGGCAACGAAGAAGGGGCCCTCGCTCCTGGGGAAGATGTTGCCTACAATTCCAAGTTAATTGTTTACTTTTCTTTGTATTAGGGGCGGGCGGTTCGAAAGCATCTGGCATTTGTTGGAGGGGTACTTACTAGAGGGATATCATTGGGGTTCTTCGTCTTTATGGCTGGTGTTTAGGTTCTGGGAAATGACTGCAGGCAAACGATAGCAATACCTTCGATGTTCAAATTACTTAAGATACCAATGCAATGGTTTTATTTTAGACAACATGCATAACTTATTGAGTGAATGTCTACCTACCTCATGATAACCTAGGTACCTAGCTGTCCGGGAGTCTATGTGAGCTATTCCAATAATAAATGAGCACATCCATTCACCTCCAAAATACCTTTCACAAGTTTCCACTCTCAGCATTTCTCAAGAAGTATCTATCATATTTTCTCATCTAACCATACTTTACTAGACCAAGACTTCACCAGTCGTTCTAACACGGGTCGGGTTTTCCACGATCGCGATAACACTTACCTAACTAAATTATACCAGGTAGGCAAACAATACTTACCAGAAATCCTGCCGTACGTACTTGCCATCAACGCATTGAAAATATACCGGAACCTGGCGGTATATCTTCTGCTGGCATATCTCCTCGGCCCGCCTGGCTTCCTTGCACGTGCTGCAGGTGTCGTGGTTCAGCACGACGTTGCACATCTGTCTGGTGTTACGACATGCCCCCCTCGCGGCTTTGGCACACGCCCGGAAAGCTACGCGGTAGCTGAACTCGTATTGGCATTCGTAGCAGTGGTACCATTCTAGATGCCTTACACACATTTTTCTTTTATTTCTTTTACCTTTTCAAGGTTGGAGGTTTGGTGATAGGCTACCTAGATAGATTAGGTTAGGTAGGCACTGCTGGTGTTTACGATGGATGGGAATGGAGGTAGCGTGCTTGTTTGGCCGACGACGGGAATGATTTCTGATACTATTATGATGGCTGCGTACCTAGGTTTCTTGGGGGGCGCAATGCCAGTGTTATACATGTTAAGGTTCTTTCTGCCACAATGCCTTTGTGACAGATCATTCTAAGCCGCAAGTAAAGACGCTGGTGATGTTGGCGTTTCAATTGTTGTATTCTTTGTTTCAAGATAGAATGGCTATTCATGGCAGTATATACTATCGATGCCCTCAATACATTGAACATCCCAGAGCCTAGAAAGAAGGCTAAAATGAATGTACGAACTGGGATAGAGCCTTATACGTTTGTCTTGGTTTATGAAGGGTCTTAAAATCTGGGCGTCTACATTGGGATCCCCTTTGTCTGTGAAGGAGTGTATGCGCGTCATCTGTTATATATGCGAACGATGGCTCTTTGTTGAGTCATTGACACTTCTAGATTAATACTTGGCCAACTCATAAAATCAGACAACTGCAGATTATTATCAAGTGACTTAGAAGCTAGGGTATCAGGGTAGATACCTACCTACCTCGTCCTGAATACCCAAGATAACAGACAGCGATACTAGGCACGTTAGAAAGACACGTTGAGACCGCTATACCAAGACGGTCCATCCAAGCAGCCTTCATTACCTACCTGAATCTCTTCCTGCCGGGTAGATAATTTATGAATCCGAATGTATCTCCATAAATACCAGCCCTCCCACAGCCGACATCTCCAACTCCCACCCCTCGTCGAGAAGGAGGCAGAAGAAACCACGGAGGACAACAGTCACGAGTGGCTCGTCCTCGCGAAAGAGAGCGTCCGACGGGACCTTGAGGCGTCCAAGAAGGAGCTGGAACTTGTCAGAGACCTGCTCGGGGAATTAAACGGCGGCTTCGAAGTACGGACATCCGACCGCGGGGCTAGAGACCGGTTGTTTCTTATGAGGGCTTGCCAGGAGTACTCCGGCTCGCGGTCGTGTATGCTCGAAGAACGGCTGTGACAGATAGATTTATGGATGGACGAGGCGCGCTTGGGTCGGAGCATTCCTAGTAGAGTGCCAGATGAGTATGTCGAATCCCACATACATACCTAACCTAGATCGCTTTGCCGGAGGGTTTCTGGGGAATGATCATGCCCTTACTTCCAGTAATTTTTTATTTTTTTTTCGTATTTACTATCAAGCTGCCTCTTATATCTAGGTAGATAAAGACATATGTTGGTATCATGCTTACCTACCTCAGATGGATCATGGTCGATGTTGAATGGCGGCAATGGCTGAGCGAACAAGTCGCTCCACGGGATAGCTCATCTGGCCAAGTCAATACTATGTCCCGCCAGAGAGACGCGGTGCAATCTTGGGGACCACTGATTCCCATACTCGCGGCTTTGATCGAGTAGAAGTAAGCCTAAGCCATGAAGGACTTGGTAGCTTCGGGTTATAATGTGTTACGAACGATTGGCGCAAGTGTGGGATCGTATATTGCTGCAGGCGTTCGGTAACGGTTCAAGGAGGCTCATCTTGTACGATACTAGGGTACCTACCTCTAATGCATCACTAGGTTATAATAATTCCCCTATTAAAAGAGGTAATATTGATTGCAGGCCGGAGTTTAGCTGAACGTTTTCTTTACATTAACCAGTACATCGCGCCACATGGCCTCTTCGTCAGCTTGTAAGATCTGTTACTACATTATAGCCTTTAGCTGGAAGGATTTGAAAGGAGTTACCACCCGTTCTGGGCTTCCCCGGGTGGCGGTTGGTTCGCAGCAGCAGCAACTGTCGCGTGATCATGTAAATGCAAGCCCCTTCGGCCGTTTTAAAGGGCGGGCTGAGAGGCTGCAACTTTATCGAGATCCTTGAGAGTACCTCTAAGATGTAGGTAGGTATTCCGAAAAGAACTTCGAATGAGGCTCCAATCATATGATTAAGTGTGTATCTTCCCAATGTTTGCTGTTTTAATCATCCACTTTGCAGGTATGGTACCATAGCTCAAATTCTCAGATACTGTAACCTACCTCTGGTATGTCAAGTAACAGATCCTCACAAACCTGAACATGTCCATGGTGGATCAATGTAATACACCCACTATGTCATACGCGTGTAAACTATAGGTATATCCTTGGCACCGGTGCTTGGGTTAGGTAGCATGTAGTTGTAATTACCATGTAAGTTAGGTACCTAGGTAGTTACATAGTATGTCTCTCTCCGCATCCTCCACACTTTTACGAAAGCTTTATCCGTTGGCGACGACCAATAGATATTATTACTGTTACGTACGGGAAATAGCAGAATGCAAATAACCGACCAATACAAACACTAGCTGTAATCTGTCTTTTCCTTTTTGCTTGGATCTCTGCCTTGGCAGCTTGGGCCCCTCCCCCGATAGGATTTACCCCGGCAGACCCACAGCAAGCGTGGTGTATTGTATCTATTCCTTGCTCTGTCCCCGTCAGGGAATACCTAACGTACCTAACGTACCTAACGTGGTACGGGCGCACGTTTGGATGGCTGTCTACGTCTACACTACACTGCACTAACGTAGTGTACCGGGGGCATAAGGGGGGCAAGGGGGCAATTCAGGGTCGTCGACCCCGCGGAGCCACACCGAACCCTTTTAGGGCATGCTCCCGCAACATCGGGCACCAGTCATGTCCAGATCACTGCAAACACGGAAGCATTATTTTTAAGCATAGCCAGCTTAATTCGGCCGGCCGTGACCGATCAATAAGGATGTGTAGCGTTTGTGGAAACTTGTGTAAAACTGATAGACATCTTATAATTCTCCGAGTAGGATTTGTTCGTACTGGAACAGAGGGATTATCAGGAGGAGATTGGAGTAGAGTTTGCTTGCTTAAGCAGTCCTCGAATTTAGCAGGATTTGTTATGGGTGAGACATGAGAGTGAGAGAGCAGCTGGGTCGGAAACATACACTGCAGACGTACCATGCAGCTATGTAAGAATCTGGGCGGTGATCAATAAATGGTATTATTTGGAGTTTGAAGTGGATTGGCGCATACTGGCGCGTGGCCGATCCAGTCTGAATGGCGTCGTGTGAGATTGGCGAGCAAGTATTATGACCAAAGTTATCCGTAGACGAATCGTTCTCGAACAATACTACGTTACTTATTATGTAGTACTATTTCAATACAAGTACCTAACCTAAGGTATGTAATGCCATATGTAATACTATGGTATTGCTATTGTTAGGTTGCTTGGTTCTGCTTGCGTGTTAGTATAAGGACGAGCTTACGGAGTTACCTACTTGTAATATAATATATAGGTAGGTACCTATCTAAGTATACAAATTGGTAATGCGGTCTTCCGGAGGTAAAAGCACGCTTTTGGACATGTTCTGCGTTGTATGAATTCGGCTGTGGTCCAACCAGTGTCTTATTATATACCTAAGTTAGGTACTTTTGCTTTCTTATAGCTAATATAGGCCGTTTGGTGTATACCTTAGGTAGGTAGATATTTGATTTCCATCTCGAAAGGATCTTGGGTCTAGAGAGCTGACAAGCTGATCGACCGATTCAGCGCTCTGCAGGAAGGCTGGGAGCACTGATCAGCACTCAGACTGATGCGAAATATGATTGGAGAAATTCACAGGACAGAGTTACTCCAACCATGGTTCCCGGATACGCCCATTGTCTTAAAATCGAGTCATCCGCTCTCTAATTTGCCTTGCTATGCTATTGTAACGCCCAATTGGAAGCATTAGTAGGCCTGACGAGGCGGGTTTAGAGAGGTCCTATGTAGATATTTTACAGCTTTTCCTTATTGTCGCTCCAACCGTGTCTCGCTTTACCCTCTTTTCTTTAACTGTCCGAACAAGGGTCCTTCCTCAATAATACCGTAGAGGGGTGTAAATATTAGTCTTAACGACCCAAACAGGCTGGGATAGGCTGTTTCTATATTAGCACCGTCGGAGCCTAGGCTATACCAAGAGCCTGGGCACCAGAAAAGTCACCGCATACCGCATATTACAAGGGACTTATACGATTTATTCGATACCAGGAAAAGAAGGTCAAATTTCTATCGCTAAAACTATGAAACGGCGAGGGTGGGACAGTGAATCGAGGGAGAACTCGTCTTGTGTATACTATCTACACTAGTACTACATGCGCTCCCATAAAGCCATCTTGTCCTCGAACCGAATGCCTATTATCGTCTAATTATCTTTATTGATCAGCTGGCGTTTACATATGATGATTATCACACTTATAAGCTTTAGCTTCCGATGGTCAGCGATATTTCAACCTCATTCTCGTCCCAATATCTGACGAATCGCCTCTCAAGTCCGTTCATAATAAGTAAGATATGGTGCGGCGCAGCGCGATTTGAAAAAAAAAAAAGGAATTGGTCCTTGGCCTTTCCATCTCAGCCAACCAGAGTCTTTATGATATGTTTTCTTATCTGCACGAGCTGGGAGCAGACTCTCACCAGCCTCACTAGCAAGTCGCATCTCGGTGGCACACTTCTATTACTAAAGGATTTACGAACGTTTGATAAAGTCGTATAGCTAGACAAGATTGGGCTTGACCCATCCTTTAGTACATAAACCTTAGATAAACCTGCCTGTCCGCCAAGCCAACGTGCATAGTAAATATACCGTGCTAACCGTGCACGCTGGGGTCCAGGCTTAGATCAGACTAAGGGTGATTCAGTTACGATCAAGGGCTTGGCAACCTGGAGAAAGTCCCGAGCTATCGTCAATAAGGTATAGCCGTAAGTCTAGAAGCTAAGCGTCGGTGAACATCCACAAAAGATACGGTGTTTTTTTTTTTTTTTTTTTTTTAGGTATTTATTTTCTCTGATATTGTCAGTACAGAGTCATTCGACATCACGGCCAAAATCTGAGCTGAGGTTCCGATACTTAAACGAGCACTGGCTAACGTACAACCCAAGAATCCTTTTCGGGCCGGAGGCAAGAGAAATTGTTACTTGGAACAGGGGGAGAATTTAGAAATGCCTTGGGAGCTGATAACACAAATAAGCTTCGAGTTAACCAGACAGAAAGAAAAAAAGGGTTGTTCCCCTCACAGCTTAGCTTTCGAATTATCTCCTATTGTTTTACTAGTCGTCATAGCCAAGTTAATTCAAAAGTTCCTAAATGCTGCTAGAGGACTAGGGAAATCGATCATCATGTTCAGTTCTATTCTTTCTATTCTTTCTTTTTATACATCACTACTATGTAGATATTATGTACCTACATAGGTGCGTGAGTACCTAATAATCGCAATCGTGTTTAACCCTGCTGTCTTTTAGGGTGTGTGGTCATGGCGAGTCTGGCTAGCTGCTGAATTCCGGTGACCAAGATAGTAAGATAGTTCCTAGGCATCACGCGAGTCGTCAGATTCGCTCCCACCAAATACTATTTCATGGTCTGGATTCTGATTAGGCCCAAACGGATGCCTACCTCAAGCTCGTTCGAGAGGATAGGTACCCTAGATCTTGGTTATCAAACCTAGTTCCTCTTTATACGGAATACACATCTATTCTTATACGGATTTCCATATACAAACAGGTAGCTACCTGACATCGGTGGGTACTTGTTATATCATTTTATCTATTCATCTATTCGTCTAGTTATCTATTATATCCCTAATTACTTGCCTACCTCGGTAACACTCATTTCCCCTTCTCTCATGCATTTATCTCTCGCAATGAATAAGGTTCCTTGCGCCAAGGGGGCCCCCCGTCGTCCTTCCCACCCCATTCTACATGTGCGCCAACCAACGTGTCCCATATCCACCGGTCCTATCAGGATCCTTGTCGGACTAAAATGTAGAGTAGAATATAGAACATAGAGAGTATGGATGTACTTCTATACTTTCCCCATTGTATCATCCCAACATAGTAGATTCAGGTAAGGCTTTGCCATCCAGAGAGAGGCTGTATGTGTGTGTGTGTGTGTGTATGGTATAATAAATAAATAATCCCCCCCCCGCTCCCCCAGGTCGCGCAACTCGTCGCTTTACTTACTGTGACATCGCCTCATTCCTTTCACCTCTGGAAATCAGACTCTTGTGTCTACGGGGTGGCCTTCGGCCGATTGGATAGTATATCGTCGCATTCCTAGCCGTTTGCCAATCACCAGGATTTACTACTATTCTTCTATTTCTCCTCTTCCCTCTTCTTATCCTTTTTTCATTCCTTCTCTTTTTCTTGTAACATAGCTACAACCGTCATTTCTCTGCCCGTGTCCGGTAACTAATTCATCCCGTCCGAAATGGTATCCTCCGAGCCTGCCGCCAGTAATGGCAGCAAAGATGAGAAGGATATCGGCCTTCCGAGCTACTCGAGCCCGGATGTCGATGGGGGAGAGGGTGTAGTAAGAGCTGATAAGTGGGCGACACGAAATGGTCTGAACCTCGAATCCTTCAAGAAACGTGACTATGGCGCTGGTATTGTCGAGCTCGACCGGAGCATGAAACCGAGGCATTTGCACATGATTGCTATTGGAGGTTCCATCGGTGCTGGTTTCTTCGTCGGTTCGGGTAGTGCTTTAGCTACAGGTGTAAGTTGCCAAATGCGATCGTTTCGCGATTCTTGTCTTATACGATTTTCAATCTGACCGCATTAATGAACAGGGCCCTGCTACTCTATTGATCGATTTCTTCATCATCGGTGTGATGATGTTTAATGTCGGTATGTATTATTCCACTACCCAATGATTCCCTATGTCTTCGTCTAGGCGGTTCGAAGTTTAACCACGATATTCTCCGTAGTCTACGCTCTTGGTGAACTGGCTGTCATGTTTCCTATCTCTGGTGGTTTCTATACATATGCGACTCGCTTCATTGACCCTGCCTGGGGTTTTGCCATGGGATGGAATTACGTCTTGCAATGGGCTGTCGTCGTTCCGCTAGAACTCACTGTTTGCGCCATCTCGATCGGTTATTGGAACTCGGAAATTAGTCCTGGCGTTTGGATTACCATCTTCTACGTCTTCCTCATTATCGTGAACATTTTCGGAACTATTGGTTACGCCGAGGAAGAGTTTTGGGCTTCCCTCCTAAAGCTCACTGCCACCGTCGTCTTCATGTTCATTTCGCTCGTTTGCGTCCTTGGAGGTGGCCCCGAGGGAAGCCGTTATGACAATTACTACGGCGCGCGCCTCTGGTACGAACCCGGTGCATTCCGAAACGGTTTCCGCGGTTTCTGTGCTGTATTCGTCACGGCTGCCTTCTCGTTCAGCGGAACTGAGCTGGTTGGTCTCGCTGCTGCCGAGTCTCGCAACCCCGCAAAAGCCCTTCCCGGCGCTATCAAGCAGGTCTTCTGGCGTATCACTCTGTAAGTTTCCTTGAATTATCCGTAATTGCTTCTTTCGTATATCTGTAGTATCTTCTAACACTTGATTACAGTTTCTATATCCTCGGTCTCACTTTCGTTGGTCTTCTAGTACCTAGCGACGACCCCCATCTGCTCAACGCGAGCTCCAGCGATGTTACGGCGTCGCCTTTCGTGTTGGTTGGACAATACGCGAACCTGAACGGTTTCAACCACTTCATGAATTTTATTATCTTGGTTTCAGTCGTGTCCATCAGTGTATCTGGTGTTTATGGTGGAAGCCGTACTTTGACCGCCCTTGCCCAGCAGGGCTACGCCCCTAAGATTTTCACGTACGTCGACCGTGGCGGCCGTCCTACCTTCTCTGTTGGTGCCCTCCTCGCCTTCGGTCTTCTTGCATACATCAACTTAGCCGCCGCCGGCCCCGATATCTTCACCTGGTTACAGGCTTTGTCTGGTCTTGCTGCTCTCTTCACCTGGGGCTCTATCTGTCTGGCGCATATCCGATTCCGTAAGGCTTGGGCATACCACGGACACACTTTGGATGAAATTCCATTCAAGGCGATTGGCGGTATCTGGGGATCATGGCTCGGACTTATCCTGGTTGTTCTCGTATTAATCGCTCAGGTAAGCTTATCCCTTTCTACATGGCCAGTGTGCATGCTTTACTAAACTGTTTCTAGTTCTATGTCGCTATCTGCCCTCCTAAAGGTGGCTTCAATGATGCTGCAGGATTCTTCGAGACCTATCTCGCCCTTCCCGTCGTGATTTTATTCTGGGTTATTGGTTATATATGGAAGCGTACTGGTTGGTTGCGCACACACCAGATTGACATCGATACTGGACGACGTGAGGTCGACTGGCCCGAAATCAACGCGTATCGCGAGAAGCTTGCCGCCATGCCTGCGTGGAGGCGTATACTAAACATCGTATTCTAAGTTGCGGTGATGTGTTGTATATGTGTGTATTTCTTGGGATGTAGGAGGATTGTGGTTATTAACCCGTATATAAAGATGTTGTAAAATCGAGAAACTTCGCATAGCGGATTAGATTATACCTATCGATCGATTTCATGCAGTAATAAAGATACCAAAGCGAGTCATAACTGAGACTCTCCGAGAAAGAAAACTCGAGTACCAGATTTCCCTCACCAGTTTACACAATTTGCGTACCTAAGCCAAGCCTATGGGAAAACCGTGAGATAGAATACAAGCCACTAGCTGGGTACACAACATATCAAATACTGTGAGAAGCAAGTATAATGGGCCATTTCAGGCTATCCTACATTGGCAAGACTATATTCTAATGTGTGCTATGACTACTCAAGGATGCTAGGACTGATTTCTAGATGGAACACTGGAAGTAGTTGAAGCCGAGCCATTCCTATACCACTATGAGGTTTCCATGGTCAGACCTTGCATTAAAGGCTCATCCAAAGGCCTTGATAGACTACAATCAGTATTTATTGGTTGAGCTCCGTGCTAGATCACCTGTAAAGATGGCTACGCCGTTTCCGTTATAAGCTAGGAAGTTTTTGGAGCCATGGGGATCTCTGACAGCCCCGTCCGTCGCCAGCCTCCGTAGAACGTCGAGACTGTCACGTGGGGTTTTCATCTGGTAAGGAACCAGGCTCTTCAGATATAGAATGAGGCCGGATACGTGAGGTGTGGACATGCTCGTGCCGCTGAGGGATGCCGTATCTTGGTCGGTTTGAATCCACGCAGACAGAATATGTTCGCCTGGCGCGAAGATGTCGACTAGTTCACCCCAGTCGCTGAAATGGGAACGCGTGTGGTCCCTTCCAACGGAACCAACGGTTATGGCCGCCGAGGCGGATGCTGGTGAGTAGTTTCGAGCATCCTGATTGTAATTACCAGCAGCTACCACGATCAACACGCCTCGCTTATATGCTTCCTCTACCGCTCGATTAACAGATTCTCTGAGATACCCAACCGCGCTGATATTGATGACGGACGAATTCTGGCGTTTCTTCGTGATGATGTCCTGGACGGCCCAATGGATCCCCTCGAGAAGATCCGAAGTATGGGACGCGGCGTTTGCGAAGATTTTAACCGAAATAACTTTTGCCTTTTTGGCGACACCGCTGCGAGGAAAGTCAGCACTTATAGAATCATTACCTACACGGTCGATGGAACTTGAAATTACTAAGTCTTGTCGGCGATTGTACCTGCCACGTGTGTCCCATGGCCAACTTCATCCGCGAATATCCCACCCACCACGTTGTGACCCAGAGAGGCACGATTTTCAAATTCCTCGTGCGTATTCAGCAGCCCGGTGTCGAGGACGTACGCGTACGTGCCTTCGCCGGCTCTCGAGTCGTAAATATAATCCGAGTTGTTTGGAACCCGATGAGAAAGGTCAGCCAGGCCCCAGGAGGCGTCCTGTTGTACTACATGCTTCATCAGATTTATTTCGCCGTCCGGCTCGATCATCTCAACGACATTATCGCTTCCGATCTGAGTGCGGACATCGCTGTCCATTGTGCACGAATATGCGTTCCAAGATCCAATGTTCCATCGCCTCCCAATTTCTACCGCGGGCGAGTTGTCGAGGGCATGCATATTAGTCGCTCGTCGTATATGCTCCTCTACGGCAGTCGCGCCCAATCCATCTCGAAGAGTGACAATATACCGCCCAACATTCGGCTCGGGCTCATTTTCCTCTCGTGATGCAAGTGGATGTGCTGAAACAAAGATGGATATGATGAAGCTTAGAAGTGCCAGTTTTCTAAGACCAATCATGTTAACTTGAGCAACGGAAAGAAAGTCCTAGATAATATTTGAAGCTACCTAACGTATGGCAGCGCTTGTTTGGTAGAATGCAGCATATCTAAAAATGTGCGGTTTCATCACGCGAATAAGCGATGGTATTTGATGAGTGTTAGAGTTAAGGGAGGCAGACTAGGAGGAAGGAATTAGGATGGGAGATCTAACTAAGAGGTAGCAAACCGATATGGCCTTGGCTGGAGTTTCCTAAGAAAAGCTTCAAGGAAAAAGGAAAGACTGCTAAAGTTTTGGAGACTTGTGGCTTCTAGAGACCTCACCGGCCTTGCGTATACCACATTGGTAGCAAGTGATGTTGTGGAGAGAACGATTAGCATATGGTGGATGAAAGTGTAGTGGATTTACCTTCCCTTGCCTCTAATTATGAGCAGCCCATGTTTAAGTTGAATGTGATAGAAGATATTTGAAGTGCTAATATCCATGTCCATAATCGATGGCTGGACACCTGCTAATTTATATGAAGCTGGTTCCCTGACCAAGCTCACATGTATATATATAGGAGGTACAGAGCGGATTGATCTGTACTGTATTACTAATGTAAGTATATCGGAGAGTGGGCAGAAAACTATCCTTATAACCTCCCAAATTGATTCCGTCCCCTCTCTTTATCTCTTCATTAGGATTTTCCCATTCTATATGGGCATCTAGTTATCTTTACCTCCTTCCTCCCTGTTCTATTTCCTGATATAAAGGTTCGATTAATAGGCCCCAGTCGTCCTTGATATCCCGTTTCAACTCCAGGTTGGTTTTTCGGGACTCAACGACCAATGTGTCACCGCCCTTAAAGTATGCCAAAACACCTCCCTTACCATCCATACGAGCTGTAATACGGAAGTAATGCTTGCCCTCTTCGTTGGCTTTGCGGACCGGGATGAACTGGAGGTCGTTCTCTTGACACCAGTTTTCTATCTCGTCGCGGAATGTGGGTTCTGGTTTGTCAATAGGCTCTTGTGGTACGGGTATAGATATGGGTTTCTTGTCTGCTTTGGGTTTGTGGGGCTTCGGTTGGTGAGCAGGACGACCGTCAGGCCGAGGAAGTTTACTCTTCGCATCTGCGCCGAGATCAAGTGCAGTCTCGATCATGGCGGTACCTTTCTCAAACTCGGCAGAAATACTCGGAAGAGATGATATCTCACTAGGTATCGCCTGATCCTTCCACCATTCAAACCAGGCGCCGATTTCTTCATAATTGGCGTCTGGGCTGGTGAGCCATTGGTAGAGAATATTATGCCACATAGGGAACACTTCTGAAACTATGACCTCTCCTACTAGAGACGCCGAGATGATGTCCGTCCACTTGAAGACACCGTTGAGCATTTCAAGGTATGGTTCTTGGTCGCTAGGGTCGACGCGGAAATTAATTCGTAGATATCGAGCGAGACTTGGGAGCAGGTGATGCATAACTAAAGGTCTCCATTGGTCCTGTTCCTTGGTTGGGCGGAATACGTCTTTCCATTGTTTGAGACCGGGCACTACGCCTTTAGAGAAGTCCCATGTGCCAATTAGCTGTCTGAACTTGCGTCTCACCTCTCCTACTAGCCCAGTTCCCTTGGGGTCCAGATGATGAACTGGGAGATGCTGAAGCCAAGGGAAGAGCCATATGTGCAAGTTCTCGTGCCTTTTTCTCGGCTTCCAGCTGCTGACGCCACCTTCAAGTCTCCTTACTACTTGCTCAATGAGCTGCAGGCGGACAAAGTCTGGTAAAAGCTGTTCCCATTTTTCGAAAAATTCCAGGAGTGGTACTGCATCATAAACATCCCAAGTCTGGGAAATAGCTGTTACAAGCTTGGGAAACAGGATTTGATAGATCATACTCTCCCAGGCCGTTGCCGACTTGATGTGATGACGATGTGTACCGTCAATTTCGGTATCTTGCCATTTCGTGATTGTGTTTTTGTTAGGGGTTTTGGTAAGGCCTAGAAGTCCCCGAATATCTGAGAGGTCGGAAGCAAAATTGCCTAATTTTGGGTCTTCTAATGGATGCCAGCCTTGAGTAGCATCTCTTAGAAAAGGATGAATGGCGGATACCGCAAGCGCGGCAAGTTCTTCATCGCCGTGAGTCGATGCTGCTGATTCGGCTTTCTTGAGCCCAGACATAACCAGGTCCCAATCTCTCTCCTGAGCGGCTTGGCTGACTCCGTCTAAGACAGTCGAGAAAATATCGAGTCCTGCGAAGCTACTCTCGAGCTCACCAAGCTCCTGTTGGCGCTGGGCTTCCTCCATAGTTAGCCATGCCTTCCGTTCCTCTAGGCTCTTCCATTCTTCAACAAAGGCGGCGAGATCACCCTGAGCACGCCTTGCCAATTTTTGCGCTTCCGTCTGCGCGACAAGCTCGGCACCAGCCTTCGGAGTCAATAAACCCGAGCTAGATGTCAACAGCTTTTGATCTCGCCCCGTTAGATCTAATATGGGAGTAAAGGCGTCTGGAATTTGCAGGCCTGGAGCGGCTTTTTGAATGTCGGTAACGGTAAGGTATTTCGTCTTGGGTTTCCTTGGGGTGCTCGCGCCACTACCAACTGCACTGTCTGTTCCCTTCTTCTTCCTCCTGTCACGCTTCGCCCTTCTTTCTTCATCCGAATCACTGACTTCCTCCCCTCGCATTCGGGCCTGGCGCTTTTCTTCTTTGCGTTCTTTTTCCGATTTCTCCCTTACAGCGCCCAAACCAACTCCTTGCGGGCGTAGAGTCGCTTCGATGATACCGCTTCGTCCTTGGCCCTGGGCACCTAGACCTTGTCCTTCTACGTAACCCATCTTCTCCATCATTCGAGCTGCGAATGACTTGGCCTTTTTCCCACCAAAAGCACTAGATTTAGGGGTTTGAGGTGCCGGGGAAGTGTCTCGATCGAGATTCGGTTTTAGAACAGGGTCGTTTGCGGATGAAGGGACAAACCCTTTCCCTAGAGGTGTGCTTCCATCGTACCTCGATTTGAGCTTTGGCGGCTTACTTGGCGTCTCGCCGGTGACGGGCATGGTTTGCGACGAAGTGGGAGGCTTCCAACCTATCCCATGAGAGGTGGCACCGAATCCCAAACCGACTCCCGTCATATCTTCATCTTCGTTGTCTTCGTCGCTATCTTCTTGCATCTTGGAATGGACTGGTTTAGCGCCTAAGCCAGGGTGGCTGCCGGATTGCTCTTCGTCTTCGTCGTCATCGTCATCTTCATCTTTATCTTCATCCTGACCCTTGTCATCTTCGATGGATTCATCATTTAAATTCTGGTTTAAGCTTTCCTGACCAGCGGAAACGAAGGCCACGTTCTTATGGCGCAAATCCTTTTTCGACTTCCACCTCTTCCCCGGGCCATCGTCCTCGCTGTCAGACCCGAATATGCCCAGAGCGGCGCTTTCCTTAGCGTTGCGACCGGTTCGTCTTCGTTTGCGAGGGTTTAAGTCAAAGAATTCGTCGGCTTGCGGGTTGGTAGAAGGCTGCAGGTAGTCATCTTCATCATCATCGTCAGATGAGGAAGATGAGTAGGCAGCGGCATCAGCTTTGGAGATTCGGCCAGGATCGAAGGACATACTGCTGAGCCGGTCGTGTTGTTGTTGTTGGGAAGATCGTTTGTTGCTTAAGTTATTGTTGATGAATCTATTAGGTACCTAGGTACTGCATGGGTTTATGTAAATCTGTTATCGATAAACCACTTGCACTCCGGCTCATATGTCGATGGACGCCATGTAGTCATGTACCTGGTTATGTACCTAGGTACCTAAACTCAAGATGCGCAAACCATTTGACAAATCCGTATACTATCTAGCATTTGAAACCCTTTAATTGTTCCTGTACTTCTATAAAAAAACATAGTATCAACCCTGCGATTAATTTTCAAATGTCTTCGTTATACGTGTACGCCTACCTCTATATAACGTATTATGTACGATATGTTTAATAAAACCCCAAGCCTTCCATGTTCCTAGTGTATGGTCAAGCTTGGATAGTCTTGTCCAGAACGTCCAACATGGTGATGCTGCTACATTAGTGCCTAATATAGCACACGCATCATACCGATAGTCGCACAGTAATAGAAGAGATCTCACAGTCCACTCGAGTGAACGGCATCCCACTATGGGCATCATAATATCTCTGTCAATAATGGCCTAGACCATCAATATTTTTTAATCCGTTCCATCCATTCCTTGGTTCCTTTTGTACCCTCGTGGGCTTTTCTGAACAATTTCCTCTCCCACTCCTCTAAGCCTCTCAAGAACTCTTCACCAGTGCCAACGCCCATATCCTCGGTGGCACCGGCTTTCCTCGCGTGGAGCGCGATATCTGCAGCTCTCGTAACGAAAGTTCTTCGGAGGATGGCGCATACCTCCGCCTCCTCGAAGACGTCGAGCATGCGTGTTCCGAGGCCGTAGAAATTATGGGACTGGTCGCGGAGGGGCACGGCTCGAGGATCGGCTTTCAGGGCAGACATGACCTCGTTGGATAACGAAGGGGGGAGATCGAGGGTGACAAACGAACTGGAACCCTCTTCTGAACTGCTTGACAACCTACTCGTAAGAGCAAGAGGTTCGGCAAGCCATAATGGCAGTCCGATCGAGGCACCTTTCTTTAGCGGTTGGGAAGGATTGTTGTCGAGATAACCAAGTTCGGGTACATCGAGTTCGAATTTGCAAGGAACTTTCTTCGGGGAGGGTTGTTAATTATAGAAGAAGAAAAAAAGAAAGGAGAAAAAAAAAGATATTTGGAGTTTTGGACTTACTTCGGCATCGGTAAGGATCGCATCTATGTCGTAGTAGGACATGTTGTGCGTACGATTTTAGAAATCGATGGAAGATGCTTCCTCATTCTCTGGCGACAAGTTGGTCGTGAAAGATCTCGATAAGTATCACTAATACATGGATGCGTATGTCTACCTAATCTAATGTACTTCCGGGATTGTTGGCGGGGCAAGACGCGCTTTTTACGTGCCATGCATCCCATTCCATTTACTGTGTACCTGGTCTACCGATGTACATTATAGAGGTTTAAATGTGTGCTTTTACATATCAAATACCTTAACTGTCTATACTCAGGCACTGTGCGACACTGTATGTAAGTGCCAAGCTAAAAGGCACTTAACTTTTCTGTGTAACGTAAAAAATAATTCATGACGGAATATTGACTATTTGCTTAGCTTTTCCCCTTCCCCTTCGTCCCAATTCGGAGGCCGAGAGCTCTTATGCCCCGCATTTGACAGCTCGGACATAGCTTCTACGGCTCTCTTGTAAGTCGTAACCGCGAGAGTGATTACACAGCAGCACAAGCTAGAGTGACTAACAAGCAAGGTACCTACCTACATGCAGTTTGTAGTTGACATCATTCCTGGTTGTAGTATCGCAACGTAAATGGCTAGGTTGTTTCCGAGCAGAGCCGATAGCTTATACATAATATCTTTATAGCAGTTTCTACCTAGTACCTAACCTTTATTTTTACACGATACTTTTTTTTCCCTCCCCTCTCTTGATTAATCCTGCTACTTCTTCACTTTCAACTAATTATAAGTGCAATTTTTAAAGGTTAAATACCTCAATTGAAGCTTCACACCTTAGGTATATAATACACGACTATAAAAATCAAGATGGCGACTACACTATTTCGATCTGCTCCCTCCGTACGAGCTGCTTTGCGCGCCAGCTCCGTGAAACCTGGCGTTGCCGCGCTGGCTAGCACTTCTTTTGTCAGAGGCAAGGCAACTTTGCCCGACCTCTCATGTACGTTATCAGCCAAATTGTGATTCTTCTTTATGAGCTCGATCGGCTAACAAAAACCACACAGACGATTATGGCGCACTCGAACCATACATCTCCGGAAGGATCATGGAGCTTCACCACAAGGGCCACCACCAGACCTACGTTACCGGCCTGAACAGCGCGCTGGAGACAATTGAGGAAGCCAAGGCCAAGGGCGACGAAATCCAAGCAGCTGCCGCTGCTCCTCTGCTCAACTTCCACGGAGGCGGACACAAGAACCACACTCTATTCTGGGAAAACCTAGCTCCTAACAACAAGGGAGGCGGTGGTGAGCCCGAGGGTGCTCTGAAGTCGGCCATTGAGAAAGACTTCGGCTCCTTCCAAACCCTCCAGAAGCAGATCAACACCGCCTTAGCGGGTATCCAAGGAAGCGGCTGGGCTTGGCTAGTCAAGGACAAGGCTGCTGGCACCCTACAGGTTATCACCAAGGCCAACCAGGACCCGGTCATTGGAAACCACATTCCGCTCCTAGGTATTGACGCTTGGGAACACGCTTACTACCTGCAATACCAGAACCGCAAGGCCGAATACTTCAATGCCATCTGGAACGTCATCAACTGGGGCACTGTCGCTAAGAGACTGGAGAAGGCGTAAACAGCGGCAGCTCCGCTGTAAATGACGATACAACACGACAGACTAAGCTCTTGCTATGTGTAGATATGATATGAATGGACCTACTCTGTGCTGAGGCACACTTGGGCATACTTAGGTAGTTTACGAATGAGTGACTTCAGGAAGGTATTGAGCTAGGCTATTTGTTAATAAATATATAATCGTCTCAACTGGAACAAGTCCGTATGATATTAAGTATTAAGTAGTTGCTCCCCGTCTTTCTATTAGTCTGTTTTTGCGCTGATATCTCAAAGCAACACGGCTCTGATGCTTCACTAAGCGCTACATGAATCACGGGATCAAAGACGACATGTTTTTCAGAGCAGAGAATTAGCATTACAGCGTTGCTCAGTCTATGCGAAATGCGAGCCTCAAATATTACTCAAGTAATGAAAACATCCGGCATAAACCACCACCCCCTTTTTTCCCTTTCAGTTGTTAAAGTGTGGTTCTCGTAAAAAAAAAGAAAAACTCTAACGCTCATTATGGTATCATTTCTACTGCATGTGTCTAATGTGAGACAATATGCTCACCATGCAAGTAGAAGTAGATAGCTTCTCGTCTATTCGTTCATGCCACTTTACTTTTCCGCCTTCTTGCGATCAGCCAGGATCTGCTCAGCGAGCTCCAAACACACTATTCATAGTCGTTAGTAACTTTTCTCCTTCAAGGACAAATATAGAAATATGAATGGAAAAGGTTGGTAATTGGGGGGGGGCTTACACTTCTGAATACTGGTACCACCAAGCAACTTGATCACAGACACATCCTTGCCAATGGTCTTGAAGATCCATCCGCGGATCTCGACAGCGGCAAGCGAGTCGACGCCTAGTTCGGAAATACTCTGGTCCGAATTAATGGCCTCTTCGGGTAGCTGGAGGAGCGTCTGCAACCGCTCCGTGAATGCTGGCAAGATGGCCTGAGAGAGGGCATCCGATTCTGTGAGGGTCTGGATGATGTCCTTTACGCTTTGCCGCATGCTGACCGCCGCAGCGCTCGCGTCCTCCGTTTCTTGCCGGGTGTAGTGGCCGAATCTCGGGTCCTGGTGCCAATGCAGGGGATTCGAGTCCGAGGGATCGAATCGGCGAAGACCAGTTGTCAGGTCTATGGGCGCCTTCTGCTGTCCGGGGCGGCCGGTGAGAACAGCCTCGATGAACATGTGGTGGATATCGCGCTCTGAAATCGGCGGGTATCCCTCACGTTCCAGGCCAGCGTACAACTCCTCCTTCTCTCGCTGTAGAAAACCAATACCATAGATGACGCCGATGTTTAACACCGAGCCCGCCAGTCCGAGCTGCCGTCGCATACCCGCCAATCCATTCATGTACATGTTGGCCGCGGCGTAGTTTGATTGACCCGGGTGGCCACCGATCGCAGCGAAGGACGACGTCATGATGAAGAACTCGAGGTTGGGATCGTTGAAGACGGTGTGCAGATTGTGAGAACCAACGGTCTTGGGGCGTAGGACTCGTTCCCACGTGTCAATATCCATCTGCGCGAAGACGCGGTCATCAAGAACCATAGCACCGTTGGCTACACCACCGACCGGAGGCATCGACTGGGATAGAGCGTCCTTGAATTCTCGCACGCTGGCGAGGTTGGTGACGTCGCATTTTCGCACCTCGATCTTCGCATCGTAGGCGTGCGATAGTTCTCCTATCCATTTAGGATCCGTCTTCGGGTTGCGACTCGCCAAAACAATGTTTCTTGCGCCGTATTTGAGAAGCAGATAGCATAGACTTTGACCAAAGTCTTTGGTCAGTCCGACCAACACGTACGTCCTGTCAGCGCGGAACAGTTGCTCCGTGGCGAAGTACTTTATAGTGAGTTCGGCGTTCCGGTTAGCTCGCCAGTCAAGGACGTTGAACAGAGACGAGGGTATCTCGGTACTCGATTGTAGGTCCGGGAGAGAAACAGTATTGTACTCTACAGGTCGTTGTGGGTCCGTGATATTCGATCCTAAGGCTCTCATGACCGCCACTCTCCAGCCAGTCTTCCAGAAATAGTCCTGTTTGTTGTCTGCTTGGGACGTATTGCGAAGGTCTAGCAGGGTACTACGAGGGTAGTACTTGCAGTTGGCCGGGAGCAGCTCTGAAATCTGCTGTGAAAGTTTGGTGCGCTCCTGAGATTGGAGGTCGAAGATGACAGCTCCTGATGGCGGGAATATGCCCTTGATAGTCCAAGCTGATGTGCGCGGATGTAGAAACAAGGCGCCATGCGCGTCGCCTTGCTCTGATTTCGTGGTGGTATACCAAATCACGCGGCCCGGTACAACTTCCTTCACGCACTCAAACAGTAGCAGATCAGCATCAATGAGAACTACACGTTGCTTTCCAGCTTGGGCCGCAACCATGTCGGCTATCAAGTATCTCATAGAAAGTGAGATCAGGCGCGGTCCGATATTCATATCTTTCTGAATGGGGTGGACATGCTCCTCTAGGAGTCGAAGGCACGAACTGTTGTTCTGAGATATGGCCATCATGCATGCGCCAGTACTCAAGTCTTGACCAAGACACAAGTAAGCCGGAAGCGAGTTACCAAGGTTCAGATTCAAAGCTACCACCGAGCTATAATCAACCCGGATTGAGACGTGATTAAGATGTAGGTCATGAGAGTTGTCACGTCCGAGTTTCGCCTCGTAGCGAACCACGCCGCCAGGGAGGGCACACGGAATAACTTCGATGGCCTCCTTGAGAGTATTTCCAGAGGTGGAAACAACACGTCTCAAAGAGTTGACTTTGTCGTTCGACGCCTTCAGGGGCACGACACGTGGGATGATCCGACGTCCATTTTCAACGTGGATCTCTCGCTCATCAATCCAGAGAACGTCAGTGCTATCTTTACCAGTCGTCATCAAGCGAATAAAGTTATCCGTTATCAGATCCCTGGATCCAGTAACGCGATCTAGATCAAGCATCTGCAGCGTCAAGCTCGGAATCTCAGCCGAGACCGTACGCGTGAACCCAAAGGTGGCAGCATGATCTGGATTTCCGAAGCGAGCGTTACAAGTGATCCACATAACCTTCATGTTCGGTCTGAGAAGTTCTCGCAGCTGATCTAAAGCCCGCTTCGTCATGTTCGACATCAGGGGCTTGTCAAGATCTGTGAGGATGATAGCAGCGGTGCAGCTACTTATGGCATCCGAATCGACGCTGTCAAATGCATCTCGGAAGGTGACTTTGTTGCATAAAAAGAGGAGGTTTTGGCGCACTATCTTAGCAATCGCGGTACTAGACGAATCCTTACCACCAATGATGAGCAGGTGGTCTGTGATAATTCTGTGTTTAGCTGCAGTTGATTGGCCCATGAAGTCGACCTCTGGAGAGCTCAATTGCCGGACCATTATCGAGTATCCAGCATAGTAAGACTGGTTGCAGTTCTTAGCAATCTGGGCGAAGCCATAAGCGTCAAGGGCGTCTGGCCACTGGGGTGGTGTTGGCGCCTCAGCTCTATCATCACTTCGTTTCAAAGCTTGAAGTGGCTGAATTTGTATCTGTCGTTTAGGGAACTGCACCAGGAGTAAGAAGCCTCCGGGTCTCATGATAGCACTGATATTCTTTAATGTTCCTGGCGCGTGTGCGTCGTCTAGTTCCGACGCCGACAGCAAGACAAGATCATAAACATTATCTTGTCCTAGCTGAGGCTTGAGGTCCGCCGAAAGGTCTAGTGTCGACCGGACAACTTTGCCAGAAGATCCTTCAAGGTTGACATGCTGCCCTAGACTCTCGGCTGTTCTGGCACCAATGGTAAAGGAAGAGTACGACGAATCGAGAGCCGACAAGACTTCAACAAGAAGTTCACTCTCAGGTCCAACCAGGCTGAGAATGTTCATATTTGGATATCGATGTGCAATCTGCTTCGCAATCCGTCCAACATGTTGGTGAGAGTAAGTCATATAGTTCGTTTCGCTGACAAGTGCTTGGAGAATATCCAACACGGAGTCTGGCTGATGACTTTCAAGCGTGCGAATCAAGTTCAACCGATCATAGTAGTTTGAACGTTCCACAAATTGATCAATACTCGCTTTGGTGTCAGAGGACCAGGAATCGGGGCCTACTGTTCCCAATATTATTGGGAATAGTTGCGCCAACTTCTCATAGTAGAGAGAAAGGTCCGACGACTGCGCACGCGCATCGTGACTGTTTCTGACGAAGTACGTAGCCACACGCGCGCAACTTTCGACAAGCACCGGGTCATGCGGATCGTATGCAATGGCGGGTAGTTTCTCTACGCGAACAATCTCATCGCTAGGGTCCAAGTCGGTGACAGTGTGCAGATACAGCTCATAATCGTCCTTGGGCAGAGTGTGAGCCAGAGCAGCAACCCTCAGACCTTCGACTTGGATTTCCATATCTCCATTTTCATTGAAAATGCTTATATCGACGTCGAATGTAGCTTTAGAATTGGTCACGGAGGGTTGGATGTCGACCATGTGAGTGTCTACAACTAAATTGTCGCTTTTATCCGTCGTCAAGTTAAAGCGCACTCGTTCGATATGTACGGGCAGGAAAGACGTCCAAAGAGACCTGTTATTAGGAGTTAGCGAATTTGAAACGTTGCAAAGATACCAGGTATGCTATGTAGACAGTATATGAGAGACTTACCTATCACCGGGGAAAGCGTATGTCAAAAACGCTGACTGAAAACAGCTGTCGAGTGTAGCAGGGCTAATCGGCAACGTTGTCGTGTCTTCCGGATGGTGACGCTTCAAGGTCGCAGAGCAGTAGTTATAACGACGTTGGATAGAAGTGAGCGCCCTAAATGGTCCTGTGTACACCAATCCCGTGTGCTCCATCATTTTGTAAAAGGATTCGGTAGTCGCACTAAACGCTTCCGATTCAGAGGCACACCGGGACGGTAGGGCAGCCGTACTAGCCTCGCCTAGGTAGATCTTGAGATTTCCCACCATGTTCAATCGCATACTTGTCGTTCCGTCAGCAGGACACGATGTCAGAGTGAAATTTGCCCTGACTGTCGAGTCCGTGTTTTCGTCCTTGCCTTGCGGGAGGATATTAAGAGTGAACATTACTTCGACACCTGCAGACTCTCGTTCTATGTCTATGCCGCTAAAAATCTGTAAATCTTGTAGTTCGACTACCGAGGCCGGCCTGTCTCTGATGATACTTTGCGCTGCATCCAGTGCCATAATGCAATACGCCGAAGCGGGTAGAAGAGCATGGCCTTGGAAGCTGTGGTGCTCAACCCAGGGCAACTTCTCCGCCCTCAGCATGTTTCGCCATCTTAGCTCGTGCTCATTGTCATCTCTGGTCCGAACACCAAGCAGTTCGTGAGGTGCTCCAGACTTATAATGGAATTGACGCGAGATTCTGGACTCTCGATGATATATCTGAGAATGGTCCCATGGATATGTGGGCAGATCGATAAGGGGGGTGTCGAGGACGTCAGTGCTAAGCGAAAAGTTGATATATGCACCTAGATCAGCTCCTCGTGTACCATAGTGAGACCACAGGGCGCCGATTAAGTCAGAGAAAGCTAGCTTGTCATTTTTAGATCGATCTAGCGGACTGAAGTAAAGAATATTGGAGCCCAAAGGCGTCGCCGTCTGCATGAAAGGGCCTTTGAGGGCTGGATGGGGCCCAATTTCCAGGGCACAGTCAAATGGGCCTTGTTGAGAAATCGCGTTCAGAGTAGCGTTGTGGAATCGCACCATTTTAACCATATTGTCTTTCCAGTAGTCTATGTCGAGCTTTTCTCCATTCATATTTCGACCGTGGACGCTGGAAATCCAGACAACTCCGTTGCCTTGTTTATCCTGGTCAATGTCGCTATCTTGTAGAGCCTCGATGTATTTGGCACCCGGTTTCGTCATATGGAACGAATGGTAAGCCGAGTCGACGCGAAGTGGCCTCGAAAATTTGTGGTCTTTAGTAAGTTGATCGTGAGCCAACTTAATGGCCTCAACATCGCCAGAAAGCGTAACACTAGAGGATGCGTTGTTTGCTGCAACCTGAAGTCTACCCTTAAACAAAGGCGTTTCGCAGAACTCCAAAGCTTCGGCTTCAGACATGCCTGCAGCAAGCATACCACCTTTCTGTCCATCCGCATTGCCGGCAAGATGTGCAACATAACCGCGATAGTATGAGATCAATATCGCATCGTGTGAAGAAAGTCTTCCTGCTACATACGCCGCTGCGATCTCTCCGGAAGAATGTCCGATTACTGTATGAAAGGTAATGCCCAGGCTTCTCAAGAGCTTCACCAGTCCTATTTGCAACGCCGTACAAAGAGGCTGAGATACAGCGGCGGTATCGACGAGAGATTTATTCCCCTCCGCAAGAATTTGTTCTTCTAACGTCCAAGTTGGAGGGTGGCGACAGGAGCGTAATATCACGTCGAGATCACGGATGGCATTACGATATATCTCATTGGTACGAAATAGTGACCTGGACATCAAAGTCCACTGTGCACCTTGACCAGTGAACACTCCGATAATCTTTAGGTGTCCAGTCGCCGTAGAGCTTCGAGTCCCTGTGATATTGGATGTTGGCTTGAGAAGATCATTGAGAGCTTGAAGTGCCTGTGATGTTGAACTTGTTGACACAGGTAATCGGTAGGGCAATGCCGTTCGGCGGGAATACAGGCTCCATGCCAGTTGAGCATGATCGACATCTGGGTGCTGTAGAATATAGTCTCGGTAGGACTCGACGACCGCGCGTAGTGACTTCTGCGAGCCAGCCGATAGGAGAAGAGGTAAGGGGAGATGGGCACCCCCGGACTTTTTTACTACCTGTATACCACTAGAAAGCTTGATTCCAGTGTTATTCCTGAAAAGGCGATCGTGAATTAGCGGTTCATACGATTCGACGATTACATGGGCATTGGCACCACCGAATCCAAATGAATTGACACTCGCTCTTTTCGGCTGACCGCTGAGTGGACGAGGCCAGGGGATCAAAGATGTCGGCACTTCAAGGCGCTTGCAAAATCTTTCAACGTCAGGGTTTATTTTGTCAAGGTGTAGGTTCGGGGGGACAGCGCCATTCTTCATGGCTTCGATGACTTTGAGCAGTCCAGCCAACCCAGCTGCACCTTCGGTATGCCCAAGGACAGTCTTGACAGACCCAACTAGCAAGCTCTTCGCGTTAGGACCAGAACCAAGACTTGTGCTATCGTCGAAGAAGGCGTTGTAAATGGCTTCAGCCTCCCTGGGATCACCGGCAGGCGTACCGGTACCGTGAGCTTCGAAGTACTGACACCGATCCTCAGGCTTCATCAAATCCAGGCCAGTCTTGAGATATGTGTCCTTGATCAGCGCAGTTTGGGCCTGGGGATTTGGCAAAGTGATTCCCTTTGTCCGTCCGTCAGAGTTGACTCCAGTGTCGCGGATAACGGCAGTGATCTCGTCGCCCTCTGCCAAGGCTCGAGAAAGGGGCTTAAGTAGAAATGCCGCAATGCCCTCTCCACGTGCATAGCCATCAGCGGCTGCATCCCACATTCGGCTTCTACCAGTAGGACTAAGCATGTGTAGACTGGACTCTACAAGGAATTGTTCCGGAGTCATCATTATGTTTGTGCCTGTTACACAGGCCATAATGCTTTCCCCTGAGCGTAAGCTCAAGACAGCTTGGTGTAGAGCCACCAGACTCGAGCTGCAAGCGGTGTCTATAGTCATAGAGGGACCCTGGAAGTTGTAGAAGTATGAAATTCTGTTCGAAATGATGGATCGAGCATTACCAGTGGCGTAATACTGGCTTGTGGATAGCTCATCCCGCTGGGATAGGGTATCATAGTCGGCAGTCATCACACCTGAGAAAACGGCGACATTCTTCCCGGAATATGTGTTTAGACTGTATCCAGCTGATTCCAAAGCTTCATAGACAACTTCGAGGATTAGACGCTGTTGGGGGTCGATGGCTTCAGCTTCCTTCGGGGTGATATTGAACATATTAGCATCGAAGACGCGGTGATCTTGATCTAGCCAATATGCCTTGATGGAATTGGTTGTACCGTGGTACTCTCCGTCAGGATGGTAAAAAGCTTCAGCACTGAATCTCTCGGGAGGGACTTCTCGAGAGAGATCCGGTGCATCGCAGAGCACATCCCATAGCTTGGCTGGCGACGTAGCGCCGCCGGCGAAGCGACAGCTTACACCAACGACTGCAATGGGTTCTGTTACAGGTTTTTTGTACGCCATTGCAAACTGGTCTCAACACAAAAGTATGTAATGTATCAAATCCAGTGCAAGGGTATGAGGGTAAAGGGTAAAGTAGAAAATAGACAGGTTAATAATAACGTCAAATGTCCACAAAACAATAGTTTAGGGAGAAGAGAGAACAATGCTATCCTTTGTGTAGAAGTAGACACAAATTTGCATTATTTTTGTCTTTGATTGTAGGGTAGAAATTTCAGTGGTAAAAATTTTAAGAGGAAGTTACGTGGGTCTGGTTGTTATGCGGAAAGAGGTTATGGAGGAGCGTTGCTATGGCGAGTGCTGATAAGGGGGGGAAAAAAACTTTTTTTTTGGTGCGTGAATCAGGAACTTGAGAAAGAACGAAAGAGGGAGAACCTGTCATAATAAGGAAAGAGGACCATATTCTCAAGACTCACGATAACAAGCAAAAAGGTAATACGTGACTCCAGTCCAGTATTATGGAGTACACATGATCATATTGGTATGGGATTCACAGCCATGCCCTCAGCTATACGCCCAAGCACACACCGAGCTGTAAATAGTAGGAAGATGTACGCCTTCTATACAAAAATTACCTATATTAACCTTCCCAATATGGAAAACGTAGCTGGAGTGGAATAAAACGAAGCTAGATCGGGAAATATACATGTGTTGGGCTGAACAAGTAAACTAAGATGGGTAATCTGACAAGCTGGAACTCCGGTAACTCCACGTATTTATAATCATGAATTGACTACGAGCTTTGGTTTCAGGTCGCCATGGAATAAGTTTCTTTTCGCAGCCAACATGAATATAGCACCCTTTGTGTTAGGCTCTTTCAAGTGGCCCTCAGTCCAGTCCTTTCAGCCCTAATGAGGCTATATCTGCCTTACATGGACACGGCCATGTCATGTTGAACTATCAACATAGCCCCACCATACGCTTCATTTTCCGTATGACATCTTTTCCATATTGACTTCCACTTGACATAAATGAAGAACCCCCCTATAGCACTCCTGCTACACGTATGTAGCTCAAGGCGCAGCACTAATTTTGGGGGTTTACTGGTACCAGTCTCGTAAACTACTATCAATACTAAAAAAAAAATTTCTAGATATAAGTATAGTTTGGGGGCTTAAACCTGTCAGTTGAGCAGCAATACTGTCCATGAGAACCCTCCGTAATACCCCAGGACCCACCCCCTATTCGAGGTCTTTGTAAGGGATGGAACCCGAGATACCCGAAATCGACTTTACCTATCATATATTAGTCGTAGAGCCAGCAGATCTGGATATGGGCACTTTGAATCGATAGTGTGACACCGTACCACCCCTCTGGGAGACCCGTTCTCGTCGGGCATACCGAGCGTTCTTATCGAGGCTTATCCAAAGGATCTACCTATCTCGGTGTCGAAATTTCTCTTGGTAAAATACAACACGTCGATACCACACTGACTATCACCAGGTATTCTTGTATGCCTACTAAGGTTGTTTGGGTTTGTTCTACGACTTCATCTACCTAGGTAGATTATGATTTAGATAAGTGCTAACGTATTGCGCTTCGATTTGAGCATATAAATAGCGGTGGTATAAGGGATAATTTAGCAGGAAGCAATGAAATGCTATTTACTGCGCCAATAATATACTAAAGATACTGTACCCGATGAGTAAATACGTGCTCGTGATAGGTTATGTAGCCACTTACCCATTGAGCACGTCGTGCAAACAAAAAGCATCGACGCCAATCTAGACAATAGCCGGCGCTAATCCAACCGACCTCAAGTACGCTTAATAACTGCGAGATGCTAGGAGGTTCTTCCACAAGAAGCATTATAAGGCCGTCCCTTACAATATATCTACCTTGGTACCTACCCTAACTCGTACGAGTATGCTAGAGGAATTCAAACTAGCAACAGGCTAGTCTTTACACACTGATATTAATAGAACGTCTTGCTTGAGCATGAAGCCTGATCTGCAGCCTCATAGCTACCTAATTCTCATCTCGTGACTATTATAAAACTGCCTTAGGGACATGTACCTAAGTTAGTCAGGTCTCAAATTCTTACTAGTATCTATCCGAGACGACGGAGCGTATCCATGGTGCATCTTGCTTTTGTAACTTGAATCACACTTTCTAAGTATTTGTAATAAGCTATCTTGCTGTAGGTCTTCAAGCCATACTGTTTACGGAAGGAGTAGCCTATGAGGATTCTTGACAGCTCCCCGGATAAGAAAGCAAAATGGATATAGTCGATTTAGGAACCGACAGATCAGCGTTTGTTTGCTACATATCAAACTCCGGAGTAACTGATGGCTGGGGAAGATTAGGTGCGTGTACTATGCGGTGAGTTCCGACCTAGATTTACGGAGGTAGGTTAATTACGAATTAGCCAATGATACTTGAATGGCTTCAAATACCGATAGCAGCTAGGTATTAACTCTAGGTTATCAACCTGTATGGCCACGGACGAACCGAGCATCATTCATGTTCGTTTTCAGGTGCTCTTTTCGAGCTTTTGAACCTTCAAACCTTTGAGCCTTTAGCTCCATAAGTAAACAATAGAAAGCTCATATCGACCCCGCTGAGAATACAAAGGCATACATAGCAATCTATAAGGTGCATCTTGTTCTTTGTTTGGCGTTGCGCTAGATGACATCTTAGATATTAGCTTGGACAGCTTGGACAGCTTGGATAGCTTTATATAGGTCATTTAGTAGTTTTCTTTATCATTTGTTAGAGCAGGGAGTATAAAGCTACGTATAATTCAGAAATGAAGTCTAGATCACTTGGCCAACGAGGTTGGCCGGTTTATCCATGCGCAAGAAAAAATATACGAAATGTGAGCGGTTGATAAGAGAGGAATCTTCCAAAATGTCTTAAGTATCCATACCGATGGCGCCTAACCTCCTTGAGAAATCCGATCCCGTACTATACGAAATATATACATGACAAACAACATGTGTCTTGAAAGAATCACATGCAGTATACTTATTCACAGTTTGCCTTCCCCGCAAGCATGCCAGTACCTAAGCAAAAATGTCTACTGATCGCCGGTCCCGAAAATTTCGATATGTATCCGCTCTGGATTCACTCCGACGCTGACCAGATACTTCTCCATGTCTTTCATGAACGCGTAGGGGCCGCAGATGTAGTACTCGGCGCGCGCGTCGTCGAGGAAGAGATTGGCCTTGGGATCGACCTTTGCGAGGTCCATCCTCCCAGTGAGGTGGTAATCGACGCCCTGGACATCCTTCTGCTGGGGCGACGTCACAAAGAATATCGCGTTAATATTGTTGCCGTTGACATCCTTGGCGCATGTGTCTCGGATGTGGTTGCTGAACGCTCGGACTTCAGTGTTGTGCACACCGTGTATCCAGGAGATGCGCCGGTGGGACCCTGCGTTCACGGTGCTGTTGAGGATGGATATCATAGGTGTAAGACCGACTCCGGCCGAAATGAGGGCAATCGGCTTGCTCTCGTCTTCCTTGGGGTCGACGAAGAATTCTCCAGCGGGAGCTGTAAGCTCGATAACATCTCCCTCCTTATACTTGTCGTGTAGCAGATTGGAAATCAATCCCGGAATTCCGGGCTCCTTGCCCTTCTCCTTCTTCACGCTGATGCGGTAGTAGTCGTGTCCCGGCGCGTCGCTTAGCGAGTACTGTCTGGGTTGCATGTGGCCCATCTCGGGGATAAATACTTGGAGGCTGATGTACTGGCCCGGCAAAAACGACGGGAGCGGCTGTCCGTCTTCGGGCACGAGGTAAAAGCTTGTGATTTCCGACGACTCCGGTACTTTGCGCTGGATCTTGAAGCGGCGCCAACCCTGCCAGTTCCCGTGAGCGGCGTACAGTTGCTTTTCCCTGTTGATGAAAATATCGGCTAAGGCGCCGTAGGCGGCCGTCCAAGCCTCGGCGATTTCGGGCGTGCAAGCATCGCCTAATACGGCAGCTACGGCCTCGATGAGATATTTCCCTACGATCTGGTATTGATCGGCCTGGACGTTTAAGCTCTCGTGCTTGTGCGCGATGCGCTCGACGAGATCTTTCAGATGGCCGAGATCGTCGACGTAGGTGGCGTAGGCGAAAACGGCGGCGGCTAGGGCACGCGGTTGCGCCCCACTGGTTTGATTGGACATGCTAAATATATTCTTGAGCTCCGGATGGGCAGCGATCATGTTATTATAAAAGAGTGTCGTAATCGTTGTGCCATGTTCCTTCAGAACTGGAGCGGTCGCCTTAACGACAGCGATATGCTCCGGAGAGATGGGTGCAGCAACAGCCATCTTGGATTAGGTACGAATAGACGCAATATGGGGATTAATTAAGTGATGATACTCAATTTTTTCAGAGCACGGTAAATATAATGTTATAAAATTCTTGGGGAATAGAAATCGCTAAGATCGTAGCAAGCGGCGAATAAGGATACCTTCCAGGTAGCTAAGATGCTTCATAGTGCGGACGCCCACTCTTATATATAGGGATTGCATATCCCCTCTCTCCAACGCGAGAATACTAACACATCCGACATAATTGGCTACTTCTACGAAGGGAGAAACAAATGTTTGTCCAGTCTCCGGTATTCCGCCAGTCTATCGTACCACGTTTCTTGTGGAGGACGCCGGGTTGATGTCTGCGGTTGAGTTGTGGCGAGTAAACGAAATGTCAGAATCGCCTTTTTTTATTCAAAATGAACCCACCAGGTCCTCCAACTAGTTTCGTGGATTTACCATCTCCGCGGTGGTCAACCCCAAGGTCATCCCGGATTTTATGGGCACTTGTTATTGCAGTTGGTTAGCAGGTTAAGTGCATTAGGTACCTAGTATTAGATTCTCTCTGAATGGGGATTTGAATGACTCGATTATGTCGGTTACTTGGTATCTTCCTGATAGAGTGGCTTATATTAGGAGGCTCAATCTTTCTATCAACTTTATTATCCTGAAGAAAAGATCATACCTCTCTCTCATGTATCCTATTGACGCCAACCTCGGCAACGGAGCTTCTTAAAAGCCCGCCTTTTTTTCTTTTTGGACAGACAGTTTCCATAATATGCATCACTGCCTGAGGATCTAACCTCTAAAAAGATCACATTATCCTCATGCCTTTTTTACAAACTCCCTTTTTCCGCGGACCGAGGAGAACCGACTTGGATTCGGACATCACGGGGAAGATACGGGGAGGCACGGAGAAAAAAAAGTTTGGCCAACGCTTAGCGAGGTGCTAATCAGAATTAAACGCCTGTCAACTTCGCATTAGCCATCTTATTACTCATCGACCGCATCTGGGCGACCCGCCGAGTTGGTTTAACAAGTTGGTCGGATGCAAATAGGGTCATTTTACGTAATTGGCCCTGACTCTAGATGCTTCCAATATTTGTAAACCCGGTTAGTACTGGCAAAAAGTCATATGATATATCTTAGGTAGTCAAAGACCACAAATTTATATAGAACTATCTGTCTAACTCTGTATACCGAGCTACCTCTAACCTGCCTTACCTATATAACTTCTATGAATCGACCGTGTGGGGGGTATCGGTGTACTGAAAGAGTGGCAAGACATCGACCGAACCCGCGATAACTTCCAAATTCCGGCTTCACGGTCCCACATATGCCGCTTGTCTCCTCCCGCCCCCTCAAAAACACATCTATAAAGCTTACTCCCCAGAATATAAATGAAAGACATCCCTCCATCCACGTTGTGTAAACCTAACTATCTACTCTTTGATGCTGCCCTCGTAAAACCGAGGCAACTCAATCTGGTGGGTGAAATGTCGTGGGAGACGATTCTCTCCTTTTTCATATGGATGACCAGCTTCTTCTCGCGCTAGATCATTGACCCAACGGCAATGTCCTTCGAATGTCCTGGTACCATCCGACTTGACTCCAACGTCGTAAAATTTGTTTGCCAGATGGAACCAACAAAGCGCGTTACCAACCGTACCAACTTCGTCGCTGACACCAGTTCTCGCTTCCTGGCTCATTCGGTCCCACAGTTCTTGGTCCGTAAACAGCTCTATGAGGTGCTGAGCTACGGCCTTGTAATCGCCGGGCTCAACTAAAAAGCCGTTGACCTTGTCTTTCACTTGAATAGGTATGCCACCAGCTAGTGTTGCGATTACCGGCCGTCCAGCATGCAATGCTTCCGACACTTTAACCTCGAAACCTTCTCGCGTAGATAGCTGGAGAACCACATGAGCGTTCGCGATTAGTGTGTTGAGAAGCTGGTCATTGGCTTGTAGGCGCATGACACTGATGTCATTACTATAATGCGGGTAATGCGTCTCGATCTGTTCCATGACAATATCATATATCAAGTTTCCGTCAGGGTCATCGATGGAACTGTTGCCCGTGCTGTATCGCAGAATTAGCAATGACTCTTCAAGTTTACAACTCTCGCAAACTACTCACACTACTAGCTGAGGGATGTCTTTTAACCCCAACTCTTCAGCGCGCCGACGGAATTCACCGTACGAATCTATGACCGTAGGTATACCCTTTGCTGGGTCAAACCGCGCGACTTGAATGATGTATTTGGCTAGATGCTCATATTAGTATATGCGACAAAAGTAGGAGTCATAATGCCTCACAGTCCGGGTATCTCAGTGGTGTCCTAAAAACCACTTACGTCAGTATTATCATTTTCTTCCATAGATTCTTGATAAACTTACATGCGTTGGGCGTGGCACTGCTCATTGTAATTACTTCGGTAGTAACCGCTATCCCAATCATTTATGTCCTTATTCAACCCATCGAGCCTTTGTAACGTTAGCCAAATACCAATACGGTCATTCCAAAACATAGGAGACTTACCAATCTGTGGTAGCCGGCATGTACGTGACTAGATTGCGAGGCACAGTGTGCGGGACGAATTTAGGGATCGGATGGCTCACGAACATATCGGCATGGCGGATGTTGTTCCATAGGAAAGACCATGCTTGCTCCTGCGGCGAGCCGCTCTGAGCAACAAGATCACTACGGATCTGGATATGAGAGCGATAAATAACGGGTCGGTTTGGCGTGATGTTCTTGATTAGCGGAATGAGACCAGGCATTTGAGGGTCGTCGATCTATAATGCTTAGTTAGCTCCAATACGCCATCAACGAAGATAGGCGTGGAGACATCAATGCAATAGGGCTCAACACGTACCACAACTATGTCGGCACCACCTTCTTCAACAGGGCGTAGGGGACCTCCTCTGGAGAGCCAATAACGGTTGGCATTTTCGACAATCCAGTCTGTAATCTCCTGTTGCTCTTCCGGGGAAATACGCTCATCTGGCTGGCTCACACCTTGAAGAATGTTGTGCATGTTCTTGGTGCTTCGGAATACGCATGGGCGCGGTTTCGGCACTAAGATATACTGCTGTTAGTATTTCCCGACCGAGGACTCAGTATTGCCCCAATAAGGGGCATACGAGCTGTATGATTTCAAGATATATCCCAACATACCGTACCAGGTTAAGTCAACGCCTGCCAGACGGGCAAATCGCACTAACGCGTGTCGCATGAGTGCAACTCCACCGCCTTGAGGGGTTGCGCTGAAGAAAGCTATCTTGACTTTCTTAGCCTTCAGCTGCTTGGCATAATGCATCGTTGAGTCCCACGTAGCAGGACTGCAGGTCGGTTGGTAATCGTCGAGGGTAGTCAAACGAGCTCTGAAACCAACGTCACTCATAACTACGCCGCGGAAGGCGACCTGTAGAATAGGAACCAGAGAAGGACCAAAGACCCTAAAAAGATATGTTATCATCGTTTAGGACTTATAAAATTGGGCTTTCGTACTCACATTACACATTTACGTGCCATCGAATCAGCCTGCTCGTCGACATCTTTGTTATCCCAGAAGGATGTCTCCGACTGGTCGACATCGAAGTCAACAGGGACAATATCGATTTCCAGCCAAAGGCGGGAATTAAGGGTAGGGCTTATATCCTTTAAATTCAAAGGGAGCCCAGCGCCGACGAACTTGACAAAGTTTTCGTGCTCGTACTTCTGAATCTGCGAAATCACATAATCTGCGATGACGTCTTTGTCTTTTTGGTCAGGGTCAATTTTCAACTCCTCAACCATAAAATCAAGCAAGTAAGTGTGGTCGTGGGTTGCAATGGACAACACTACGGTGCCATCGTCATTCTTCACAGCTGAGATACCGACAAACAACGGCTTTATATAATAAGTTAGCTAATCATTATGCGACTTCAAAAGTTGGATAGAACGTACTGTGAGGGCTCGCGCGAAGGGCCCGTCTATTATGTGTTAGTGTCGCATCCCAAAAAAAGTGGTTTATTCGTAGCACCCCTCCTTTCTTATAAGGAGAGAAGGGTAGGCTTATGCTGGTGTTTACCGGCATAATAGGTCTATAAAGAAAGATACCGATACATACTGCAGACATGTTAGTCTATACCTATATGTAAAAAGAATGGATGACCCATTAGGGATTTAAAAAGGTCCTGACTATACTGACCATTTGGCAGCGAACTCGCTTAATCGGCGCTGGTGATGCGCAGAAGCCGTGGAGAACCTCCTTCTCTTTTCTACAAGTTGTGCCATTAGGTTAGGCACTTATTCGACACCAAATGTGAGAGGGTATTATCGGTCTGGTAACTGCCTGTCGGATTGTATTATAAACTTAAGCTTTATGATTGCGACTGAAGATTGAGGACGATCTTGGCCATGAAGAGGGAACAGGTCTGGTATATTTATAAAGCCAGATGATTCAGTAGGGTAAAGAGGTAAGTGGCATGTAATCACAGCATCCGGGAGGACCGGTTGAGAGAGCTCAGGAAAGAGACATGCGGTGTGAGGCGTGAGAGCTGAGATGATTCCATTTCATTTTAATGCTTAATACGTCAATACGTCAATGCCTCAACTTTGGGTTAGGAGGTAGGTACATGTGTAGTGTATGTGCATCCTAACCTGGGGAAGTGGTATTGTATTGTACAATACATGGAAGTACTTGGAAGACCTTGGAGGGGTCGCGGAGGCGCATTGGGTTATCCGTGGGCCTTGACTTTACCTATCGGTCACCTGCCAATATTACCAATATTACGCCTACGCCTACTAGGTTCTCTGTCAATACGGAGGAAGTGGGATGATCTTACTCTCTATCCCCGTCTATCAGTTGCAACTGACAGGAGGCGAAGCAAACATATTTTGAAGCATGGTCTTATAATCTTAGCACAAACTCTATAGGTATGTATGACTCTGAGGCATGTACTTGCTCCCTAACCTCATATTCCTACCCGATGTAAAGTGCTTGAATTGTACCCCCATGAATCAGCTGAGTTATTGTATTCCCTGGAATCGGGGATTGAACTACAGCGTCACGATGACGCCAAAATTGGGAGGGATTCGACGAGAAACGTCTATAGTAAGTACCTCGGTGTAGTAGATATGTCTATGCCAAAATAGCTAAATCGCGACATATATTGGATACACATAGATAAGAACGTAGTTGTAGGGTTAAATTAGAATTGAGGCTCAAGAAAACTTCCCGGGTCCATGGTTTCCCCCTTCCCTATCTGCTTTTTAATTACCTACCCTGCCTACATGAGGTAGGTAGGTAGGTAACGTTATGTAGGTACGTATGTACGTATGCTACATTACCTGCGGAAGTGCCCCTTAGGTTGTTGGTCACTTTCAGCGGTTGTGATCGTAAGTTGTAAACCACTCGTTACGAGTTGCCAATAAAAAGATCCAAATCTTAGGTACTCCCGCCCCTCGTACGATTTTCGAATGTTGCTCTGCCTTCTCTCGAGGCGAGGACACCACACCTTTGTTAGTCTCGTGGGATGCTTTTTTCTTTGGATGCGCTTCGGATCGTAACATGTCCCGTATTCTATCAACTTACAAACAGCCAACATTAAGATCTCGTAGCATCAGCCAGGAGAATCAGGGGAATAAACTCACCTTCGCTCTGCTTTCATCGTGCCCTCTAAGGAGATCGCCTAAATTCATAGCCACGCAATTACGAGTGCCACCGCTATGCCAGCTCAATCATGTCGCGCTGCTCTAGCATAGCCAAACGTATCACCCGACTATGGCCAAGATTTTGGGCAATGCTCATGATTCTCTGTTTACGCTGCTCGTTTGTTTTCCTGTTGACACTCGTGTTCCCGAAAATACCAGTGAGTGTACTAGCCAGCGGTCATTGTCCAATCATATCACTAGCTACGCGGTGTAACCTGCTAAATCAGGAAAATCAGGAATTATCTCTTTGCCAGGTACCTAATGTATGTACGCTCCGAGCCACGACTTGGAGATTGTGCACTTGGAAAATGGTCTAGAATACCTGTTGAAATTTCGGACAACAAAATATCCAAGAAGCGGGCTATTTTATAGGAGCCCTAAGTTTGCCATGTGATATTTAGAGTCACTGTAGAGTCTAGACTTTGTCATTGAAGAGCACGAAATTACGAAAATGGTGATCCATTTACCCCGCAATTTGATTCCGTATCCATTCCCGCACGTCTACATGCGCGACTAGTTCTGGGGCGCGTTTCCCCATTCTTCCGTCTAGATATGTCATGCCTCTATGTTTGTACAGAGCCTTGGCGTTGTCTAGCTCTTGTTAAGCTTATCCAGTTTACTCGGGTTATATGAAAGGTTCATAATCGAAATTACAACAATGGGAGCTTATATATCTGACAATTAGTCAAACTATGGCCCAAATGAAAACCCTGGGAATCGATGATTTCAGGCAAGGCAATTGAATTAATTCGCATGCCAGTATTATGTTGGAAGAATCGCATGAAAAAGCCCGGGCCTCCTAATTAACAAGTACCTAACATTATTTGACATTATCTCTGAGCAACTGATCTCTGAGTAACAAACCCGCCAACTTTCAACAAGCATATCCCAATAGGTACCTCCTAGGTATGCAAAGCTTATAGCTTAAATCTTTTCAATGCATTCAGTTACTCGTCCGATCCCTCCTTTTTTTCTTCCCCCTTTTTCTCTTCTTGGTCACCATCCTTCTTCTCGTCCTTCTGCTCCTCGTCCTTCTGCTCCTCTTCTTTCTTCTTCTCTTCGGCCTCCTTTTCCTTCTTCATTTTTTCTTTATCCTTTCTCTCAAGCTCTTCCCACTTCTCGTTATAGTCCTCTTCACCCCATCGATTGTGTAATCTTTCATCCACACCTGTCAGCCTTGGCTTGGCATCGCCAACTTTCATCCGGCCAATGAGACTGATGAAGAGTGCAGTTCCCACGATAGCGGTTAATACAAATCGGTACGTTGCATACCACGAGGGTGCCCAAGCCCGAACGGTAGCTCGGGAATCAGCGACGTACAGCAGTACAAAGGCCGCAAACTGAGCTGTGAGTGCAAAATCCATAGGCATGAGCAATGTAGGCCATGCTACCGCAGGGGCTAGTACACCAAGTCCGTACCGGAATCGCGTGCGAGCTGGGTCGGGTGTCTTTTCGGTGTACTCCATACCCCAATGGACTGCGCCGAGGAAGCTTATTATAACGGCGCCGTAGCCTAATTGTATGGGCTCGATGACAGCAAGTAAATGCCGAGCCGTATCATGGCTTATTAATATACTGTTTAGGAAATTGGATGTCGTCGGCCATTCAGTATTCAAATTCCATGCAAGGTAAACGGTAGAGAGAGAGGTGGCGAAGTAAGGCAAGGTGCCTGCAAGCCCAAGGAAGAGTGGCTCTTTTGGAACTTCTGAGAGGTCAAAAGTATCCTTGACAGTTTCCTATGTAAACGTCAGTGGCTAGATCTGACCAACGAAACCATGATAGACTCCTACCAAATCATCTCTGATTCCATGCTTGATAGATTTCTGTTCTCCTTGGCCGCTGGACTCATAAAAATGACGGACACTCGACTCTGTGGTTACCACTTCTGGGTTCGACTCAAGTTTACGCTGGCCGATTCTTTTGTCTTCTTCTGGGTCCGTTCCCTGTTGGAAGCCACTCGGCGTCTTGGTAACGTATGACGTTGTTTGTATTGGGGAGGGTTTGCGGGAAATAGGCGCTCTTGGGTATGTTGAATTGAACTTAGTAGCTGTGACAGCAGTCCTTAGGTGTGGTCTTGGTGCCCATGAGGCTATAGACTTTGGCGACGCAACTGCTCTAGATGAGCTTATTAGGAAAGATCGCGTGTTTCGTAGCATCATAGTCATCTGAATATCTGACTGTTTCCAAGAAGCTTGGGTGGTTTAAAGAATAATCATATAGAGGGGTGACGATAGTTTAGATCTCTAAGACATACAGTTCAACCATACCTTGTAATGTTTATTTCTAGATGGCGCTGTATGGTTATCTATTAATATATGATGGAAATCGTAAAATTGGTTCATTTTGTAAAGACGTGTTGTTCCTGGTTGTGCTCTGCTTGACTCAATGACGTAATAGTTTAGATGTGTACCACCAAAACATAGTATCCTATGATGTAGTTTTAACGTACAATACACAGGTACCCGGTAGCCCCTCCATCAGTGGCTGGAGGTTGGGCTTCCATGAAGTGGGCTTGAAAGGGCCGCTGGAGTTAAATCCCCAGACTGGGCGCTCGTAATCAAGCCACAGCTTAGTCTAACAAGCAGCGTCATCACCAAAAGAATTTCAATCTCACAGCTAATCAGAGCTCGCGATATTCTGTTGCCTTCCTCGTTAAAGGTTAGGCTTTCCCCAAGGATCGCTATCGCTATCGCTATTCCTGATTTTAAAGCTTACCTGTTTTTATTAGAGCTTTCTAGGTCTACGACACACCACCCACATCCCACATTTCCTTACCTACACTCATCAACACCGGCGTCTTATTTACTCTTTCTATTCCCTATTCTACCCGGTTCAGGAACCGCGGCATACCTGTAGGTACCTATGTAAGGTAGCTTGCTACCCAGTTCAATCTACCTTGGGTAGTACTTATCTAGATATCAACTTGCTCCTGTGCAAATTCAACCTTTTTTCCGCCTCATTTTATCATTTATTTTTCCTCAAATTCAATAATCATTGCTGCACACACACAGCGCGCGCGTCCTATATCTGCTTCCAGCCTACCTAAGTGATACCCCACCACGATTTCTACGATAGTCCATGGTTCGTTTTCCTACCTAACCTAGGTACTTTGCACCACTGTCGAGTTATAGCGTCATCCAATTCGATTGCGAAATCCAACCTGCCTCCAGGCGATACTTCCATCGAACGAGGCTCCTTGTAGTACTCGTAGTAGATCCTACTCGTTCAACCTCATCGCATTTGCTCAGATGAAGCGACCTGTTACCCACCGTTAGTTCATAGACTCGCCCCCGCCCGGGTTACGGCGCAATATAGTCAAGATGTTAGAAGGCTTGGTCGCTGGGTTGCTCAACCGCTTCTTGGGCATGTATGTCAAGAATTTTGATCCTACCCAATTGAAAGTCGGTATATGGTCTGGCGATGTGAAGCTCCGGAATTTGGAGCTCCGCAAAGAGGCTCTTGATCAGCTGAAGCTTCCCATAAATGTCATGGAAGGCCATCTAGGAGAGTTGACCCTCGTCATTCCCTGGTCAAATTTGCGAGGGGCACCGGTAAAGGTATTAATCGAGGACGTTTTCCTGCTGGCGTCTCCGAAAGAAGAGGCGGCCTACGACGAGGAAGAGGAAGAACGCAGAAGACAGCGATTAAAAATGGAAAAATTGGATTCTGCTGAGCTTTTGAAAGAGAGGTCGCAGGAAGGACTCAGCCAGGAAGAGCAAAAGAAGAGTCAGAGTTTTACAGAGAGCTTAGTCACTAAAATTGTCGACAATCTGCAGGTCACAGTGAAAAACATTCATGTGAGATACGAGGACTTCATATCAGCCCCGGGACATCCGTTTGCCCTAGGTGTCACCCTTGCCGAGTTCAGTGCAGTCAGTACCGACGGCGAATGGAACCCTACTTTCATCCAAAACTCGACCGAGACAACGCACAAGCTAGCCACACTCGGTGCGTTAGCAATCTACTGGAATACAGATAGCACCCTACTTGGTCCGGGCCGTGAAGTGGATAGAGGAGAGGAGCATTTGTCCCACGCCGATATGGTTAAAAGCTTCAAAAATATGATTGGCAAGGGAAATGATACTGCCACAGAGGCAGATCATCAGTTCATTTTAAAGCCGGTAAGCGGTCAGGCAAAGATTGAGCTCGACAAGACAGGCGACGTGCATGTGCCCAAATTCAAAGCGAGCTTGCTTTTCGATGAAATCGGCGTTGTTCTCGACGATGATCAATATCGTGACGCGTTAATGATGGTTGACCTTTTCCATTATTTCATTCGTCATCAAGAATACAAGAAGCTTCAGCCTAAGGGGGTGACGCCCAAGGAAGACCCTCGTGCTTGGCTCAAGTTTGCTGCCAATGCAGTGCTCACTAAAATCCACGAGAAGAACCGAAGGTGGACTTGGGACTACTTCCGTGAGCGCCGTGATGACCGTCGTTCATATATCGAGTTGTTCAAGAAAAAGAAGGCAAATCAGCAACTCACACTAGAGGAAATTGACAATCTCAATAAGCTCGAGTGGAAACTAGGGTATGAAGATTTGCGATTCTGGAGGTCGCTAGCTCGCAACCAATTGCGAAAGGAGAATGCGGAGGCACTCAGAAGAGCACCGCCTAAAAAGGAGCAGCAGCAACAGGGCTGGTTAGCTTGGGCTTGGGGTTCGAAGCCTTCCGAGCAAACCGACTCTACGGAGGAAAATACTCAGATGACCGAGGAGCAGCGCAAAGAGCTCTACGAGGCGATCGACTGGGACGAGAAAACCGCTCTAGCTGAAGTTGTGGACACACCACGCGACATTATCAAAATGCAGGTCGATGCGTCTCTTAGCACTGGTAGTTTTACTCTAAGACAGAATCCTCATGGAAAAACGACCGATTTGCTAAGTCTGCATTTTGACGTCTTTAAGGCGAAAGTATTCAAGAGGCCCGACTCCGTACTCGCTGATATTAGCCTGGGCGGTTTCCGAGTCAATGATGGTACTACCCCAGAGAGCTTGTTTAAGGAGATTGTTCGGGTCAAAGACGCTCCAGAAGCGAAAAATAAGAGACGGCTTTCCATCGCCGAACTCGAGAGGGCTGAACAGGAGACCTTCTTTGATTTGCAGGTTGAGCAAAATCCCCTTGATGGTCAGAGCGACTTTGCGGTCACGGCGAAGCTCAAACCACTGGAGATTGTGTGGAATCCTAACTTCGTTGTGGGTGTCGTTGACTTCTTCAAACCACCCGAGAGGCACATGGAATCTATAACAGCGTTGATGGAGACTGCCGGCGCTACCGTTGAGGGGTTGAGACAGCAGACGCGTGCTGGTCTTCAGTTTGCGCTTGAAGAGCACAAAACTATAAACGCGAAATTAGACCTCCAGGCACCTCTTATCATAATCCCTCAGTCTATCAAGACGCCACGATCTACATGTCTCATTCTAGACGCCGGTCATATTAGCGTCAACAGTGAGCTTGTTGATAAAGGGACTTTGAAACAAGTACAGGATAAGCACAACCACCAATTCTCCGATGAAGACTTCAAACAGCTCGAGTCTCTTATGTATGATCGGTTCCTAGTCAAACTAACGTCAACGCAGGTCCTTATTGGACCTTCTATCGAAGAGACAAAGTCTCAATTAATTGAGAAGGATGACAGTCGGATGCTTCATATCGTGGAGAAAATCAATGTTGATTTTGTAGTAGCTCTGTCAATATTGCCAAAAGCACCTAATTTGACGAAGGTCAAAGTATCAGGACACATGCCTGTACTCCATGCAATGGCTTCAGACACCAAGTATAAAAGCCTCATGAAGTTAATTGATGTTGCAATACCAAAGTTCGATGAAGAGCATCACCCTAGAACCGAAGGACAGTCTATGAAGCCTCGCCAACTTAGTTCTTCGTCGAACCGCTTACCAAAACTACAAGATCGCAAGGCTTCATCCAACTTATTTCTAACTCAGCAAACCGCCGTGATCCTAGAAGATGACTCTGACGATGGCTTGGATGAATTTGAAGATGCTGCGGATGGAACTTCGAATCAACGGCTTAAAACACAGCAGCGCAACTTTGAGTTCAAGTTCGCTGTCGACAAGTTACAAGGCTCTCTCTATCGGAGTGACCCCGATGGAGTGCAGCCTGAATCCCTACTTGTGGAACTAATCGCGGAGAATTTCGATCTCAACTTCTATATTCGGCCTTACGACATGGCAGCCGAGGTATCACTAGGCTCCGTGACGGTAGACGACTTCGTTGATAATCCTCCGGCGGAGTTCAAATCTATCGTGTCTTCCGGCGATACCGAAGACCGCCAGCAACAAAGAGATCTTGTCCGCGTCAGGTTCACCAGAGTCAAGAAGGAATCTCCAGAGTTCATGCCTGTATATGAGGGCATAGAGACCAACGTCAATGTTGCTGTTTCAACTATCAACCTGGTTGTTACAAGAAAGACCTTGCTTACACTACTAGACTTCGTGCTCACGACATTTACCAACAATAATAACTCGGGCTCCCAACAGCAGAGAAGGTTTATAGATGTGGGCGAGGAAGACACGGTTGAGATTATTGAACCAGCAACTGGTTCACAGCAGAGTGAGGGCGGTTCCATCCGCGTCAAGGTCGATCTGAAGAGTATCCGCATGATTCTAAATAACGATGGGATTCGATTAGCAACTCTCTCGTTCAACCAAGCTGATGTTGGTGTTTTCCTTCTTGGTAGGACGATGAGAGTAGCAGCAAAACTAGGCGACCTGACACTAGTAGATGATGTTAATATTGGCGCGTCAGAAAGTTCGAGCTTCCGTCAGCTCGTTACAATCCAAGGGGATGAGCTCGCTGATTTCCGTTACGAAACATACGATCCAAGCAACGAGAAAATCTACCCAGGATACGATTCATCTATATACTTACGTGCGGGATCTATCAAGGTTAATTTCCTTGAAGAGCCATTCAGAAAGATCATCGAATTCTTGGTCAAGTTTGGCAAAATGCAGGCCATTTACAATGCTGCTCGTCAAGCAGCTGCTAACCAGGCTCAGCAATTGCAGCAAAGCACCAGCAGATTCAAGTTTGACGTCATAATAAACACCCCTATCATCGTATTCCCCCGTCACCTTTCTCCGGATCGACCAAAACGCGATCTAATTACTGCTTATCTGGGTGAAATATACGCCCAGAACAAATTTGTGCCGTTAGATGATGCGGAGGACTCGGAAATCGGCATGAAGCTTTCCGCAGGTATCAGAAACATCAGACTAACGTCGCTATTCCATTATCCTAACGAACAGTCCGAAGAACTTGAAATGATTGATCATGTAGATCTTGGCTTCAACCTTACCTACGCTGAACACAAAGAGGGATGGAAGCGTCCAGATATGGAGATTGGAGGCAGCATGACTGACTTCAACCTAAGAATCACTCAATATCAGCTCAACTTCCTCCTAGAAATTTCCAGATCAGTGCCAGCAGCCTTCGCTACAGATGCCGATGCTAGAGGAGAAGAAGCTGAGCGAGATGTGGACGAGGGTACATTGCGACGCGCTAAAACGATGTCATCCACCACCAGCAGGTCTGAGGACCAGTTAATTGACCTCTCTCCAGAACTAGGCTCTAGAGAGGACGTCTGGACGAAACTCGACCTCGTTTTCAATATACACAAAATAGGCCTTGAGCTAATCAATGCTCATGAAAACCAACCTGTGGGTGACATGGACAGCGCTAGTCTGTCACGATTCTCCTTGGATGATAGCAGGTTGAAGACTCGAGTACTGGCAGACCGCTCGTTAGAAGCAGAGTTTGTGATTCAATCATTCACCATACATGATAGTCGCACTCGCGAAGATAGCAAGTATAGAAGAATCATGGCATCTTCTAATAAGAACGTCCAGCAATTCATGGCGAGCGTATCAATGTCAGGCGGCGATGAGCGCAATTTAATTGCTGTGATCGCCATTGACAGCCCTAGGATCATCTTCGCTTTGGACTACCTCTTCGCGATTCAAAAGTTCCTCATGGCTGGACTACAAGCTAAGGAGCCCCCACAAGCTGCCTTGGAAAGTCCCGTGGAGACTCCCGATATTTCTGATGCCGAGTCAATGCAAGTACAGTCGACTGGGAAGTCATCTCAAAAAAGTACAAAGAAATCCCAGTCAGAATCGGGGGCTACCAAGAATGGGGAGTCTAAGCTCAGCATTGCCTTCCGTGTTAATATTGTCGACTCGCAGGTCATACTAATAGCTAACCCCCTCAGCTCTAGCTCGGAAGCAATTGTGTTAGGGACGAAACAAGTACTACTCTCGCAACAACACTCGTTGACATTTCAAGTTAGCCAAGTTGGCATGTTTCTCTGCCGCATGGACAAGTTTGACGACACTCGACTTCGTATCCTTGACGACTTCTCAGTCCAAGTATCGATGGACAATTCGCGGACTGACTATACAAACATCCACGTTGATATTGACCCATTAATTCTTCGGCTTTCGCTTCGAGATATACTTCTTGTTCTCCAGATCATTAGCAAGGCATCTGAACTTTCCGAGAAGGACGATAACGAACCTAATGCCAGTGCGTCTAACAAGAAAACCAAGGAAATTCGGCAAGCTGGTCTTAAAGAACGTACAGCAAGTGGTCGGGGACACTCTACTGTTGCTACCAGTAGGAGTAAAACGGCCAAAACTTCAGGTACGATAGTCACTAAGAAATCCGGGAAGGGTCAATTGAACCAACCTCATGATGTCAGTACGGCTCCTAAGCGCCATGAGGAACTTAGTGCCGCAATTGCTGGAATTCGTGTTGTGCTGATTGGTGATGTTCACGAGTTACCGATTCTGGATCTCAGCATTAACAAATTTACGGCTTCATCGACGGACTGGTCCAGCAACCTCAAAGCAGAGACTGCGATTGATATGTATATCAACGTCTACAACTTCGCAAAGTCCGCTTGGGAGCCACTCTTGGAGCCCTGGCAAGTAGGCCTTGGCGTTGCAAAGCAGCAAGATACAGGTCTCTTCTCGGTTGATGTCTCGTCCAAAAGAACATTTGATATTACAATCACAACCGCAACAATCGCCTTGGCGTCTAAATCATTCGACTTCTTGACCAAAGATGAAGATGTCTTGGGTAAACCTCGTGGAGTAGAGGCCCCCTACAAAATCCGGAATTATACAGGCTTTGACGTCTTAGTGGAGGCTAGAAGTCAGAGCAATGACGAGAAGATCTCCCTCAAGCTACAAGACGGCGAAGAGGGTCCATGGAGCTTCGAACACTGGGAAAAGGTCCGAGAAAATATCACGTCGGAAAGCAGTGCGACAAGCAGCGTTGCCGTTGAAATCGAAGGCAGTGGTTTCGATATAGTCAAGAACATTCGTCTTAACCGTGAGGGCGAATTCCTCTATAGCCTACGACCTAAGACGGATAATACCCTCCATCGGCTACTGGTTGAAGTAAAACTAGGCTCAGACAACATCAAATATGTTACCCTTCGATCACCCCTTGTGGTAACAAACGAGACACAGATACCCGTCGAATTAGGTGTGTATGATGCCCAAGAAGGGCATCTGCTTAAGATCGAGAAGATTTCACCAGGGGAAAGTCGACCGGCTCCGGTGGCTGCCGCTTATGTGAAATCCTTGTTGGTACGACCAGATTCTGGGTTTGGTTACGCATGGTCATCCGAACATTTGTGGTGGAGAGATTTACTCAAGAGACCAACACGCACACTCGTGTGCAAAGGCGAGAATAGTGACACATTCTATTTCCAACTCAACGCAAGCTTTGATCGTGGCCACTTCCTCACCGGGTGAGTTTCCAGCAAATAAATTCCATTGAACGTCGCTAACATTTGTAGGAAATATCCGTACATGAGATTAAAACTCTCTCCTCCAATAGTCCTAGAGAACCTTCTTCCCTACGACTTCAAATATCGCATTTATGACAGAAACACGAAACGGGATTGGACGAACTTTCTGCGGAAGGGTGGCGTTAGCCCCGTTCACGTAGTAGAGTTGTCTCATCTTCTATTGCTGAGTATCGACATGCAAGATACCAACTTGAAGCCCAGCGAGTTTGCTATCATCAACCCTGGCGCACATGAAGACTTCCGTAAAGAGTATAAACTGATATGCAAAGATAGTGAAGATCTCTCTCTACATCTTAGACTTCATTATTTCAAGATCCCAGACGGGGGTGGCGCTTTCAAAGTTGCCGTATATAGTCCCTATGTCGTACTCAATAAGACTGGTCTACCGGTCGATATTCGCGCTAAGCAATTCTTACAACAGCCGAAGAAGGCTGCGGGTCAATCGGCCTTGGCGGATACTTCAGATCAAGAGCGGCCGAAAGCTTTGCCTTTTATGTTCTCATACAACAATGATGACCAACGCAACCGAGCCATCCTCAAGATAGGCGATTCCGAATGGAGTAGGCCGCAGAGTTTCGATGCGATTGGAAGCACAACCGAGATAGTCTTGCTATCATCGAAAAAGGATTCCGAAATCCATGTTGGTATGACTGTAGAACCCGGTGAGGGAAAATACAAGTTGACAAAAGTTGTCACCCTGGCGCCACGCTTCGTAGTCAAGAACAAGATCGGCGAAGAGCTTGTTATCAGAGAACCAACTTCGTCGAAGACTATGACTTTGCATCCTGGTGGCTTGCAGCCTCTCCATTGGCTTCAAAGATCTGCTACCAAGCAACTTGTTTTAAGGTTCCCGGGGATCGATGATCAGTGGACAGCACCATTCAATATATCGGATTTGGGTACAGTGCATGTCAAAATTGCAAGAGCTGGGCAGCGACAACGCCTCATCCGAGTCGAAATTTTGATGGAAGACGCGACGATATTCCTCCATCTCAGCATGGAGACGAAAAATTGGCCTTTCTCCATGCGGAATGAAAGTGATGTCGAGTTCACTTTCTATCAAGCAAACCCGAATATAGACGAAGATGGGGTTGAGGATCGCTCTGGATGGAGGCCGATTAGGTACCGCTTACCACCGCGCAGCATCATGCCCTATGCTTGGGACTTCCCAGCTGCCAAGTTTAAGGAAGTGGTTATCAGCGCCTTCGGCAAAGAACGCCACGTAAAACTAGCGGAAATCGGTAATCAGATCCCGATGAAATTCGTTACCGGTTCCGGTACCCAGAAGATAATCGATATTACTGTCGCTGCTGATGGACCAACTCAGACGCTTATTTTGTCAAATTTCAAGCCGAGCAAGAGTCTTTACCGCCAGAGGACCCATACGGGATCAAGCAGCAGCAGTGCAGGCGGTTTCGAAGTCAAGAGTCAGGATACCGATATAGCATTCCAGGCACAGTTAAAGCTCTCCGGTATTGGTATCTCGCTCATCAACCAACAGTTGAAGGAACTGGCATACATAACATTTAGAGACATCAACCTCCGGTATAGTGAATCGGCTCTATATCAAACTATCAGTACATCCATCAAATGGATTCAGATTGATAACCAGCTATATGGCGGTCTTTTCCCGATGATACTTTACCCGAGCGTGGTTCCAAAGCAAGCACAGGAAACCGAGTTGCACCCTTCATTACATGCCATGGTTACACGAGTGAAGGATGATTCGTATGGCGTTTTATACGTCAAATACGCTACAGTACTGCTTCAGCAGATGACCATTGATCTTGACGAGGATTTCATCTATGCCGTCTTGGATTTCTCCAAGATCCCAGGAGCATCATGGTCCGAAACCAACGAGGGTAAGCTCTGCGATGAAGGCCTAGATATCCCCGAGCCCAAGCAAGAACAATCAGGTCAAGATATTTACTTTGAGGTCTTGAACATACAACCTATGCAACTAGATTTATCGTTCATGCGTACCGAACGCGTTAACGTAGAGGACAAGACTTCTTCTCGGAATCCTATTATGTTCTTCGTCAACGTGATGACTATGGCCATCGGGAATGTCAATGATGCCCCGATCCGGTTGAACGCATTGCTATTAGAAAATGCTCGAGTCTCCATTCCTATTCTGATACAAAACATTTCCAACCACTACAGCCAGGAAGTCTTATACCAGGTCCACAAGATCATCGGTAGTGCGGACTTCCTCGGCAATCCCGTCGGTTTATTCAATAGTATCAGTAGCGGCATAACGGATGTCTTCTATGAGCCATACCAAGGGCTTATTATGTCTGATAAACCCGAAGATCTAGGACTGGGGATTGCAAAAGGAGCCGCCAGCTTTGTCAAAAAATCGGTCTACGGTTTCTCAGATTCCTTTTCCAAAGTCACCGGCAGCTTTGGCAAGGGCCTAGCCGCCGCCACCTTAGACAAGCAGTTCCAAGATCGCCGGCGGATTACACGAGCTCGTAATCGGCCAAAGCATGCCTTATTCGGCGTCACTGCAGGTGCAAATTCTTTCTTTACCTCTGTTGCGTCTGGAATCGGTGGTATCGCCCGGAAGCCCCTCGAAGGTGCAGAACAAGAAGGCGCCGTCGGCTTTTTCAAAGGCGTTGGCAAAGGCTTTATTGGTCTTGCGACTAAGCCTGCTGTGGGAGTTTTCGATCTCGCGTCCAACGTATCTGAAGGTATTCGCAATACCACAACTGTATTCGACGGTTCCGAGCTTGATCGTGTCCGCTTGCCGCGGTTTATACCCATAGACGGCATAGTTCGTCCTTACAATCAGCGCGAAGCCTTAGGCCAGTCCTGGCTCAAGCAAGTGGACAACGGAAAATACTTCAACGAGGAATACATCGCACACTTAGACTTACCCAGAGAAGATATGGTAGTTATGATCACTTTCAGTCGAATTCTTCTGATTAGAAGCCGGAGGCTTACTACAGAATGGGATATACCTCTGAAGGACGTACAGACGATTACAAAGGAGCGCACAGGTCTCAGCATCGTCTTACGCGGCGGTACTAATGGGCCGTTTATTCCTGTAAGTGAAGAGAGCGGACGAGCGTTCTTATACCGAATGGTAGCTGTGGCTGTAGAAGAATTCAATCGTAGATTCAGGGGCTTGGAGTAAGAAGGCTCTCACCGGCAGTTAGGGCAGTGTGAAAGAGCATATGGGGGTAAATTCAAAAGGCGGTGCACGGTTTAATGCGTGCTTTAGGTTAGGAACTCGAGCAAAATATCTTGGCGTACGGGGTTTTTATGTATCCTTTAGAACATGACATATCATGACCATTATGACGCTATTGTTATCGTGTTAGCCAGTGATGACCGAGCTAGGTGTATTCCATTGCACACGCGTATGTTAGTAGGTACCTAGGTAGGTACGTTTATTATGAAGCTCATGGAGCATTTCAGAAGCAAGCAAGGTATTCTGTAATATCTTTAGCACGTAAGGTATAAACTAGCATTCTACGTATTCCATCTCAAGGCTCCAAAACAGCCAGCGATGTTCCAAATTCACGCAGACGTCATGCTAACCCAACATCCGTGCAGCAGCGAAGTATTGACGCCGAACTTTTGGATAAGTGGCCTGTCATCCTTTCGCTCAATCTTCTCGAAGGCTTGTAGGAGTCGAAATGTGACCAAGGCTAGCTGCGCAAGGGCGAATTGTTGGCCAATACAGATGCGTGGCCCAGCATTAAAAGGGACATATTCGAAACTGTGAATATGTTAGAACCCATCAAGTCTAGAAAGTTCAAGGCTATCATAGATGCACACAATCAACGAGGACACGTACGTAGTTCTTAAGATCTCCCAGCGTTCGGGACGAAACTCATCGGCATCGTCGCCATAGATGTCCTTACGCCGGTGCAATGCCCAAGGTATGTACCTGAGTATCGTACCCTTGGCTACAAAGATGGGTGACTTTCCGTTTGGTCCGCCACCAGTAGGTAGAATGGTGTCGCGCACGGCTTCGCGGGAATTGGTCGCTACAGGCGGGTTGAGTCGCAACGCTTCTTTAATGGCCCAGTTCAGATATTTCATGGATCTCAGACTTTCCCAGGCTGGAAGGTCTCTTTCGTTTTCCAAGTTCAGTTCTTCAATCTCACGCCGGATAGCCGCGACTACATTCGGTCTTCGGGAAAGTTCGAAGAAGAGGTATGACAGTACACTCGTCGTAGTGTCTCGCCCGGCTGTAAATATGCTCAGGAGATGATCGCGAATGACTTCATCCGGCTCGCCGGTTCGAAGCAATTCGTTCAGGAACATGTATCTCTTGCTTTCTCTCTCTTCTTCGCTTTTCTCGCCTTGCTCGGCCTTTACTTCTGCGACATACTTTTCCACGTATGCATTCATAAAAGCCGCACATTCGTCCATCTCGCGATCGCGAAAAAGCATTGATATCCAGCCAAGCCTAGCCCGGTTGGCAACCTTTTGCATGCACACATCGAAACAGCGACCAAACCGTAGGCCATCCTCGGGCGCGTTGCCGAGGATGTCGGTCGACCGTCCAAACATAAAATCGGATATAGTGTCGGTAGTTAGCATGGAAAACATAGCTTGTAAGTCAATGGGACTGCCATCCCGCGGAATGGCCGCGATAAGTTTGGCGACGTGGCGATCAAGGCACCGGAGATCAGCAACTTGATCGCGGACAAACGCGGGGCGCAATGCACTTCTTGCCCGCCTCCAGGCATCCCCATTAGAGGTAAAGATCTTATTAGGGGGGAGCCATGTTAGTCAAATATGAGCACCGAAGATATTTAAGGTAGGAAACATACGGAGTAATGGCCAAGGACAGGGAGAAAGGCTTTCATACGTAGGTCAGGAAGATCCCAGTCGTCGAAGCGAGTAACGAGCACGGCGCGCACGTTGTCGGGCTCATCCGTCATAATCGTGTCTCCCGGGCCAGGGAATACGCGATGCTTCAAGGTGTGCCCTAGCGTGCGGAAGAGATCGTTCCAGGCCGCGAGCAGCGTGTTCGACTTGATGTGCTGCGCCGCTTTCAGGAGGAAGCGCACTCCGAAAGGGTCGTTTGGGAAGGTCGGCGGGAGCGAGCATCCGTTCCGTATCATCCCCGCATAATACCGATGCGTCCCCCCCAAGGACGTCTGTACGAACCAGCCCAGAAGTAATAGCAAGACCGCGAGCCCCTGTTGTCCCATTGACAGGGCCCCGGGTCGCAGGTAGAGGATATCGAGCGCCAGTGCCGCCGACAGAACCATTATAACGGCCGTCGCAAAGAAGTAGCGCTGCTTCGACTTTCTGGTAAGGGATACCATCGCATCTTTCTCGTTCTCGTTCATAGAAGCCATCTCGTATGATCTGTTACCCGATAAGAAATAACCAAGGCGAAGAGGGTATCTTGAACCTTAGTTCATATCCGGTAACTACCTAAAGTATAAGTAGTAGTTCCTGTTTGCCCGCACGTACCCTAGCGCGCGACGCCCTGCCACGAAGAGGGGATGTCACATTCCGCCAATCGTCTGTGCAAGTATCTGGCAAAGGAAAATAGCCTGCTCGGTCCTGCGTGCGGAAGAAAAGAGATACCTAGGTTCCTGTGCGGCCAATGATGTTGTAGATGACGGCATCACATGCGAAATGCACCGCCACTAAAAGCTGATGTCTCAAAATAGCCACGAGAAATATCTGAGACTGTGTTAGGTATTCTCTACCTACCTAACCTAAACAGATAGTTTGTGCAACCCATCGAATACTATAGGGAATCCAAGTAGTCCGAATTCTTCGTCAAGTTTTGAAAGTCAATGCCTCTATATTTACTCTTGCTTGGGTCAAGAGAAGTTCGGGATAATATTCATATCTAAAGGCACCATGTTCAGTATCTTCCGAGTCCATAACTGTGGTTATATACCTGTTATGCATGAGAAAGGAAGGTGTCCCTAAGCACTCAGCTTATCCTTCACACCAACATTAAAGGGTCACTCTTCTTACCTTTACTATTTATAAGTTAGCAATTCTATGACTTGAAACTTTAGTTGCCTAAGTGCCTGGTACCTACCTAAACTAATTTGTTTTGTAGCTTTAAGTGCTCTAATAGTCTTCTTAACATGAGCTGGGAACTTCATACCTTATTATAAGCTAAAGACTTCATTAGGCGTTTTATATTGTCATTTCCTAAGATTATTATTCCCTCGATTAATTATATGTTCTATTGTATAGGTCTTAACTGCTTTAAAGTGAAAGTTTCATGTAGTTAGTCTGCAGACTTCTTTCTATAAAAAAGGAAGAAAAAAAAGGTACCTGTTTTACTTATACCATCTAGACCTATTGTTCCAATCTAATGTTAGGTCAGGTACGTCCAGGCGAGTTTACGGTGTTGCTCCATTTCTTAACGTTTATAGATTTAAACATTGGAATATTCATAATAATTAAAAGCAAAATGCATTCAAGTCTAACCGACGTTACCGTAAGTCCCCGGTCGAATGTAGCGTGAGTCACGAACGTTCGCAAATCATTCCGAGGCCCACACAAATTCCGTGGTAAGGACGGCGTCAATGACGTCAATATATGTTGGAAAGAGAAAAAAAGTGCCGGCGGCCCTGCATGGCACATCCGTCAATGGCTTGAGCAAGTGGGTAACTAGAGAGCGGCGACGAATCAAAAAATATCTGTACGTACCAGGTAGGTAGTGTATAAGGATAGGACCTGACGCTTCCCGTCTTCCATGGACCTGTTGAGACTCGAAAGGTTCAACAGGGGTGTCCCGCTATGACGAAATGTCTCTAGAGCCTTGCAAGTTGCAGTATGCGCGAAAACAACGGAAGAAAAAAAAAAGAAAAAGAAAAAAAGAGCTTCATCGAAAAATTTCTAAAATCCCGAGAAATCTGCGCGTGTCCGTATCGTATTCCCTTCGTTTTTGTGTTCCGGTGCTAGAGTTGAAACATACGGTTTGGCACCTAAGGTAATAATACAATATCCAATGATGGAAAGGTGACGATATTTGTCAGGCCGTCAGCTCAACACATAACACATAACCCTACCTACCTAGGCACCTGAAAATAATGACAGAAATGAGGAACTTGAGTTGCTAAATACCTATATCTACCTGTTGAGTGGGCAGTTTTACGAAACAATAAACGGCATAACTCTTACTAGTTGTGTTAGTACTCTTCAGACTAGAACGGGCAACCCGACGATTACTACATGTAGGCAGAGAGCCCAGTAAGGCATTTTTAAGGCATTCACCGTGGCATTTACACATTACAGGGGAACACATAGGAGCACAATGAGATACACAGCACATACACAGCACATACACATCACCCAACATTTGCATTATCCTTACCTACGTGGTCGCTTGTTGACGAGTCCACAACGTTGACTTTTATATGAGGTACCTAATATATCTAACAGCTCAACCGTTATGGCAGTATGAATATTTACTCGTCCGATTTGCAAAATCCCCATGCATAGCATCCGTACCCTAATAACCCCACGGGCGAAGCATGTGCGAAGATCGCCCGCTAATGGGTTCGGGTCAGCCCCTGGGAACCCCCCTCAAACTGCAACCCTTGTGGTCTGTTGGTCTCCACGGATGGGGTAGGTATTTCAGCATCTTTGGGGTTAAACTTCACTGGGGGGGGGGGGGGGGGGCCCCCCCGGCGGGGGGGGGGGGGGGGGGGGGGGGGGGGGGGGGGGTGTTTGGGGGAGCGCCCCACGCAGGAACAAGAGAGGACAA